GGTGCATTTGCATAAAGAAATCCTGCAGAGCTGATCTCCCCGGTTTCTGCGGAGGCGTTGGAGCCGGGATGGGCCCTCGTGGGGGGAAGAAGTGGAGGTCGGTGGGAGGCACGTTGGCTGTGCACCTCCTCTTTTACTCTTTGACGGTTGACTCCTGTGCGTATATTTTCTGTAACAAATCAACACAGAAGCGATCGGAGAGGTGGGTGAGGGCAGGGCTCACCAGCCGCCGGGGCCTCGCCCCTGCTGGTCCTCCCTGGACGGAGAGCGAGGCGGCAGGCCGGCCGGAAGAGATGGCTCTTGCCCACCTTCGCTGCTGGTCATCCCGAGGAGCCAGGCTCCGGTCCCTCCACCCAGAGGCTCAGAGGTGGCCGGAGCCTGGGGCCGGGCTGGTGAGGGGTTCATTGGGGTAAGAGGCTGAGAGGGGGGCCTCGGAAGGGGGCCGGCCATTTCCTTGCTGTCCCTGGGGAAGCAGACCACACGCTCCGCCAGCAGCCGAGGGGCGGAGGCAGGACCTCTCTCTCCGTAAGCATCAGGAGGTCAGCCAGGGGCCAGAGCGGACCCTTTCTTGGTGGCTGGGCACACTTCGGGCCACGTCCATGGAGACGCCAAAGACTTAGCCAGGCAAGGGAGTCTGTGTCCCCCGGTGCTGGGCACAGAGCCCTGAATGGGCCCACGAGGGGGGTGTAAATCCTGCCACACCTTCCTCGTCTTTCTCTCGGAACCTCCCCACATCACCCCCGTACCTCCCACTCCCCACCAGTGACGCATACGCTCGCTCCCCCATTGGACGGGTATTTGCGCAGCACCCTCGGTGTGCCAGGCACGTGCTCACATAGCTGTCCCCATTTCGCAGATGGGGAAACTGAGGCTTGCGAGGATGCATCATGCACCCGGGCCATGCTCCTAAGAAAGAGCCAGGCGTCAAACCAACGTCTGCCTGTCTCTGAGTCAGAGACCCCGCACTTTCTCCAGGGCCCCCACCCACCCGTGACCTCACCACGGGTGAGCCCTGCTGCAGAGCATGGCCACCCCCTGGGCCCAGAGCGGCAGGGCTTGTCCAGGTCCCTGCGGGCTGGCAGCCACAGGTGCGTAGGGCAGGGAGCGCTGCAGGCTGAGCGTGCGTGTGTGGTTGGTGGGGGGGATGGGGTGGCGGTGGGGGAGACCCAGGCCGGGATGATGAGCACTGTTACGGTCATTGTCAGGGGTGCTCCCAGCAATCGGAGATGCCCGCCAGCTGCCTCTGACACCCGCCTGGGAGGCAGCGGGACCAGAGCTGCAATTTGGGTGGAGCCAAGAGGGTTTCCCTGCTAGGGAGGCGGTGGTGGGACTGTTACTTTAAATAACGCTGCGTACACGCCAGAAATAGGCTCCTGGGCAGGGAGCACCAGAGACGCCCCGGGGGAGGGAGGAGGACCAGGGGAGAGGGAGGCCCAGGGGGAGGGAGGTGGGAGGAACAGAGTGAGGCTGCATCTGCTGGGCCAGGCCAAGGAGAACCTGCCCCCAACTACAGGTTGGGGGAGGAGGGGGAGGTGCAGAGGGGAAGCCCAGCGCTGGCCCAGCCTCGGGGGAGGGCCGCCCGCCGCCAGCTGGCCCTCCTCCAGCTCCAGGTGCGGCCGGGGAGTCCTGGCTGATTCACGTGGCCCCGGAGCCCGCTGCCGAAACCTGCTTTCACTAAAGTTTAAGATGCAGCACACATCACGGACCCACAAACAAAACCAGGCCCAACGAGTCCCCGGTGTCTTTTTTATAATGTAGACTTGGATTGCATGCTCCGAGTGCCTTTTTTAACTGTATTTTTAAAATAAAACCAGTGTAGGGCGTGCGATAAAGAAAACTCCGATGGCACAAAGAGATGTAAAATCAAAAGGTAGACGCTCCCCTCTCTCCCCGCCCCGACACCCCTCCCAAAAGGGAGACAACGGGTCCGGGCGGCTCCGTCTCCGAAACATCGCATGTACTTGCCCGAGCGTATGCGTGATTCATGTGTGTACATGCTATTTCCGTGTACCCACGTGGTGTCATACTGCTTACACTATCCTGTGACTTTGGTCTCTTTGTTGAGTGTGTGTGTGTGTGTGTGTGTTTTGTCCACAAACTCAAATGACTTTTATGGGGTCGTTTTGTCTGACCCTAAACATTAAAACTAGGGTTCGGTCGCCTGTTGCCATACACAGCCGCTTAGCAAGAGAATAATACATCCTGGCCCTGGCCCCGGACGCTCAGCTGCGATGGTGTTTAGCTTATTACTTCCTCGCGTCTCTGTTTCCGTAAACATCCGCCTTCTCCTGCTTCCTTTCCTTGCTCGGTGCCGCGGAGACCATCTCGTCTCAGTCCGTCCAGCTGTCCCGGTGCCGTTGGTGACCGCGGCCTTTCTCATTGGTCTGGCCTGTTTCTGACGGTCATGGGTGAGTTGTTGATCTCTGCCGCTCCGAGCAGTGCTTCAGGGGACATCCTTGAATCCATTCTTAGCCACATTTTTGCGACTGTATCTAAAAGGCCAGCTCCAGGAGTGCCATCTCCGGGTCAGAGACTCGAATATTCTTATGTGGACAGGTTTTGTCTCAGAGGCTCGGTCTGGTGACACTTTCTCAGGCCCATCTGCTGGTTCGCCTCCCCACCCCCCTGCTCTTGCCAGCACCGGGCTTGATCAGGGCGTGAAGATCTTCGGCTGTCTGATATGTCAGCGTGGTTCTGATGGGGCTGCGTTTCGCCGTGACGGAAGTCGAGCATTCTTTTTGTCCGCGTGCTGGCCGTTTCTGTCCCTTTCCCTCTCGCCTGTGTGATTTAACAATATCCGATTCCATTTCCAGAGATGGAGAGCTTTTCCAGCCAATCTGTCTCTCCATCGCCCCTCTCAGGTCACCCCATCACTTTCAAAGCCCAACCCGTTTCCCCAAAGCTGCCCCCCTTCCCTGCGGGAGAGATGGGGTGGAGATGAGAGAAGCTGGAGGATGGGTCTGAGGGAGAACGGGGCGTTTGCCAGAGCGGGGTGCCCGCTATCTCCCCGTCATCACGCCGTACACAGTGAGGACGGACAGATAAGCGCTGCAGCTGGTGGCAGAGATAAGAGGCTTGGACAGCCAGAATGTTCTAGATAATGCTGCAGAGCCAGCGTGAGCGGAGGCTCCCGCCGTCCCAGGACAGAAGGAGGGGCCCGGTGGGTATGACATCAGTGCTGAGCTGGTTCGCTGCTGGGCTTGGAGCCAGGAGGCTCTCTGGGCCTCTGGCCCTGCCTCCTCTGACCTGGGAGACCAGGGGTCAGTGACAAGCTCTTCCTGAACCTCAGTGTCCTCCCCTCCAAAGCGGGGGTAAGCCGCTCCGTAGGATGAGTATGGAGATGGAGTGAAAGGCCGTCCAATACAGACCCATGACCGAGGGCACCTTCCACATGAGATGAGAAAAGCGAGGCTAGTGCAGTGGGCTTTGTGTAAAATGTGTTTAAAGCTTACACAAATGGCTTTTATGCTGAGATTACATTTCTTTTTTTCTTTTTTTTTTAATCTCAAAAATGTCCTTTGTAAATAAAATGCTAGCCATCTCTATTTTCCTCTCCCTGCCTGGCACTTTTTAATGTTCTCTCTCTCTCTGTTGTTTCATTGTCCAATCTTTTTGTCTGTTTGCTTTTTGGTTAGCTAGTTTTAATTACCTTACCTGGAGAAATACAAAACGGACAATCTTATATCAATCCCCCATATTTTAAGTGTTACTGGTCTATGATATATAACAATCTGGGAACTTCTGTGTGAAGTGAGGAACTGTATGAAAAGTACTTAATACAGCAGCAACATTGTGAGTTAGTGATGGTGGTGGTGATGGTGACGGTGGTGGTGATGGGGGTGGTGGTGATAATGACAGTGATGGTGGTGGTAGTGATGATGGTGATGGTGGTGATGGTAATGATGATGATGGTAATGGTGGTGGTAGTGATGGTGGTAATGATGATGATGGTAATGGTGGTGGTGATGATGGTGATGGTGGTGGTGGTGGTGATAGTGATGATGAATTCATGTAAAACTAAACTTGGCAACTCCTGGGAGAAAGATCACTCTGTCCCAGGGCTGGCACAGCCTGGGGGCAGGCAGCAATGAGCGTATCCACAAGTCAGCTGGACAAACCCTAGGACATTGATCCGACCTATTTTTGAGGGTCATTTATAGGTTGTTTCATGTTGTTTATCTCTGCCATTACAAGGGTCTTTCATTCCCTGGGAATACGAAAGGGGTCCCAGAGAGGGTGCCAGGGAACTAACCCTCCACACCAGAGAGCACCACCTGCCCAGGCCTCGGTGCCGGAAGCTGCTCTCGCGGAGCTGGCCTGGCCTCCTCCCGGCCGCTCAGCCCGGGGAGCTCCTCACACGCCCGCTCTCCAGCGGCTTTTCCCGAAAACCAGACTCTGCTGCTCTGCGGGCCAGTCCTGTGCTCCGGAGGCAGGCTCCCAGGGAACTCCTCGGATCCAGGCATCCCGGCCCCAGGGCCCATGTGCAGAGCCCACCGTCCTGCTCAGAGGACTACGTTTCCCACCAGTAAGCTGCAGTGGGGCGTCTGTGACTTTAAGGGCGGAGCAGTGCAAAGCATTTGGGGAAACATGTAAACGTCCCCGCGTCTCTCACCTGCATCCATTTCCGTTAATATTACAGCGCAGTCCCGTGCCTGGCCAACATAAAATGCCACCGCTCTTCTGGGTCATGGGCGTCCGGGGGAGGGGGACAGGAGCCTCCAGCAGACCCTGCGGTGCTGGGAGATCTGGTCACGGCCAAGGTCAAGGGCTCAGGCATAGCACCTCCCGTCCTTGGAAAGGTGCAGGCTGCTTCCTGGACATCTGAGGCAATTGCCTGTGGGTGGGACTCTCCGGTAGCTGAGGACCTTTCTGTGACCCCATGACCTGGCCTGAGAGCAGAGCTCACACGTCCTCTTCATGCCTCTGCCCTCCGACCCCAGTCTGACCTGCGCACCCCCGCAGCTGCCTGCTTGCTCACTGGCTGTCCTGTCCGCCCCCAGGTACATGATCACCAGCCTGGACCGCACCCACGCCGGCTTCTACCGCTGCATCGTGCGCAACCGGATGGGAGCCCTGCTGCAGAGGCAGACCGAGGTGCAGGTGGCCTGTGAGTACGGGGTGACGGGGTGGGGGGGGGGGGGTCGGGGCGGGCGTGGGCGGGCGTGCAGCGGGAGGGGGTCCTCGCCCACCAGCCACACTCCCTCTGTGCTCCTCGGAGCTCACGGTGGCCGTCCCCTTCCCCGGGCCAGTACTCTCACCCAGTGGTCAGCAAACTCCGTCACCAGAGCCAACTGTCAACAGGACAACAACTGGAATTTCTTTTGAGAGCCAATTTTTTTAAAAACTTAAACTATATAGTTAGGTCCATTGTTATTAACTTAATGAGGGTACTCCTAAGCTGGCCTTTGCCAAAGATCTTTCTGGAAAGATCGGGACTGTTTTTAAAATGCCGCGGGATGCAGGACAAATAGTTAAAGATCAGGATTGTCCCACCAAAAGCAGGACATCTGGTCACCTTAGGCTTGGAGGATGCAAAATTTAAGGAGGCACTCCTCTCGTGTCCTCACTGTGCACTTGCAGGACCCCAAGAGCGGGTGCCTCCTTAAATCTTCACCTCATTCACCCTATCCCAATCCTGGGCACTGCAGTCGTCCTGCATCTGTCTGTCTGTCTGTCCATCTGTCTCTCTTGCCTGGTCACATGGTTCTGAGGATGCTTGGGGATGGCTGTTTCTCCAAGTCCCTTCATCTCTCCTCAGCAGCTTCCACCTCCAGGGGGAAGGGCCTTGACCTGGGATGTCAGAGGACCCCTGTCTGTGGGGACTCCTTCCTTCCAGGGATCAGCCAGGCAGGCCCCACCCCTGGCCCCACCCCCTTCCCAAAGAGAGACTGTGAATTGGGGTTCTAATTGAGAAATTAATAAGGCAGCTGTGCTAACAACTAATGATAACAGCAAAGTCATTACGGAAGGGTTCTTTACATGTTTTTAATTACAGCAATTAAGGGGAAGTCAATAAAACACCCACCCCTCCCCAGCTCCCTTCCGGTCCCCATGGGACATCTCTCCTCGGTTTTTCGGAAGTCACCCTGAGTTCCTGGCAGGTGCCGAGCGGGCTGACACGGGGGAGAGTCTCCTGAGCCGACAGCTGCCCTCGGGCCCCCCGTCTCCACGTCCAGACCCTGCGGGCACCTGTGTTCCCCTCACTGAGTGCACGCAGCTTCCCCACCCCAAGCCCAGCACCGACCGGCCCTCCCTCTGCAGGGCACAGGGGCCCTGCCCCGTGGGGAGCCCGCCTGCTCCCCTTTGCCCTGGGGGCTCAGTCACCTCTGCACAACGGGCCTGGAGGACATGCAGCCTGTTGTCACGTGGGCTGGGCTGGGCTGGAGGCCCAGAACATCACCCGTGGGCTCGCCGTCTCTAATCCGCAGCCGGAGTGCACCCATGTGGACACGCAGGGGCCGTGCTGTGGTTCAGGATAGCGCCGCCGTGTGCTCCCGGAGCCCCCGTTTTACCGGGATGTTTAATGAAACAACCGTGGCTGCCCACCCACTGCACACTGAGCCCCGCTCTAGGCAGGGAGGGCATAGGGGACAAAAGCAAAACACTCATGCCCTGGCCGGTTTGGCTCCGTGGATAGAGCATCAGCCTGCAGACCAAAGGGTCCCGGGCTCCATTCCAGTCAAGGGCATGTACCTTGACTGCAGGCTCCTCCCCACCTGGGATCTGGTGAGGGTGGGTGCAGTAGGCAGTCCATCGATGTGTTTCTCTCACATCCATATTTTTATCTGTCTTTTCCTCTCTCTCCCACTCTCTCTAAAAATCAATGGGAAAATACCCTCAGGGGAGGATTAAAAAAGCAACAATAAGACATCCATTCCTGCCCTCAAGGAAGTAGTGGGGGAAACATAACAATATAGAATAGACTATAGGCTAGGGGTGTCGAACTCAATCAGAGAAGGGGCCTAAATCGCAGGCCGAATGGTTTACTGAACAGTCATAAACTGTCATTGTGATGGAAACGCAGCGGAGTGCAGTGATGACAGCGCGGTGCGGGCCACATTGCAAGGCCTGGCGGGACGGATTTGGCCCGCGGGCCTTGTGTTTGACACATGTGCTATAGGCTATAGACGGCCCGTGAAGAAAAATAAAATGTATTAAGGAAAAACGAAGCCAGGTGAGGTGGGTGGAGGCTGGGACAGGGGTCCTGTTTGAAATGGTGTCTGAGGAGGTGACACTTAGCATAGGAAGGAAGGAAGGAGGGAGGGAGGGAGGGAGGAGGGAGGGAAGGAGGGAAGGAAGGAAGGAAGGAAGGAAGGAAGGAAGGAAGGAAGGAAGGAAGGAAGGAAGGAGGTGAGCCACGAAGACTGAGGGATGGGTCTTTCTAGGCCAGGCAACAGCCAGTGCAAAGGCCCTGGGGTAGATCTGAGTGTCGGAGGCCAGGGAGGCTGGAGCAGAGGGTGGGACGTGGAGAGTAAACGTTGTGGCTGAGGAAGTGAGATGCTGGGGACAGACGGTGGCATGCTAAGATGTGGTTGGTACTTTGGTGTTAGAATAGCGGTTGGGGGGCAGGGGTATGATACCGTCTGATCAAACGGAGAAAGTGTTGCTTTGTAACAAACAAAACCACTACGAAATGCCACCTCGTGCCCACCAGATTGGCCAAAGCCAAAGGGTCCAGAAGACCCAGCATCGGCAGGAGCTCCCATCTGCGCTGGTGGCAGCACGAATAGGAAGATCGGTGCCGATTTGGCAGGCGGTTTGGCATTGTCCCCTAAGATTACTGTGTGCGCGGCCTGCAGGCCAGCAGCGCACCTCCAGGCGCATCCTCTGGAGATCCTCTCAGCTGCACGAGCCGGTTCTTAGCAGGCCAGGCAGACGCGGCTGCCCCCCTCCGCAGGCGTCCATGCAGCCGTGAGAGCGACGAAGCGAGGTGCAGGGACATCGGTGGGGCCCCAAAATAGGTTGTACACAAAAAGCAAGTCCCAGTAGACAGTGTACAGCATGCTCTCAGGTACACAGGGCTTAGCAACAGACTACATTAGCCATGATGGGTCACAGGGGTGTCTGTAGGTTAGGGGTGTCGAACTCAATCAGAGAAGGGGCCAAAATCTAAAATCCAGCCTAAATCGCGGGCCGAATGGTTTACTGAACAGTCATAAACTGTCATTGTGATGGAAACGCAGCGGAGTGCAGTGATGACAGCGCGGTGCGGGCCACATTGCAAGGCCTGGCGGGACGGATTTGGCCCGAGGGCCTTGTGTTTGACACATGTGCTGTAGGTGATGAGACTGGGGGGGGGGCGGGGAGGAAAAGCATGATTGGCGCGGCATTGGCTACCTCTGGAGAAGGGGGGATGTGCCTGGGAGGGGTGCAGGGCAGGGGGAGCGGGGCGCAGGACCCGGTTTGTTAGAGTTCTGTGTGGAGGTGGGCCCTGGGTACACGCGTGTTTCTTCTGTTCTTTAAATGACGCCTATAATTACGCTCGCTCTTTCGTGTGTAATGACATATTTCCTGGTAAGAGCTGCTTTAGGAATAAATAAAAGCCATGAGTAGACTCTGAAGCAGAATGCCTCCTGCCCCAGACCTTGTCAGCTGCAGCGAAGACACGGGGGGCATGGGGAGGCGCAGGCTCCGGGATCGGTGGGGCAGCCGGATCAGCGCGGCGGGGCGCGCACGGGTATTCGCCGCGAGCACAGGGGAGGCGGTGCGGCTGCCCCCGCGTCTGCCTCAGCGCCGGGGCCCTCTCTTCCCTCCCTTCTCCTGAGTGAAAGCTGAGTGACTCCCTCCTGGCGGCCCTGCCGCTGCCGGTCAGTCCGTGGGCCCAGGTGCTGAGGCCCCAGCTCACAGAGTGGATGGGGAGGATGGGAGGGTGCGGGGCCTGAGAGCCTCGGGGAGGCCGGGACATTGTGGGACGGAAAGGCGCAGGGCAGTGTCCTCTGCAGGACTTGACCCTAGGCCAGCTGTGCCCTCCCTTCATCCGTCCACCCATACATATACGCATGCATGCATGCCAACACGTGCATGTGCATGCACACACATGTGCATGCATCCTACCATACATGCGTTCACATGCATTCGGGCGTACACACATGCAGACAGTTTTCCATCCCTCATTCCTCCTTCCTTCCTTCCATCCATCTGTACATGCATGCATACAAACACATGTATGCACATGCATATGCATGCATCCTATTATACATCCATTCAGACATACACACATGCAGACAATTTTCCAGGCCTCCATCCCTCATTCCTCCTCCCTTCTATCCATCCACCGCCCCCATCCCTCCATCCACCCACCCACCTACCCATCGTTTATCCATTCACTGATCAGACCCATGCCCCTGCCTACTGACCTTTCATTTCCTCTCACTGCCCTTCTCTTCGACCTCCTAGTCTTCACACACACCCTCGCCCCTGGACCATCAGCCCCCACAACAGACTCACACACACGCAGCTAACGCCTGCCCGTGGTGTATATCTCTCCTAAAAGGAGCCGCTCCCACCTCCGTCTGCAGGAGGTCCCCTGTGCTGCCTCGCACACGAGGACCCTCACTCCTTCCTCACAGCTGTCAGCTCTGTCACCAAAGGTTTGTCTGTGCGTTGGCTTGACCAGACTCGAAACTCCCGGAGGCCAGGGACAGGGTCCTCGGGTGCCACCTGGCCTGCCTGGCCCACAGGGGGCTCAATAAGTCCTGCATGACAGCGTCGGGTAAGTTTAGAGGGATCACGGGGCCAGGTGTCTTGTAGGGGTTCATTCATGCGTGCCACAGACTAGAACAGCCTCTTCAGGCTGACGCTGTAGCAGGAAGAGATAAAGAACGTGCGTGAGGAATGTCAATGCCGGGTGTGAGTCATGAGAGAGGCAGCGAGGGAGCGGGAGGGGGGCCAGGTTGGCGCGCGGGCCCAGCCCGGCCCTCGCCGCTGAGCGCCGGATCAGCCACTCCATCTCCATGAGCTTTAATTTCCTCGCTGACGAAATGGAGCTAATAAAACTGCGGAGAGGAAAAAAGAAACACTATTACCATGAAATTGCTTCAAATTGTTCAAATCTGTCTTCGGAGTTGTGTGAGAAAGTTTTTTTAAATAGATAAAATTATGGTAAGGACTGGAATCAAGCTGATTTACGGGCGAGATCTTCTGTAGGCAGAGCCGCGTCGTCGCAATTCATCAACAACTAAGCGTGTTTGCTTACCAGCGTTGAGCTTCTCGTGTTGTCGTGACGATTCCGTGAGACAGTGCCGGACACGCCCACCCGGGAGAAAACCCGGCGCTGGGTCCCCCTCCCACGCGTCTTTGTTCTTTGATCCCGTGTGGGTCCTGTGGGGTCATCTTCGGGAAGGGGTGGATGCTGACACGAAACTCTGAAAAAGTCTATGGGTTCTAGTGTTTTAACACTACAAACAGAAGGTATCAGGTTCAGCACGTGAACATGCTCTGCCAGTCTCTATGGCTGCATCACCCCGCAGGCCAAGACAGGATGGCGTGGCGCGATCGTGTCCCACGCTCACAGGAGCTGTGAGCCTTGACTCTGTGCTCTGGGAGGACTGAGGTTTCAGAGACCAGGGGGCTGAGGTCCTCTGAGGGCCCACACCTTCACTCCCGTGTTTGCGTTGACCGCTGGCTGTCACGTGAGCGGTTCCCATGTCTGTGTGGGCTACATGGAGCTTCCTTCCAACATGGCAGCTGCACTTCGAGCTGGAGCCTCTGGAGGGCAGGGCTGAAGGACAGCGTGGCCTGACACCAGACGCTGAGGACCCAAGTTCAGATCCTGACGCTGCCCCTTCCATGGCATTCCCCGGCTCTCTGAGCCTGCATGGGCAGCACACGGAGTGGCCAGATGATGATGATCTCTGAACACATAATAACCTGACCACTCAGTGTATATCCTATAGAACACATGTGTCAAACACAAGGCCTGCGGGCCAAATCCATCCCGCCAGGCCTTGCAATGTGGCCCGCACCGCGCTGTCATCACTGCACTCCGCTGCGTTTCCATCACAGTGACAGTTTATGACTGTTCAGTAAACCATTCGGCCTGTGATTTAGGCTGGATTTTAGATTTTGGCCCCTTCTCTGATTGAGTTCGACACCCCTACTATAGAATAAAAGGCTAATATGCAAATTGTCCTCTTGACCAAGAGTTCGACCGGCAGGCAGGCTGGCCAACTGCCCATGTCCCCTTCCCCTGGCCAGGCTGGCCGGACCCCACCCATACACGAATTCATGCACCGGGCCTCTAGTATATACACCGAGTGGCCATGTTATTATGATCTCTGAATGCATAATAATCTGGCCACTCAGTATATATCCTATAGAATAAAAGGCTAATATGCAAATTGTCCCCTCAAATAGCAGTTTGACCAGCAAGCAGGTCAGCCAACCACCCATGTCCCCTCCCCCTGGCCAGGCTGGCCAGACCCCACTCATGCACAAATTCATGCACGGGGCCTCTAATATATCAGAGATCCTCATAATCTAGCCACTCGGTGTATTCCAGTTGCAAAGTGTGTGGAATAACAACCAGCCTCTCGTGACTGTGGGGCCAGTCCGTTGCTCCCTGGATACATACGGGTAGAAATGGATGTAAACCCCAAAGCCCAAGGCAGGGCCCCTGACAGCAAGGGCGGTGAGGGCATGAGGGTTGGTCTGATCGTGGTGTCGCCCTGAGCCCTGGTCATCTGCCTGCCTTCCCCCTCCACTGTCACCGCCCCCCACCCCCGCCCAGGAGCGGTCAGTCTCTGCCACGGCCCTGACCCCCGACCCCCAACCCCTGACCCTGCGTGTGCTCTTCCCTCCGCAGACATGGGCAGCTTCGAGGAGGGCGAGAAGCGCCAGAGCGTGTCCCACGGAGAAGCCGCCGTCGTCCGCGCCCCCCGCATCGCCAGCTTCCCGCGGCCACAGGTGACCTGGTTCCGGGACGGCCGCAAGATCCCGCCCAGCAGCCGCATGTGAGCGCCTGGGAAAGGGGGCGCCCTGGGAGGGAGGGGGGCCGTACAAAGCTGAGCTCGCAGCCCTTCTGGGACACAGCAGCCTGGGGACCTCCCCGGTGACGGTGTGAGAGGCTTTCTGGGAATGTGCGTGCGAAGCCGGGGAGCAGGGAGGGAGGCCGCCTTCCTGGGGGGTCCCGGGCGCTGGCCCTTCTGGGCGGGAGGGTAGCCCTGCCTCCCAGCGCCCTGGCCAACCCAGACAGGCCGGGGCGGAGGCCCCTCGCTGCGGTCCAGGCCCAGGACTCCGGCCAGCGAGGCCAGGGGGCCGCGGGCTGGCAGCACCCGGCGGGCGCCGCCCCGGGTGCTTCCGGCGTGCGGGTGCCGGGGGTCCGTGGCGTGCCGGGCTCTGTGTGTCTTGGCTGCCGGGAGGAGGTGAGGCCCGGGGCCCGGCAGGGAGAGAACACACGGCCCTTTCAGCCCGAACAAAACCCCTCTGTGCGGCCCGCGGTGTCGGTGGTGCCGGCCCGGCTTGTGGGCAGGAGCGAGGGAGCCAGCACCTCCACGGAGGGCGAGGGCCAAGCACTTCCTCCCGGGACACGCCCGGCCCTGCCGCTCCCCCTCGGAGCCCGGGCCAGCCAGGCCCCCCCTCCCCGGCTCCCTCTCTCCACCTCTCTCCCAGGAGAGGAGAGGATGGACGCCCTGCCCGTCGGGCCTCCTGGGGCAGGAGCTGCGGGCGGAGCCGGCCTGCCTCTGCAGGAAGCAGGGGCTGAGCTGGCCGGTTCCTGCCTGTGGGGACCAGGGGTCTCAGGAGAGAAGCATAAGGACCCTCAGGGCGGCTGTCATTTGGGGGCCTGTGGGTATCCTGTGTTCTCAGGCCTGGGTTAACCCTCTGGGTGCCATGAGCGTCTAGAGACGCTTTTAAAAAAAAAATCATTTTCCGTGAGAATTTTCAACGGAAAAACGCTCAAGGACGCCCAAATTGTGAGTAATGTATTTCTTTGTATAAGATTCCTTGCAAACTTATTTTGTTTGCTTTTTAATTAAATTCAACACATCGTGGCGAGTGGGGGTTGTTTCCGTTTTGGACGCCTGGCAGGTGACTGGTTAGGCACACCCCACGCCTCGCCCTCCCCTCGGGGACAGGGGTGCACCTCCAGGGAAGAGACACCCTCTCTCTCCCCCTTCTCCATGCCCAGAGGGGGGCACGCTCCACATACGTGACCCTCAGGACCGCCCCAGGAGGCGGCTGGTTTTATCCCCATTTTACAGATGGCAGCGTCAGGCCCCCAACGTTTAACGACTTTGCCAGATCTCACCACAGCGGGTTCCAGGCTTGCCGACTCCAGACACCGGCCCTTAATTCTGTCTTACGTGGGCATTGTGTGAGAAGAGGGTCAAAGATACGGGGACAAAACGGGTCAAGTGGTTGCCCTTGGAAAGAAGCGGTGCTGGTACAGTGATCCTCAACCTGGTGACCCCGTGAAATCATTTGGGACACTTTAAAATATACTGATCCTTAGATCCTACCCCTCCCCTACACACACACACATTCTTACCTCATTAAATGGGATGTGCCCTGGCATCGGGATTTTTAAGTGCTCCCCAGTGATTCCAATAGGCAGTTGAGAACCACTGTCCTAGAATGTATCGGTTACATACTGACATGAGAATGCTGCGTAACAAATGGCCCCAGGGGCCTGAAACAAGAAGCGTGTATTGGTCGTAATGAGTCTGCAGATGGGTGATGGTGGCTGGGCTCTGTCTCTCGGCCGGGATGGCTGGCTCTTGGCGGATCAGAATGGCCTGGTGACTCACCTGTGCTCCACGTGATTCCCCCTCCAGCCAGCTCGTCCCAGCATCCTCCTCTCCTGGCCACTACGAAGGAGAGAAGCAAAACCAGATTCTGTCAGGCCTCTGCTCACCTCCCTTTGCTCAAAGGAAGTCACGTGGCAGAGCTCGGACTCACGAAGCGGGGAAACAGACTCCGCCTTTTGGTTGAGAGGACCTGGGCCGTGACATGGCAGAGGCTGTGGGTGTAGAACTGGGGGAGACTTAGAGCCAAACCCCTCGCAGGGGTACAGGTGGCCTCAGGCTGTGTGAGCCAGTGCTCCCTTCAACCTGGCCACGGTTCAACACGCCAGCAGCACACGGTCAACCGTCAGCACAGACGGTGAGGCGGAGACAGGTGCTGAGTCCTTGTCCCCCCCAACCCCTCTCTGACGTTATCTCTCCTGTCCGAGGCGTATCAGGGGTGGCGTCCTGCAAGCCCATCACATAGACGTGGCTCCCTGAGGCCTCGTCCTGACTCCGTGGGAAACCCAGGCCCCGTGGGTGCCCCTCTGGACCACGAGAGATGGACGGCACCTGCCGTGACTGCGGGAGGGGACCCCTGGGCCCCCACCTACCACCCGTGCTGGGATCGGGGGACCCCTGTCTGCATCCTCACTCCCATCACCCCTTTCCCGGCACCTTCCCACCTCCCCTTCTCATTCCGGCCTCCGTCCTCACCCGCCTGGCATGCCCAGCAGCACGGCACCGGGGCGGAAGGCCTCAGGGAGCCCGCACGGGCTCCCACCTTCTCCGCACGCCTTCCGAGCGGGATAGCCCGCCGGGGTGATGCTATCTCTGCAATTACAGCGGATTAATACTCATAACCGGGAGAAAGGTTCCCGGTAGGAAATCCTCTGGTGTCTGTTTGCCAGAGATACCTATCTGTGAATGCCGCCGGCCGGCGGGGGGTGTGCAGGGCGAGGGCTCCTCTCTGCCTGGCACCACCGGTGATTGGCAGCCCCTCGCCCACCCATCCCCCCCTTTACCCCACCCCCCACCCCGGCTCCGCAGACGAGGTTCCTAACAGCCTGGTGCTGGGGCTTCGGGCAGGTCCTGGGATGATTTATTTATTCTTAATTAAATTATCCATCGGGCCCCCCGGAGCCGGGAGAATAAGCTGGCTTAGAGAAGCAGTGGGTGCAGGCGGGTGGGGAAGACCTGGCAAATGGAAACGGGAGGAGGATGCCTAAACATAGAGCCCAGCCCCCTGAGAGCTGAGCCCTGCCGGCCTGGCGCCCGAAAACTCCACCTGCTTCTCTCAGCATGGGTGCATAGGGGGGGAGGGGGCAGGCTGGGAGCCTTTCTGTGCCAGAGCAGCTTTGTGTACTTGGGAGTGAGGTCCAGGGCGGTTTCAGAACCCCCACCCTCGGGGCTGGAAGGAACCCTCAGGAACACGTGCTTCCACCCCTTGCTCAGATGGGGAGACTGAGGCCCAGCGGGGAGGAGGTTGCGTGCTCCTTAGAGGCTGGGCCAGAGTTCACCCCTTGCCCCCGCCAGAGCCCTGCCTCCCTCCCCCAGCCCTCACCCACCCCACAAGCTGCACTGAAGGGGAGGCCCCGGTGGGGGCATGGTCGCCATCCCTGGCCCATTTTTGTTGCTTTTTCAGTATTTTAGCCTCACTCTGCCCCACCTCATTAGCTGGAGGTTACAAGACAAGGGCTCTCGGAAAAAAAGACATGGACATCATCAGGGCGCCCAGGAATTGGGGCAGGAGGGCATAGCCTTCCTACTTCCCAGCGCCCTGCTGAGAACTCCCCCAAACTGCACACGAACCCCCCAAACACACAGGAACGAGGGGGCCCCAGCCAAGCGGCTGGCAGAGCGGCTGGAGAGGCATTCGCGGGGCTGTGTGTACGAGAGCTTGTTGGGAACTCGGTAACAGTCACCTAATGGGGGAATTTGAAAAGAATTCAACTGGATGTGTCCTTGTTAAACTAACATTAAGGATATTTAACAGCTGTCTCGGGCACATCACATTAAAATCCGGGACCAATGTGACAACCCAATGGCTCTGTCTGTCACGGGGAGAGTGGGGGAGCGGGGATAACAGGGAGAGGCATGGGCAGTGCCCCGGGCACGGCTTCCCCCACAGCAAACGGGCTGCCCAGCTGCCCGCCTGGGCAAGCCCCTTCTCCTGCCTGCAGACCCGGGTGCCGAGGGGCTGTGTAAGGGGGTCCCCACAGCGGGAACCGGACTGGAGCCCGCAGCCCACACCTGCACCCCACTGCCCGGCCACCTCCTTTTCCCTCTCCCTCAGCCCAGCCCATCCGCTCCACTGGCCAGCTTTGGGGCGGTGGACGCCGGTCCCATGAGAGGGGGCTGGAGGGGGACGGGAACCCCAGAAGTCCATGCACCTGGCGACCCGGGCCCTTTGGATCAACCTAGACCAGTGGTCGGCAAACTGCGGCTCGCAAGCCACGGTTTGCCGCTCTGTTGACTGAGTTTGCCGACCACCGACCTAGACACATTTCGGGTGAGGATAAGGCACTGATCCCGGAATGGTCCTGTTCATTTCTGAATGTAACATCATTGCTCATCGTTCATCCATCCATCCATCCATTCATCCATCCATTCATCACTCATTCATTCATCCATCATTCATTCATTCATTATCCATCCATTCATCATCCATTCATTCACTCACCATTCATTCTAGGACACTTCTTCGGGTGTCTGGATGCCCCTGGTGCATCCACAGCGCTAACCATCGCCCACATAGTCATCGATGCTGTGACGGGCCAGGGCACAGGGACCTCGTGGGCACAGCCCGCAGCCCGGGCGTCGGGTGGGGACAGGGAGCCTCCGGTCTGGGACTCTGGCAGGTGCTGCAATTGGGTCTGTTCTCTACAAACGGCGTGTGGGTGGATGGCAGGTGCCGGTGGTTCCGGGAGGTGGGCTGGAGGAGGGGAACACCGGCTCCTGCCCTCACTCCATCCTGAGGGCCCCTCGGGCCCCTGTCAGCCGAGTCCCGTTCCCTTCCCCAGAGCCATCACCCTGGAGAACACGCTGGTCATCCTGTCCACGGTGGCCCCGGACGCCGGCCGCTACTACGTGCAGGCGGTGAACGACAAGAACGGGGACAACAAGACCAGCCAGCCCATCACGCTCGCCGTGGAGAGTAAGTCCGCAGCGGGCCCGGCCGACGGCAGCGCTGACAGGAAATCTCGGGATTGGCGCTCGGGGGGAGGGGGTCATGGGAAAGATGGAAGGAGTGGAGGTTATAAGAGCTCTCGGAAAAAAAGACACGGCCATCATCAGGGGGGCCAGGAATTGGGGCAGGAGAGCATTGCCTTCCTACTTCCCAGCGCCCTGCTGAGAACTCCCCCAAACTGCACACGAACCCCCCAAACACACAGGAGCAAGGACGCCACAGCCACGCCGGCTGGCAGAGCAGCTGGAGAGGCTTTCCCGGGGCTGTAGGGGGAGGGGGAGACCTGCCGGGGGCGGAGTGTCAGAGGCAGGTAAGAAGGGGCCTGAGACCCTGTCCCAGGAGAGGGGACGCCTGCTTGGCGGTCAGCGGGGCCCCGGAGGCTGGGGAGGGGAGGGGCGGGGAGGGTTACATTCGTGAATTGTGCCACCCTGGGCTCAGGTGCAGACAGGGAGGGCGCCCAGGAAGTGGGGAGATCCTTTTTTTTTTTTTTTTTTTTTAATATATTTTAGTGATTTTCCACAGAGGGAGGGAGAGGGATAGAGAGCTAGAAACGTCAATGAGAGAGAAACATCGACCAGCTGCCTCCTGCACACCCCCTACCGGGGATGTGCCCGCAACCAAGGTACATGCCATTGACCGGAATCGAACCTGGGACCTTTCAGTCCGCAGACCGACGCTCTAGCCACTGAGCCACACCGGTTTCGGCGGGAGCTCCTTCTTAAACAAACACACTCGCTGCCTGTGCTCAGCCGGCGCGTGCAGATGCAGCTCGTCCCCCGAGCCAGGCCGTCCTCGCTGCGGGAACACAGTGCCGGCCGCACTCCCACCCGGAAGCACCTCATCCCCCATCCCCAGAGACCCCCGGGCCCGGCACAGAGAGGCCCCTCCCTCCCCGGGGCAGCGGAGGGCAGCCCATGGACAGGCTGTCTCCCTGAGCTTCCTTTGGCGAAGAGGCGTTGAGATGGAGACGCTGGAAGGTGCTCCCCACCCGGCCGGCCGGCTCCCTCCCCGCCCCGCCCGGTCCCCGGGATTGAGGGGGTGGGGGCCGGCCTGCAGCAGGCCCCGGCAGGGAACCACGGAGGGTGCGGGATGAGGCCAGCACCTCCCATAGCAGCTGAGCAGCCACGCAAGCTGGGGAGCCAGATGTTCCCGCCTCGGCGCATCTGTCCCAGCCCCGCTCCAAGCCCGAGTCTCATTTATCATCGCGGTCCCGCTGGGACAGGCCCGCCAGCAGCGAGAGGAGCGTGCGGGCACACGGACCTTCCCGTGTCCTTCCTCTGACCCGGCCTCTGCCCGCCTGCCGGTGCCTGGGAGGCCCAGAACATTCCCCAGCCCCTCCCGTCCCCGCTCCTGGGCCTTCTGAGCGCCCGCAACCCACTCCCCTCTCCAGGTTCCAGTCTGCCTAGAGCACATGTGTCAAACACAAGGCCCGCGGGCCAAATCCGTCCCGCCAGGCCTTGCAATGTGGCCCGCACCGCGCTGTCATCACTGCACTCCGCTGCGTTTCCATCACAATGACAGTTTATGACTGTTCAGTAAACCATTCGGCCCGCGATTTAGGCTGGATTTTAGATTTTGGCCCCTTCTCTGATTGAGTTCGACACCCCTAGCCTAGAGAGAGACCTGGATGCGGGGAGGGGGGTGCGTGCTGGGGGCTGGCCTGTCCGGGTCGAGGTGTAACCTCTGACATTGACCTGGGCCAAGGTCACGCTAGCCCCGTGGTCGGCAAACTGCGGCTCGAGAGCCACATGCGGCTCTTTGGCCCCTTGAGTGTGGCTCTTCCACAAAACACCACTGCCTGGGCGAGTCTATGTTGAAGGCCTGGCGTTAGAAGAAGTTTAAGTTTAAAAACTGTGGCTCTCCAAAGAAATGTCAATCGTTGTCCTGTTGCCATTTGGCTCTGTGGACTGATGAGTTTGCCGACCACGGCTCTAGCCCATGAGCTGAGGCTGCGGTTTCTGTGGGGACAGGATTTGGCCCCCAGAGGGAGATGTTTATCCCATGTCTTCAGTGGGGGTCAGAACACCTAGGGTCCAGGGGCATCAGTCATTGGTAGAAAGCCAGGTTCATGGTCCAGGTCAAGGCCATCCATCGTCCTGGTGACTCAGGCTCCCCTGAGACCAGAGGCCACAGCCTCCTCTTCCTTCTGTATTCCTCCCCCTGCACCCAAGCTCCTGGCCGACTCCGGATTGTTCCCTCTTTGCTCCGTGTTAACGCGGTACGGGAGGCAGACAGGGCCCCTGGACCCGCGTCCACCGAGCATTCCCAGCTGTCAGTCTCCCCAGCCCCCCGCCTCCGCCTCCTGCTCTCACACAGCGGTTTGAGCCTGGTCCCCGATGGGAGCAGAATCAGCTGGTTGTCAGTTCATTTCTCCTCCCACGAGCGACTGTGCCTCCAAACCCTGCTCCTGTCACTGACACCTCCCTGTGTGCCTGCTGCCAGCCGGGCACTCCGGGCAAATGCATCTCAGCCCGCCACCACCACCGGTTCCAGCTCCTCACGTTTATCCCCCACCTCAGCCCACCCCACCCTCCGCTCCCCCCCATCCCTCCCCCTCCTCTGCTCCCGCAGCTCCGCTTCTCAGCAACCCTCCCAGGGATGCCCATGATCTTCGGGAATGACGGACAGAGCCAGGCCCGTGGCCCCGGGCACTGTCCCTGCCCAGGTGTGACCCCGGTGACCTCACCCGGGCTGTCACACCCTTGAAAAAGCCCTGCCCTGGTGGTGTCCCCACCCCAAAGGGTCAGCCCTGCGCTGCCCCATAGCAACACGATGGGAGCTGCACACGTGACCTAGTACTTGACAGGAGCCTAATTTTTTTTAAGAAAAAAAAAAGGGATGAGAAATAGGTAATAAATTAATATGTCATTGATATATTTTACTTAACCCGACATGTCTAAAACAGTGCCATGGTGACGCACCATCGATACAGGATCACATCCCTGCGATATGTCACACGGGCGTGTTCTCTTTCCCGCGGCGTGTTCAGAGGCCGGTGTTCACCCTGGCCGCGCATCTCAACCCGGATGCAAACTTGTCACCTGACACACGCGGTCCGGGTTCAGGATTTTTTAAAAATTTACAGGCAGGGCCCCGTGCCAGGCTGCCCCAGGCTTCCTGAGAGTGTCTGGTAACTGATGGGGCGGGGGGGGCCTGTTTTTAATTAAACGCAAATTATTTTAAATTAAATCCCATTCAATCAAAGGGGCGCGGGGCGCGCATTGCAAGAGCTCGCAGCCGCCTGCGGTCCGTGGCCATCCGGCCGCCCCAGTCGGCCCTGCCCGCGCTCCAGGCCTGGCCGGGAAAGGCCCAGGTCCAACGGGAACAGAATGTCAAAAACAAAGTGAAATGAAGGAGGGGAAGAAAGGGAGCGTATAAAATAAAATAATTGCAACAATATAAAAGCCGATGCCGGGGCCGTAAAATGCGATCCGATTGAAGGCTGCTGATACAGCCGAACCCGTAAAAGCGTGCTCCGTGGTGTTTATGACATCTGGGTGCGCGGGGACCCAGACGGATGGGTCCGAGGAGGAGACGGACGGGGCCTGGGCAGTGCCCCACGGTGGAGCAGCGCCCTCAGTTTAAAAATACAAGGCCGCCCCGGGCCTCGGGCTGGCTGGGTGGCTCTGAGAGAGGAGAGGGGAGAGTGTGACCCTCCAGCCCACCCCAGGGACCCTGAAGCTCATGCCCAGGTCCAGGCGGTAGCCCACAGGGCTCAAAGGGAGGGGCAGCCAGTGGCCGGGGACCCTGGATCCGAGAAGAGGGGCCTGGGGTTCGGGGAGACCTGGTTCAACACCCCTATCAGCTCCAGGTGTCCCCGAGCTGAGCCGGTCTGGTGAGTGCCGGCCATCGGTGCATAGTAGGTGCTCAATAAACGACAGACAGCCTCCTGGGGATGTGCCCGCCTGGGCCTGGGACACCAGGGGGCAGACCGGAGCTAAGGGGGTGTCTTTCACGCGAGCTCCTGATGTGGCCAGCCCCGGGGCGGGAGGGAGCAGAGGGGCTCCCCCCATTTCGGCAAAGCCGGATCCTGCTAACGCCTGACCTCTCCCCAGATGTCGGGGGCCCCGCAGACCCCATCGCTCCCACCATCATCATCCCTCCCAAGAACACCAGCGTGGTGGCCGGGACCTCAGAGGTGACCATGGAGTGCGTGGCCAACGCCAGGTGGGCAGTGCCTCTCCCCGCTCCCGTCCACTCCCCCCCTCTCCCCCCTCAGGGCTGCTCCGGGAGACCTGCCGGCATTCGGAGAGGCCCGGGGTGTCCTACGAGGCCCCAGGGAAGGGGAAGGGTATCATATTTAGCCCGGGAAGGACAGAGGGCGGCCGTGCCAGCCAGCTGCTGTCGCAGGCCGTCGGCACAAGCAGGCCGCTCGCCCTCTGCGGCCGAGAGGAGGGGCCCAGCTCCGGGGGAAGTTAGGGGGCTGCAGGCTCAGCCTGATGCCGGGGACGGGAGCCCCCTCACGTCCAACCCTCAGAGCAGCCGGGAGACGGGCAGGGGCCTCTGCCCACGGTGCCCTCCTGCAGGCAGGCACCGGCCGGAGACAGCTCACACAGGGGCTTTGGGGAGGGCAGCCCTGGGCTTGGGGGCAATCAAGGCCCCTTCCTAGGCGTGCCCGACCCTCACCGCTGTTGTTAATCCTCACCTGAGCATATTTTTCCATTGATTTTCAGAGAGAGTGGGAGGGGGGGGGGGAGAGAGAAAGGAACATCGATGTGAGAAGGCACAGGGATGGGTTGCCTCCCGCAGCACCCCAGGTGTGTGCCCTTGACCGGAATCCGTCACTGAGCCAGCCAGCTAGGGCCAGGACCCTCACGTTGGCTCACAGGAGACAAACACTTCCGTCCTGCGTGTGGTGTCGTGTTGACTGCATGCTGTGTTGCCTGCATGTGGTGCCTGTGTGCCTGCCTTTGGGGACCGGCCAAATAGGAGAGCCGGGCAAACCCAGTCCCAGGGAGCTTGGGGGTTCAGGGGGGGTGGGGGGGGAAGGATGGTGGGAAAGGGCTCGGCTCTCATCCTCACCCCATGGAAGTTGGGGGATGGGTACAACCTGCCTTTGTCTCCCCGTCTCCACATGGTGTGTGCTTCCCCCATGTTTCCCTCATCTCGTTCCCTCGCCTCTAGCCACCTCCTGTCCGTCCGCTGAGCTGCGTCCGGGGCCTGGCACACGGGAGGGCAGGGGAGACGGGAGGGCAGGGGAGAAAGGTTCGGAGAAGGAAGCCTCTGAGCCCTGGGCACCGAGTTATTCCCGGGCGGGGCCTGTTCCGAAGGCCACCCCTGCGTCCGTGCATCCACCGTCACCCCAGCCCCGCAGAGCACGGCGGTCCCATTCCACAGAGAAGGAAACCGAGGCCCAGAGCCCTGCAGGAACGTGCCTGAGGGCCGTGCACTTAGAAAACCCGGGAGGCTGGGCAAACCGCGGCGCCTGGCCCCGGGCCTCCCTCCTCACCCCGGCCTGCCCTCTGGCCTCCGGAAGTCCCCGTGGCTGAGGCCCGCCCGCTCCCCCGCTCCAGGCCCCTGATCAAGCTGCACATCCTCTGGAGGAAGGACGGGGTGCTGCTGTCCGGCGGCATCAGCGACTACAACCGCCGGCTCACCATCCCCAGCCCCACGGGCAGCGACGCCGGCTTCTACGAGTGCGAGGCCGTGCTGCGCGGCAGCAGCGTCCCCTCCGTGGTCCGCGGAGCCTACCTGTCCGTGCTGGGTGAGCCGGGGCGGGGCTGCGCGGGCGCCCGCAGGGGGAGGGGCAGCGTGGTTCTGTCATAAGGAGCATGGTTCTGATCCCCTCCCCTGCCTTCCTCCCTGCAGCACCACCTCAGGCCCACAGGGGGAGGGGCAGCGTGGTTCTGTCATAAGGAGCATGGCTCTGATCCCCTCCCCTGCCTTCCTCCCTGCAGCACCACCCCAGGCCCACAGGGGGAGGGGCAGCGTGGTTCTGTCATAAGGAGCATGGCTCTCATCCCCTCCCCTGCCTTCCTCCCTGCAGCACCACCTCAGGCCCACAGGGGTAGAGGCAGCATGGTTCTATTATAAGGAGCATGGCTCTGATCCCCTCCCCTGCCTTCCTCCCTGCAGCACCACCCCAGGCCCACAGGGGGAGGGGCAGCGTGGTTCTGTCATAAGGAGCATGGCTCTCATCCCCTCCCCTGCCTTCCTCCCTGCAGCACCACCCCAGGCCCACAGGGGGAGGGGCAGCGTGGTTCTGTCATAAGGAGCATGGCTCTCATCCCCTCCCCTGCCTTCCTCCCTGCAGCACCACCCCAGGCCCACAGGGGGAGGGGCAGCGTGGTTCTATCATAAGGAGCATGGTTCTGATCCCCTCCCCTGCCTTCCTCCCTGCAGAACCACCCCAGGCCCACAGGGGGAGGGGCAGCGTAGTTCTGTCATAAGGAGCATGGCTCTGATCCCCTCCCCTGCCTTCCTCCCTGCAGCACCACCTCAGGCCCACAGGGGTAGAGGCAGCATGGTTCTATTATAAGGAGCATGGCTCTGATCCCCTCCCCTGCCTTCCTCCCCACAGAGCCGCCTCAGTTCCTCAGGGAGCCGGAGAGACACATCACGGCGGAGATGGAGAAGGTGGTGGACATCCCCTGCCGAGCCAAAGGTACCCCAGCGGATGGCGAGGGTGAAGGGGGACGAGGGGCCCCGACCCTGCAGCCTCTCCTGTCTGTCCCGGACGTTCCTCGGCGCCACCTCCTCCTCCAGGCACCGCCCTTGAGCAGAGGGTCTGCCTGGCTGTGAGCAGACACCCCCGGGGAACAAACAGGCCAAATTACCGTAATCTCAGGCCTGGGAATCCACCTGCGTTATCATAACCTGAGGGTTACAAATGACCCCAAATCACTGTGATTTCAGAATAGGTGACAGACCCAAATCGCCTATAATTCGAGAGTTGTCGGCGCTGCCCAATTACCAGCACATCTGAACTAGGAGAACGGGGCGGGGCGGGGGGGGGGGGGTGTTACATCTCGCCCTAGATGTACCTCGGAAGGACCGCCTGGTTTCTGGGATATGTTGTTCCCTCTCCCCCCACCCCACCCCCCGACCATTTCTACTTGGCCCCCGTCAGAGCTCCTGGGGCATTTCTGCTTTTCCCATCCCCACCCTCCCCGCTTCTAGGGCAGCTGAGCCAAAACACAGCCCGAAACCAGGATGAACTTGGGCGGGGGGGGGGAGGGGGGACGGGGAGGGCAGGCCCAGAGGGACATGACCTAATACTGAGCAGAGAGGCACAGCGTAGCTCAGGCAGGTGGAGAGTGACAGGGAGAGGGGACCCCGCCTGGGGGAGGCCCGTTCCATGCATCCAATCAACAACCGTGTTTTCCGACGGCTCGCCCTGTGCCGAACACTGGAGCTGGCGTTCCCGTGAGGCGGGCAGACAGTCCAATGAGCAAATAGAGATGCCCCGTTTCCTTTCATCTGAAATGCCGGGGGTCATAAGACGCCCGTTATGTTATGTGCCTCTGAGAAAGAAAAAGGACTGCCGATTCAATGATGACGGGCTGTCCGCGGGAGACACGGCCTGCTCTCGCCGACATTCCGACGGGAAGGAACGGGGACATGGAATGTTGGGGTGCAAAGCACTAGGGAGGAGACGCGGGCGGGCTGTGGGGGCACAGAGCCAGGGGTGCGCTTTGGGACAGGCGGGGGAGCCCTCTAGGGAAATGACATTTGAGCGGAGAGGCCCAGAGGGAGAGTGGGGATAAGGGGGATTGGGGGTACCCGTGGGAAGGCTGAGAGGCAAGGGTGCCCCCCTTCACTCTGCTGTGCAGACCATGTACGGGGGCTTCTGGGGGATCCCCGAGGAGTCCTGGTCCCCTCCGCGGGCTCCTTGCCCAGCGGGAGGGTCCCAGAGCCCACCAGAACCGGTGCTGAATGTTGCAGGAAAAAAAAAGTCTCCTTTAGCCACCCCAGCATCCCCAAGCTGAACGAAAGCGGGGTGTTTTAAATGGTCTTGAAACACCTGCTCTTTAAGAACTTGAGATCATCCTCCCCCTCTCCCAGGGCCAGCCGTGCCCGTCCGAGAAGATTCTAGAAACCAAGTCACCCAGGGACCCCCTCCCAGGCGCCGGGCCTGCACTGCGCACTCCTGGGGGGGGGGGGGGGGGAGGCGGGCCGGCGGCTGACCTCAGTGCCCCTCTCCCCAGGCGTGCCCCCGCCCGCCATCACCTGGTACAAGGACGCGGCGGCGGTGGAGGTGGCCAGGCCGGGCCGCATCCGGCAGCGCGGGGACGGGGGCCTGCAGATCAGCGGGCTGGTGCCCGACGACACCGGCATGTTCCAGTGCTTCGCCCGCAACGCGGCCGGAGAGGCACAGACGTCCACCTACCTGGCCGTCACCAGTGAGTCCCTCCCCGGGCCCCTCCCTCCCGGACCAGATCCTTAGCCCCTCGTACCCAGGACCGGATCCTGTCCCGAGAGCAGAGGCAGGATCCCCGAGCACGACCCTGAGCCACGTACACCCACTGCTCCCGCAGCCCCACGTCCAGCGCCCGGAGGAGGCCTCAGTCCCCACATCCCCCCCCACCCCACCCCCAGCCCCGCCAAGATCCGGCTGAGGACGGGCTCCCTGGCGCTCGGAGAGGCTGGGGCATTCCGGCTGCCCGGTTCCCGCCCTGCAGGCCCGTCCCAGCCCCGCGTATCTGCCCGCTTCTCCAAAGAGCAGAACAGCACTTTATTTTTTTACTTTTTCAGACATTTTTATTGGTTTCCGAAAGGAAGGGAAAGGGAGAGAGAGGAACATCAGTGAAAAGAGAGACTCATTGATTGGCTGCCTCCTGCACTGGGGATCGAGCCCACAGCCCGGACATGTGCCCTGGCCCGGAATCGAACCGTGACCTCCTGGTTCATAGGTCAACGCTCAGCCACCAAGCCACGCCGGCCCGCCCGGCGAGAGCCAGCACTTTAACCTCAGCTCCCCGACTCGCCAATCCCACCCCCCAGGAGTGGCTTTGGGGCGATAGCAGTGGCCCTGCCCCCTTAGGGAGCCGCCTCCGCCCTCGGGGACACGCCGAAGCTCTGCAGATGCCACGTCTCCGCAGCAGAGCTGGTCCCCAGGCACACGGAGGCCGCAGGCAGAGAGGACTGGGTCGCCCCCAAGGCGGGGGGGTGCAGGAGGGGCGCCCCCGGGCCTGCAGCTTCCCTGAGCTTGGTCCGGGCTGGTCCGTGTGGGAGCCGTGCCCCACACCCACCCGGGCAGGGGGTTCCGAGGGGTCAGGGAAGGTGGACAGAGAGCGTCCGCTCTGGCGTAGAGGGACCAGGGACCCCCAGGCTGCCAGGCACGGTGCCTGCCTCTCAGACAGCGGGCGGGCGATGCCGGGCGGCCAGAGCTGTCCTGTTTTAAGGAGCAGAGCCTCAGTGTCATGTCTAAGGAGGGTGAACCCCTTTGCCTAGTCACGGGGGTGGGAGCTGCTCTGGGGAGCCCTCCGTTTCCCCCACAGGGAGGCTCCAGAAGCAAGGCAGGCGGGAACTGGTCTCACCTGGGTCCTTCCGCGGGGCGGGTAACGTGGGAGCCCTCGAGGGTCCTCCCTGCTCCCTCCCGTCGGTGCAACCCCTTGAGGCCCCTGCAGCCTTCCCTAGTGGGGATGGGGGGGTGGGGGGGAGGCAGCTTTCCCCAATGTGGGGGGAGAGGGCCCCACACTAGGGGGGCCCCTCCCAGCTGCAGCTGAGCGGCCCCGCTCTCTCCCTTCGCAGGCATCGCCCCCAACATCACGCGGGGCCCCCTGGACAGCACGGTGATCGACGGCATGTCCGTGGTGCTGGCCTGCGAGACGTCGGGGGCCCCGCGGCCCGCCATCACCTGGCAGAAAGGTAGAGGAGATGGGCGGCTTTGGGGGGATGGGAGCAGGCACGGCAGTCCTCAGAGCCCGTCGGGAGCCAGCCGGGCTGGGTGGGTGTCCCGGGTTCCGTTGTGAAGGTCACAGGGCACAACTCGGGGGGGGGGGGGGGGGCACCTGTCACACCCCAGTGAAGTGAATGCCCCCACCCCCGCCCCGCTGCCCGCGGGCTCCGGCACAGCTCGGCGTCTTCTGAGACCTGTGACCTTGGGTGAGCTGCTCCCCCCCGCTGGCCGCACGGTCGCCTCTGTGGTGGGGACGGTGTGCTTCGGGGTCCGTGGTCTGTGGGTGTGGATGCAGGAAGGGGAGCTCCAGACGCTGGAGCCAGCAAAGCCCGGCCGCCCACCTACGTCCACCCACTCCGTGCCTCCTGTCCCCTCTGTGTCTCACACTCATCTTCCAGCTCTCCCCGTGGGCATGCATGGACACACATGTGCACACATGTACACACACACCTCTAAGCCCCGCTCAGAGGCACCTTCCCCGCGGGCCTCGCCCAGCCCCTGTGCCCCAGGCCCTCCCCGCGGCCCGCCTGCCTCAGCCCCTGGCGTCTGACACACGCGATCGCTCACGAGGGCAGGGCTGGCAGCCGCGTCCTCTGCTGTCTCCCCGGAGCCTGGAGCAGAGGCGGGCGCACAGTAGGAGCTCAGGTCAATCCGTGCGGGATGAACGTCACCACACCCAGGCATGTGCCTAGACACGGAACCAGACACACATTCCTAACACGCTGGCTAGTTCAGTGTGTCTGCACACGTGTGCAAACAGACACACCTGCTCACAGGCCTGCACCTGGAGAATCTCCCCCTATAAGGGCCGGTGGGGTGTTTTTTTTTAAATAGAGACAGCCACGAAAACCTGCCCTCCCAGGCTGGCTACACACAGCACATCCTCCCTCCTTCCTCTCTCTCCCCCTCTCTCTCCCTCTCTCTCCCCCCCCCCCTCTCTCTCTCCCTCTCTCTCTCCCTCTCTCTCTCTCTCTCTCTCTCTCTCTCTCTCTCTCTCTCTCTCTCTCTCTCTCTCTCTCCACCTCCAGGTGCCAGGCTTCCCTTGGTCCCCTGCACAGGGAGGTCTGTCCTGGCCAGGGCTGCCCCCGTCCCTCTCTCCATCCCCCACCCCCCCCCTCCCGACTACTCCCACCCTCCAGGTTCCTCCGCTCTCCACTCTCTGAAGGTGACTCTCCAGAAGCATCCTCCCAGGATGCCTGTCACCACCTCTCAGAGCTGCCCGCCCCTCCCCACCCCGCCCGCCCCGGTGCCGGCTGCCTCGGGTGCCCGGCCGGCCCGGTGAAGGGCAGACAGGGTGGTGGCCGAGAGGCGTCAGGAGCCCTGGCTCCGGGCTGCCGGCCGCTCTGTGACCTGTGCTCTGGGCTGTCAGCCGTCAGGAGCCTCCGCCCTCCCCCCGCAGCCGGTCACCACCCAGTCCCGGCCTTTCTACAGCTGGGAGCCTGCCTCACCCCAGCCCCACCCCCACCCGGGGCAGCCCAGGAGGGGGGCGTGGGGCGAGCGGTCAGTCGGGGCTGCCCCTGAGCCCTCTCCGTGCCGCCCGCAGGGGAGCGCATCCTGGCCAGCGGTTCCGTCCAGCTGCCCCGCTTCACGCTCCTGGAGTCGGGCAGCCTGCTGGTCAGCCCCGCCCGCCTCTCCGACGCCGGCACCTACACCTGCCTGGCCACCAACTCCCGGGGCGTGGACGAGGCCTCGGCGGACCTGGTCGTGTGGGGTGAGTGTGCGGAGCGGAGTGCGGTGCCGTCTGTGCGTGAGTGTGCGCCGAGCCCCGCCGGCCCCGCCTGCCCCGCAGAGCACACGCTCGCACGCCGGCACCTCCGCCCACCCACGTCTGTCCGGCCGGCGGGCTTCTTACGAGAGGGCCTCCCACACGTCCGTTTGGAGGAGGGCGACCAGGAAGCCAGGGATGGAGGGCTGCTCCGAGCATGGCCGGGCAGCGAGGGCATGGCGGCAGAACCCAGCCAGCGGTCTCCGTGACCAGCTGGAGTGTACATACGTACATCAGGCGTGTGGGCCAGGCGGTCGCAACTCCTCAGCCGACGCTTTGGTTTTACTAAGAAAGGGCCACAGATGCTCCTTCACCCACGGCCGTGGCTGTGGTCCAGCCCCCGGACGTGACCCCAGACTGTGATCCGCTGACCCCTGCTCTATGGAAACGTCCCGAGTCCTTTCCAGCTCCCTGCCTGCACCCCCACATGGGGGTCTGCACCCGCGACAGACACGCCTGTGGGCCTGCTGGGTGGGCTGCCAGGCGGTGGCCCCGTGAGCAGCTCATTAGTCCTGCGTGTACCTGGCCTGGACCACTCGTGTGCTGGGAACAGGACCCTGCCCACCCCCAGGTTTCTGGTTTTTCATCCCGCACACGCGTGTGTGGGAGCACCGTTCAGTGACCCCCGCTAGGCCCGTGGCTCCCGGGATCCCAGGTCTCAGGGAGGCTCAGTGCCCTCATGAGCGGGCTGGGACGTTCTCGGCGGTCTTCCCGTTCGCCTGCTGGTCCGCCTTCATCCCCCCACAGAGCCCAGCCACGTCGGCCGGTTCGCCGGCCGGCACCTTCCCGGCCCCTGCCTCCCGCCAGTCGCTCTGGCGCCCGCCCCTCTCCTCACCGCCGCCCCCTGCTGTCTTTCAGCCCGGACCCGCATCACCAGGCCGCCCCAGGACCAGAGCGTCATCAAGGGCACCCAGGCCTCCATGGTGTGCGGCGTGACCCACGACCCCCGGGTGACCATCAGGTACCCCCTCTGTGGCGGCCCCGGGGAGGCCAAGGGGAGGGCAGCTCCGAGGGTGGCTGGTGGCTGGGCCAGTGTCTGCACCAAGGAGGTGGGCATTGCCCGTGGGGCCACAGAGCATTTTTTTGGGGGGGGGAGAGGGGGCCCATTTACAGACCTGGTGCAGGGCTGGGACGCTGTGTAAATAAATGCCTGGGAGCAGCGCAAGCTTGGACTGAATTGGGCCATGTGAGAGGGAGGGGGTGTGGAGAAATGGAGAAATGGAGGAAGGAAGAGGGAAGAAGTGGGGAGGAAGGGGCATTGGGCTGCTGGCTCTCCCAGACCCTCGGCCCGCTGAGTGGACAGCAGAGGGTCTGGGTGGGCAGGTGTGGGAGAAGGGAAAGGGCCGGGCCAGGAGAGGGCCTGGGGCCACACATGGGAGGGGCAGGTGCCCAAACAGAGTAACCCCCACCGTGCACCTGGGCCTGGAGGCAGCCAGCGCCCTCGGTGGAACCCTCTGGAGAGGCCCAGGCGGGGCAGCTCAGGACAGAAGCAGCTGAGAAAGGCTAAAGATCTGGGACCCCACCCCCCACCCTTGCCCCACCCCCACCAAGCTTGGGGTGAAGACCCCTGGGGGCCAACCCTGGGGAAGGCTTTGGGAACTAACCCCAGGAGAAAACCGACCTTTGGGACGCTGAGTAAACATTTGTAGCTGCTTCCTCCGAGGTGACTATTCCCTCCCTGTGGCTTCTGTGTTGTGTGGGCCACGATGCCTCCTGGAGCAGCAGCTCCCACACTCCAGAACAGCTGCGTCCTGGGGCGCCATCTGGTGGCCACTGGGCGTATGACAATCTGTCCGGCCACACCGCGGGGACCCTGGCAGCCAAGGCTGGCCTGAGGGCTGGTAGACTTTGAAACCAAAACTGGCTCTCAGAGGATCCGCCTCGGGCTCCACTTTGAGAAACAGCTCCTGTGACTCCCCACACGGACCCTGTGGGACGTCCCCGTACGGTGCCAGCGCAGAGGCCAAAAGCAGCCGTGAAGTCACACAGATGTGGGCGGAACACGGTCCACGGGTGATCCCGAACCCCCGACACGAGTGCCTGCCCAGAGCCGGCCGCCCACGCGTGTCCATGGCAACGACGGCTATACGTCCTCCAGAGCAGTTCCCGAGGAGACGCCTCTCACGCTCAGACACAGACACGCGGGTCACTGCTCAGGGCCCCTCGGTGCCGACCGGCCGAGGCGAACGTGGGTTTTGGACACGGAAGTCACTTTGTCACAGCGATGCAGGGTCTCGGGATTCTCACACAACGGATTGCCCCGCATAGCCCGGGCGGAGATTCCCGTTCTCTGTCCACCGGTGACCTCGTCCCCTCGTGGGGAGAACACCTGTGCCAGCCCCGGGCGGTGACTTCTGGCGCAAAGCAGCCAGGCTTGGCCCTGGACCGGACCCGAAGGTGTGGATGACCGGCAGAGACTTAACATGCTGACCCTCCTGGACGGACGCACACCCTCCCGCAGGGATGATGGACGGCAGGCTGCTCTGGCTTCCGCCACACCCTTCCCCCAGACCAGCCCCGGAGGCCGGTGCGGCCCAGGGTCCCCGACCCACCTTCTCTCCTGCAGACCAGCCGGGGCTGAGCACACCCCAAGAGCACCCCCGCTTCCCTACCTCTCTATGTCTTAATATATTTTTATTTTTTTATATTAAATCAAATCTATTTGATTTCAGAGAGGAAGAGAGAGGGCAAGAGGTAGAGATAGAGAGAGTGAGAGAGAGAGAAACATCAATGATGAGAGAGAATCATGGATCAGCTGCCTCCTGCACGCCCCCTACTGGGGATCGAGCCCACAACCAGAGCATACGTACGTACGTACGTAAGCCCTGGCTGGGAATTGAACTCTGACCTCCTGGTTTATAAGGTCGCGACGCTCAACCACTAGCCACGTCTCTTTACCTGTCGGTTCCTCTTTGCCGCAGGTACGTGTGGGAGAAGGACGGGGCCGCCCTGGGCGTGGAGAGCACCCCCCGCGTCCGGCTGGACAAGAACGGCTCCCTGCACATCGCCCAGACCTGGTCGGGGGACATCGGCACCTACACCTGCCGCGTGTTCTCCGCCGGCGGCAACGACTCGCGCAGCGCCCACCTGCGGGTCAGGTGAGGGCCCCCCGCCCGGCCCCGCGCCCAGAGGAGCCAGCAGCACCCACCCACCGAGAAGCCTCATTCTGGCAGGCCCCCGGGGGACGGGGACCACCCGCTGCCCTCAGGACACGCCCGGGCATCCTGCCAGGCGGGGCCCCTGCAGGAGCAGGGGCGCCTGGGTGTGGCTGTGGCCGGGTGGGCTCCGGGCCCGAGAGGAGACCCTGCAGGTAGATGGCTCCAAGGTACGGTGACCAGATCGTCCAGGTGTTGGTGGGACAGTCCTGATTTCTAACAATTTTCCCCGCGTCCCGCGGTGTTTAAAAAAAAAAAAAAAAGTCCCGATTTTTTGAAAGATTGGAAACATTGGAAAGATTCTTTCCAAAAATCGGGAGTTTTTTAAAAACGTCGTGGGATGCGGGGGGAAATTGTTAGAAATCAGGACTGTCCCGCCCACACCTGGACGATCTGGTCACCTTACTCCAAGGCCACGTTCTGTGGCCGAGCACGAGGCATCCGGGGAGTCCTATATCCGAGTCCGGTCCGCCCGCGTGTCCCCCGACCGTGGACCTCACCGGGGGCGGCCCCACCTCTCTCCTCCAGGCAGCTGCCCCACGCGCCCGAGCGCCCAGTGGCCACGCTGAGCGCCGCGGAGAGGAGGGCCATCAACCTGACGTGGGCCAAGCCCTTCGACGGCAACAGCCCGCTGCTCCGCTACATGCTGGAGATGTCGGAGAACAGTGAGGCTCGCACAGTATGGGGGGGATGGGGTGCTCAGCCGTGGGGTCCCGGCGCCCATGACCCGGGCCTCTGCCTCGGGGCAAACCCTCCCCTCTGGAGACTCAGCCGCCTGGGCTGTCACATGACCCAATCGGCTCCCTGGGGCCGCGGTGACAATTGGACAAGATACTCGCCAGGCGCGGGATGTGAGCATTTTCTCCTCCTCACTGCGAGCTCCAGAGCTGGCATGCATAATTTAAACGGCGTTTTAAGTCAGCGTGCCCGGAGCTCATCGATCTGAGGGGGAAAAAGATGGAAAAGACGGATACATCTCAGTCCCCGCGAGCGCTGGATCCTCCCCAGCGGCCTCCACCTCCCTCCCTCCCTCCCTCCCACCTCCCTCTACCTCTTCTCCCCAGCCAAGGGGCCAAAAAAGTGACGGACCAGCCTCTCCTGGACCAAGCGGGTGGCACTCCTCTGCTAGCCCAGAAGAGGCTGGGCCCTGCTGGGCACAGGGGTAAGAGGCATGGCCCCCCAAGATGCCCACCTCTGCCCCCGCCCTCTGTCCCTGCAGACGCCCCGTGGGCCGTGCTCCTGGCCAGCGTGGACCCCGAGGCCACCTCGGTGGTGGTCAAGGGCTTGGTCCCCGCGCGCTCCTACCAGTTCCGCCTCTGCGCCGTCAACGACGTGGGCAAAGGCCAGTTCAGCAAGGACACGGAGAGGTGAGAGCGGGTCTTGGGGGCAGGCTCGGGGAGGGCCCCGAGGGGCTGCCAAAGCCACTGTGGCCAGGCTGCCCTCAGGTGCTGGCCGGCTCTCCCCGGGCCCTCCAGCCTCAGTCTCCACATCTGTGGGTGAGATCACAGCACACACTCCTGCCTCCCATGTCGGTTTCATGCCGACATGAAACCACACGCGTGTAGCTCTGTGAGCAGCGCCCAGCGCGGGCCAGGCTTCCACCAAGCTCGGTCCTCCCTCTGACTGCGGGCTCTGCAGGGTCAGAGACCTGCCCCCTCCTGCCCCGCAGGCCCCCGGGCTGCCGCCCATTCACCAGGCGTGCACTTCCAGAGGGGCGCAAGCCTGCTCCCATCCCCACAGCCGGCGCCTGGCCGGACCCCAGCCCTGCTAGGCTCTCCTCAAAGCATTCTATAAAATGATGGAAACAGTCCTAACCGGTCTGGCTCAGTGGATAGAGCGTCGGCCTGCGGACTCAAAGGTCCCAGGTTCGATTCCCGTCAAGGGCATGTACCTTGGTTGCGGGCACATCCCCAGTAGGAGGTGTGCAGGAGACAGCTGATCTATGACTCTCTCTCATCGATGTTTCTGACTCTCTGTCTCTCTCTCTTCTTCTCTGTAAAAATCAATAAAATATTTTTTTTTAAATGATGGAAATAGAATAAAAGCAGTGGGCGTTCCTTTTTAAAGCATCGCGGTGGGATCCGCCTGCGCAGGAGGCGAAGGCCAGCCCCTCGCCTTGCGGCAGCGGCCACGCCAGTGAGGAGGAGCGTGCAGAGGCCACAATGGCAGCCACACCCGAGCTCTGCTCTTGGTTTTTTTAAGGTTACTTTTATTTTTCCAGCTTTATGGATGGAGGTCTGATGGACTCGCAGCATTGCGTGCATTTAAGGTGTGCAACCTGTGGATTTGCTCCACTCATATCCTGCAAGGCTCCCACGGCGGTTGGCTGACACCTCCATCCCGTTACACATTCTCTGTTTTTGTTGTTGTTGTGAATCCTCCCCTGAGGATATTTTCCCCTTGATTTTTAGGGAGAGTCGAAGAGAGAGGGGGAAAGACAGAGAGAAACATCGACGTGAGAGAAACACATCCATCGGTTGCCTCCTGCGTGAGCCCCTGACCAGGGCCCGGGCTGGGGAGGAGCCTGCCACCAAGGCACGTGCCCCCCGACCCGAATCGAACCCGGGGCCCTCTGGTCTGCCGGCCGGCGCTCTATCCACGGAGCCACACTGGCCAGGGCCACATTCTCCTTTTCGTGGTCTTTCCTCTCTGAGCAACGTTCACGCGTAACAGAGGATCCGTAGCTCTCGTCACCGTGCTGTCCATCAGAACCCCCGAGCCTGCTCACCTTACAAGGAGAGTGGTCCCTTTGGCCGGTATCTCCCCGCGCCCCCACCCCCGGCCCTTCTGTGAGGCCACCATCCGACTCTGTTTGCCTGAGTTCGGCTTCTGCAGAGTCCACATCCGAGTGATGATCATAAACGGTGTGTCTCTCTGTCTGGCTCCTCTCACTTAGCACAGTGCCCTCGGGGTTCAGCGCGTTGTCTCAGAGGCAGGAGTAAACATTTGTAGCTGCTTCCTTGGAAGTGACTTGCCCGAAAGCACACAGCCATGGTGCAGCACCCGGGAGCAGAGCGGGGCAGGCAGGGGTCAGCCTCCTCCGGCCCAGGACGCGCCTGTGTTTGCCCTCGGAACGGGAAAACCCACCCGCTCCCTCCCGGTGTTTCCTCTCCAGGGTCTCGCTCCCCGAGGAGCCGCCCACCGCCCCACCGCAGAACGTCATCGCCAGCGGCCGCACCAACCAGTCCATCATGATCCAGTGGCAGCCGCCCCCCGAGAACCACCAGAACGGCCTCCTCAAGGGCTACATCATCAGGTAGGCGCCCGCCGGAGGGACAGGGGAGGGCCAGAGGGACAGGGGGGGCCGGAGGGATGGGGGAGGGCCGGAGGGACGGGGGGAGGGCCGGAGGGACGGGGAGAGGGCCGGAGGGACGGGGGAGGGCCGGAGGGACAGGGGAGGGCCGGAGGGACAGGGGAGGGCCGGAGGGCCGGAGGGATGGGGGAGGGCCGGAGGGACAGGGGAGGTTGTGGGACGGGGGGAGGGCCGGAGGGACGGGGGGAGGGCCGGAGGGACGGGGGAGGGCCGGAGGGACAGGGGAGGGCCGGAGGGACAGGGAGGGCCGGAGGGACAGGGGGAGGGCCGGAGGGACGGGGGGAGGGCCGGAGGGACGGGGGAGGGCCGGAGGGACGGGGGGAGGGCCGGAGGGACAGGGGGAGGGCCGGAGGGACGGGGGGAGGGCCGGAGGGACGGGGGAGGGCCGGAGGGATGGGGGGAGGGCCGGAGGGACAGGGAGGGCCGGAGGGACGGGGGGAGGGCCGGAGGGACAGAGGAGGGCCGGAGCGGAGGGACAGGGGGTGGGGGGGCGGGCGCCGTGGATGGGGAGCATCAGGAGTGGGTTGGAGAACAGAGCCAATTCGCACGGGCCCTTCGCCATCTGGGAAGGATCCGACAACAAGAAGAGCCCGCCCTGTGGTAGGAAGGACGGCGGCTAGACATCTAAAGAACTCCCAGCAGTGAGAGCCTGGAAACCACCGCAGGCCCCACCCCGACCTGATGGGAAGCACTGGGGTGGGGGGGTCCCCAGCAGTCTGTTTTAGCGGGGCCTCCTTCCACACAAAGGCTTTGAGGACCGCTGCTCTGGGTAGAATAACTCCCCCAAGTCACCAGGGCCCCTAGTGTCCCACGGTTAGTCTAAGGTGAGTCTCCGGAATTTGCCTGTGCAGGTGTCACTTCCTCGTTCCCGGTGTTCTTTGTTCTGGTGGCAGTAGAAATGCCAGCGTAGGTAGCCTCGGGTTTCTTTGTTTCTCTCTACCCGCCAAAGAGAGAGCCCCTGCCCTAGAGGGAAAAGAAAATGCGCCCTTGCCCTGGCTGGTGTGGCTCAGTGGATAGAGCGTCGGCCTGTGGACTGAGGGCTTCCGGGTTTGATTCCGGTCAAGGGCATGTACCCTAGTTGCAGGCACATCCCCAGTAGGAGGCGTGCAGGAGGCAGCTGATTGATGTTTCTCTCTCATCAATGTTTCTAACTCTCTATCCTTCTCCCTTCCTCTCTGTAAAAAATCAATAAAATATATTAAAAAAGAAAAGAAAATGAACCCAGCTGGTGGTGGGACTCCCTGGTTCAGGGTCAACCCATGAACCAGGAAGTCACGGTTCAGGTCTCGGTCAGGGCACAGGCCCAGGTTGCGGGCCCCATCCCCAGTGTGGGGAGCCGATCAACGATACTGTCTCATCATTGATGTTTCTCTCTCTCTGTCCCTTCCTCTCTGAAATCAATTAAAATATCTTTTTTTAAAATAAAATAAAGCCGAAACCGGTTTGGCTCAGTGGTAGAGCATCGGTCTGCGGACTGAAGGGTCCCAGGTTCGATTCCGGTCAAGGGCATGTACCTGAGTGGCGGGCACATCCCAGTGGGGGGTGTGCAAGAGGCAGCTGGTCGATGTTTCTCTCTCATCGATGTTTCTAGCTCTCTGTATCTCTCCCTTCCTCTCTGTAACAAATTAATAAAATATATTTAAAAAAATAAATAAAATAAAATTTTAAAAAAAAAAAAAACCAGGATGGTCCCCAAGTCTTACGTTAACCAGTCAGGTAGCCCCTGGCTGAGGCACAGGAGCCACCGCCGACCACTGCCTCCCGACTCCCCCCTCAGGTACTGCCTGGCCGGGCTGCCGGTCGGGTACCAGTTCAAGAACATCACGGACGCCGAGGTCAACAACCTGCTGCTGGAGGACCTCATCATCTGGACCAACTACGAGATCGAGGTGGCCGCCTACAACAGCGCGGGGCTGGGCGTCTACAGCGGCAAAGTCACCGAGTGGACGCTGCAGGGAGGTGGGCGTGCGGGCGGCCCGGGGGGCAGGGGCTGCGGGGGAGAGGGAGAGGTGGGGGCGAGCGTGGTGCAGGCGGCGGTTACAGGGGACCAGGGACCTTCTGCGAAGGCTCACATTAGCTGGATCATGAACCAGCTTATGTCTTAGCTTTGGACCTAAAACGACCCTGGCATTTTCATACCCAGCACTTCCCTTTGCCTGTACCCTGTCAATGGGTCAGACAAGCTTTATTTATTTATATATATATATATTTATATATATATATATATATATATATATATAATGGATTTCAGAGAGGAAGGGGGGGAGAGAGAGAGAGAGAGAGAGAGAGAGAGAGAGAGAGAGAGAGAAACATCAACGATGAGAGGAAATTACCAACTGGCTGCCTCCTGCACGCCCCCAACTGGGGGTGGAGCCTGCAACCCAGACATGTGCCCTGGCCAGGAATTGAACCACGACCTCCTGGTTCATAGGTCGACACTGAGCCACACCAGCTGCCAATGTCTCTCTCTCTCTCTCTCTCTTTGGGCCAGATAAAGCTTTATTCCTGCAAACTAATCAAGAGAAAGAAGGCATTTTGGTCTACACAGGGAGGGGGAGAAGGGCCGAGCAGAGCCCACAGACCCCTTCCCTGTGCTTTCTCTACTCAACTGCACCCCTCCACCCCCACCCCTGCTCTGCTCTCCTCTCCTCCAGTCCCCACCGTCCCTCCGGGCAACGTGCACGCAGAAGCCACCAACTCCACGACCATCCGCTTCACCTGGAACGCCCCCAGCCCCCAGTTCATCAACGGCATCAACCAGGGCTACAAGGTAAGTGAACCGCCCTCATCCCAGGAGGACGTGAGGGAGGCCCCAGCGAGGCGGCGGGCAGGAGGGGTCCCGTCTGTGTTCAGAACCGTTGGTTCAGACCAAGCAGAGGACTCGGGATCAAGGAAAAGGGCACGGGGGCTCTCGCAGGGCCCGGTGCAGGCCCTGGGAGGGCGGCCACCACCCAGGCTGTGACCCGGGGCGGGGGCGCGGGCCCCGGGAGGCTGGCCGGTGAACAAAGCCGGGTTTGTTTCAGACTGAGGACTGCGGGGCATTGAGGTGCAGGACGCACTTCTCACGGGCGTCCTGCTGGGTCCGGGGTCCTAGGCTGGACGTGACCCCACACCCCGGGAAGGGCTCAGGACTAGGATAAGAACAGACGTCCTGCTTTTGGTGGGACAGTCCCGATTTTTAACAATTTGTCCTGCGTCCCTTGGCGAGGGATGCGGGACAAATTGTTAAAAATCAAGTCAAATTATTAAAAAGCAGGACGTCACCTCAGTCTAGGACGCTCGGGGCCTCGGGTTGCCGGCGCCCGGAGCGGGTCTGCCCTCTCGCTGAGCTTCCCTCGATCGTCTTTGCTGAGCCCGACGCCCTGCGCTGTGCCCGCTGCTGGGAACCACGGTAACCTCTGCCCCCACGTACGCCAGCAGCGAAGGTCCTGGTGCCTGTTCCCTGGGGCCGTGGTGGGCACAGCTCAGCTCGAGAGCCACATGCGGCTCTTTGGCCCCTGGAGTGTGGCTCTTGCACAAAATACCACGTGCGGGCGCACACGTACAGTGCGATTGAAGGAGTGCCCTAATGAAGTTAATAGCCATGTACCTACCCAAATAGCTAAAGTTTAAAAAATGCGGCTCTCAAAAGAAATGTCATTCATCGTCCTGTTGATATTTGGCTCCGTTCACTAGTGAGTTTGCCGACCACGGCCTTGGGGCTGTGCGAGGACCAGATGGACAGGGTTTGTACCGTGTTGAGCACCACGACGGACACGTGACACGTGCTCTGAGGACTGTGGGAACCGTGGCGGCAGGAATGTATGCATTTGCTTGGGCGGCCGTAACCAGTGCCCTCGGTCCACGGGACTGAGAACTCCCTTTTCTCACCGTCCTGGAGGCGGGCGGGCCCCAGATCCAGGTGTCGGCAGGGCGGGCTTCTCCGGCGGCCTCTGTCCGTCTTCTCCCTGCGTCCCCGTGTGGTCTCCCCTCTGTGTGTGTCCGTGTCCCAATGCCCTCATCTTACAAGGACACCAGTCTGATGTTAACCTCACTGCCCCTTTAAAGGCTGCTCCCAGATACAGGCACCTTCCGGGGGCCTGGGCCTTGGGAAGTCAGTGTCTGCTTTTAGGGAGAAACAGTCCAGCCCATAACCAATAGTGCCAGCAGCAGGGAGAGAGACTGTAATGATGGAAGCCTGGCAGTAACCGTGGGAACAGTGAAAGTGTCAGTAACGGTGTTACAGAAAGTGGGACAGTAACGATGGTGTCAGTAAGAGTGTCAGTAACAGTGGTTACAGTAAATGTCAGTAACCATGGTAACAGTAAGAGTGTCAATAATGGTGGTTACAGTAAATGGGACAGTAACCATGGTAGCAGTAAGCATGTCAGTAACGGTGGTTACAGTAAGTGGGACAGTAACGGTGGTAGTAAGAGTGGCAGTAACCGTGGTTACAGTAAATGTCAGTAACCACGGTAACAGTAAGAGTGTCAATAATGGTGGTTACAGTAAATGGGACAGTAACCATGGTAGCAGTAAGCGTGTCAGTAACGGTGGTTACAGTAAGTGGGACAGTAACAGTGGTAGTAAGAGTGGCAGTAACCGTGGTAGCAGTAAGAGTGACAGTAACGGTGGTTACAGTTAGTGGGACAGTAACGGTGGCAGTACACCTGGCAGTAACCGTGGTAACAGTAAGAGTGACAGTAACGGTGTTACAGTAAGTGGGACAGTAACGGTGGTAGTAAGAGTGGCAGTAACCGTGGTAGCAGTAAGAGTGTCAGTAACGGCGTTACAGTAAGTGGGACAGTAACGGTGGTAGTAAGAGTGGCAGTAACCATGGTAGCAGTAAGAGTGTCAGTAACGGTGTTACAGTAAGTGGGGCAGTAACAGTGGTAGCACCGGTGGTGGCCGTGGCAGTAAATTTGCTATAACTGTAACCGCCCTAAAAGCCAGGACTTCTCAACCCTCCCCGCCCCAGGGTGCGCCCTGTGTCCCAGCGGCTTGGGCCCCTCCAGATGTGGGCGAAGGCAGAGTGTCAGGCGCAGTGTCGGGAGCCAGCCGGGACCGGGACCAGGAGACACTGCAGGCTCTGGCTCCGAGCCCAGGGTGGGGTGACGGCAGACACCTCCCTCCGGAAGGTTCCCGCACACCATCAGTGCCGGGTCTGCATGTGTGCAACAACCGAGATCGCTTCTAGGACTAGCAGCCGTGGCCGTTCCCACAGCCGTCGGGCGTGGCTGGGCAGGAAGGACTGTCCGCCAGCTGAGCGTGAGGTCTCCTCGGCTGTCTCTGGGCCTGCTCTCTTTCCTCTCTTTCCTCTCCTCCATTCGGTGCTAACTTCCAATCCAGGGCCTGCGTCTTCCATTCTAAACAAACAAAGTGGGGTGGGCCAGAGCCGCCACCCCCAGCCACTCACTCACTCTCCCCAGGAGGGCACTGCAGCCTGGGCTGTGGGGGGACAGGTGCTGGGGCCAAGGCTGGCAGCCCTGACTGGCTGGAAAACTTGCTAATTGGGACTCTGGGGGGAGGCGGGGGAGAGAAGGGGAAGGCCCGACTCATGCCGAGGAGCTGAGCAGTGAACAATCAGCTCTGTGCTGCCCATTCTACGTTTCCTTCCCCACACGGGAGGGCTGGCCTGCAAACTTCTAACGCCCATGGCTCCCGGGGCGCCGAGAAGGCCAGCCAAGGGGCCAGGACATGAGAGCCCAGAACCGAAGGAGGCTGCAGAGCCGCACTCCCCCCTCCCGCCCCCCCCAGCCCAGCCCGTGCCCAGCACCTGGGAGCTGCTCAGGACGCGTCAGGGAACGGATTGCCCAGATGTTGGAACACAGGAGCCAGCAGGAAAGTCAGAGGAGCTCACTCAGGGCACTTTCTATGTGCCGAGTGGGATGCTAGAGCTACGTTCTCATTCCTCTCTCACACAAGCTGCACGAGAGCCCCAAGCAGCATTATCGGCATCACCCCATTTTACAGACCAGGAAACTGAGGCACGGGCGGCAAGTAAGTTGTTCCAAGTCCGAGGACCTGCAAAGCTCAGACTCAAGCTCCAGAGCCTGCACCTCTTCTTAGGTAGAAAAGAAGACGTGTCCTTTGCGATTATTATAAAATAATAAGGATAGTCATTTTTTTTTTTTTTCCCTAAGTACAAATGGATCCAAGCGGGGATTCTGTTTCTTGCTTCTGTGGCCTTGAGTGTCGCGGAGGGGAAAAAGCAGAGTTGGTCCCCGGAGACCCCAGTGGAAATGGGCTTTCCCCCCTTTCAATGGGGAAGCGTTTCAAACACCTGCAACAGGAGAGAGAGGCTTGTAGTGAGTAAGCCAGACGCACATCCCCGGGTTCGGAAGTTCCCAGCTCACAGCCGAACGGGTTCCGTCTGCCCTCGAACCCTCAGCCACGCCCCTGGAGTCTCATGTCCCCCACAAATATTTCCACCGAGAAACAGGAGCCGAAACCGGTTTGGCTCAGTGGATAGAGCGTCGGTCTGCGGACTTGAAGGGTCCCAGGTTCGATTCTGGTCAAGGGCATGTACATTGGTTGTGGGCACATCCCTGGTAGGGGGTGTGCAGGAGGCAGCTGGTCGATGATTCTCTCTCATCGATGTTTCTAGCTCTCTGTCCCTCTCCCTTCCTCTCTGTAAAAATTCAATAAAATATATTAAAGAAAGAAAGAAAGAGAAAGAAAGAAAGAGAAAGAAAGAAAGAAAGAAAGAAAGAAAGAAAGAAAGAAAGAAAGAAAGAAAGAAAGAAAGAAAGAAATCTGTGTTTAAGCCCTTATCAGTCTCCGGCCTCAAACGGATCAGCAGTCCCTTTCATCCGATCAGATACCCGCTGGGATTTAAATTTCTAGTGAGCTTACTAGTCGGTCTATTTGCTTTGGCGCCCAAATGAGAGGCACACAATGGCATTTGCTTCGGTTTCGGTTGGCGTGCCTTCGTTGTTCCTGTGGTGGGGGCGGAGGGGGAGAAAGGAGGTGTTAGGTCTCCGTTGATCTACAGATCCTCTCTCCCTTTTCCTGCTCTTTTATTTCTTTTTTTCCCTGGCAATGTACTGCGTTAAGAATCTCCGCTGTTTGTACCGCAGACTTTCCCACAGTCTGGATCGCGCTGATTGCGGCCCTGGGGAGCCATTGAACACGGGCTCTGGAAGCCGCCTCTGCGTCCATTGGACCTGGAGTGAGAGGCCTGATCAGATGCGGGTCTGCGGGTTTTATGTTCCCGGGATGGCTCCCCGGATGGCGGCGTGGGTTTTCATTAGGAGGCAGGGCGGGCGGCCGCTCTAACCGCGACGTGGCGCCCCCTGCCGGGCCTCGCGTGGTCTGCGCCTTCCGTGGGACTTGCACCATCGGGACGGGTCCGATGTTAGGGTTTTGTCTGGACTGATTAGCTGGAATCTTTTCCTTTTTTAAAAAAAAAAATTTCCCCTTCCCAACTTGTTGTTTAGCCTGGATGAAAAGCCTGGCAAACACTCCGCTCTCGCCCATTACTGAGCCGATTTCAGAATAATGAGCTGGTTCCTTAGCAACTGCTGAGGTGACAGGTGACTCTGGAGTGGGGTAGGGGAGGCGTCTCTTTGTTTTGCTGATTTGGGTAGTAGTATTATGTACTTAAGGATTCTTACAAACGCCTCTGATGTGTCTCAATCCACTGCCATTATAATGCTTTTTGTAAAAATACAGCTTTAATTGATTTCAGAGAGGTAGGGAGAGAGAGAGAGAGATAGAAACATCAATGATGAGAGAGAATCATTGACCGGCTACCTCCTGCATACCCCAAACGGGATCAAGCCAGAAACCCAACCATGTGCCCTGACCAGGAATCAAACCATGACCTCCTGATTCACATGTCAGCTCTCAACCTCCTTCCTAGCTAGACAGTCCCTGGGGCACTGTTTTAAGGCGCCTGTGAAGACACCCTTTGTCCTTGTGTCTCTGTAGTTGTCTTTATTTTTTATCATTCTGTTAATCCTCACCTCAGGATATTTTCCCACTGATGTTTAGGGAGAGTGGAAGGGAGATAGAGGGACACACACAGAGAGAGAAACATTGATGTGAGAGAGACACATTTATTGGTTGCCTTCACACACGCCCCGCCCAGGGCCTGGGATCGAAGCCTGCAACCAAGGTATGTGCCCTTGACCTGAGTCGAACCGGGGACCCTTCAATCCCCAGGCCGATGCTCTTTCTGCTGAGCCAACCCGCCAGGGCTGTCCTTGGTTTCTTTAACGGCAGCAAGGGTAGCTGGCCACACCCGATACAATGATATTTACCCAGATTCTGCACCCGTTGAGGGAACAGGCCGCACAATTCATTCTGGTGGCGTAATTAATTCAAATGTACATTAATTAAATTAAAACATTAAACTTGTTTCTTAATCTACTCCGAAGAAGTTCAGGCCGATTTAATTGCTATGAAACAAGATAACCGAAATAAAGAGGATATTTAACATACTTATTAAATGCCACTTAGGATTTCTGATTAGTATTTTTAGGGTCTAATTAGTGTCTAATTAGCTTGCTATCGGCTATCTTTTCACAATAGCGATTAGATTTCCAAACATCCCGAATAAACACGAGTCCGTGAAAGGAGAAGATTAAGCGTGCGATGGGCGGGCGTTAATCAGGCAGCATCGGCAGGGTATTGTCTTCGACCTATAAATACCCTCGCTTATTAAAACCCATCCAGTACTGCCTTTCACTGTTAATTGCTGTTTAATCAACTTCAAATAAACGAGGGGATCTCTGAGCCCAGCTGTCGTGGCTGGAGACAGATGAAGGGCCAGGAGTGTGAGGTGAGAGATCAAGAGGCATGAACAGCTGAAACCAGTTTGGCTCAGTGGATAGACTGCAGTGTTTCCCAACCTTCTCTCATGATGAGAATCACCTGGTGGAGTTGTTAAATACAATTCCTGAATCCCAACTAAGAAGTGCTAAACTAGAATTTTTGAGAACATATAGGTAAAATTGCATACCTAACTTAGTGCTCTGTATATAAAATCTGTCTTAGAGCACTAGTTAAGTATACAATTTTACCTATATGTTCCCAAAAATTCTAGTTTAGCACTTCTTAGTTGGGATCCGGGAATCTGTGTTTTAACAACTCCACCAGGTAATTCTCATCATGAGAGAAGGTTGGGAAACACTGGGATAGAGCATCAGCCTGTAGACTGAAAGGTCCCAGGTTTGATTCCGGACAAGAGCATGTACTTTGGTTGCGGGCACATCCCTGGTTGGGGGGTGTGCAAGAGGCAGCTGATCGATGTTTCTATCTCTCTCCCTCTCTGTAAAAAAATCAATAAAATATATTTTTTTTTAAAAGAGGCAGGAACAGCCGGGTGTTGTGGCTCAGAGGTTGAGCATGGACCTAGGAGTCAGGGGATCCTGTGAACCGGGAGGTCACGGTTCGATTCCTGGTCAAGGCAGGTGACCAGGTTGCAGGCTCAATCCCCAGTAGGGGGTGTGCAGGAGAGAGCCCATCGATGGTTCTCTCGCATCATTAATGTTTCTCTCTCCCTTTTTCTCTGAAATCAACAAGAAATATATTCAAAAATAAAAATAAAAAGAGGCAGGAAGTGTCCAGACTGAGTGGCTCAGTTGCTTTGGTGAGCACCATCTCACACACCGAAGGTTACAGATCGATCCCTGGTCAGGGCATATACGGGAGGCAACCAATCCATGTTTCTCTCACATCAATGTTTCTCTCTCTCTCTCTCTCTTTCTCTCTCTCTCTCTCTCAAACCAGTAAACATATCCTCAGATGAGGATTTTTTTTTTTAATCTTTTTACGAAGAGGCAAGCAGAGGAGGAAGGGGAGGCAGGAAGCTTATGCAGCCATGGCGGTGCTTGTGGAGGGAGATGAGCCAGAAAGAGGTGTTGAATTTCCACGGGGTTTCCCGACTGGTGCCCATCTCTGGGGCAGGGTTAAGACTGAAACCCCAACTTGGAACAAGTTTAAAGAATAAGAGTTAACTGTGAACCAACGTTCCGGCTCCAAATTCGGGACCCCCAGGGAGCAGCCGCCAGCCCCCAGGGAGAAGGGTGGGAGGCCAGGCGTTGGAGTGAGAGACCTCGTCACTCTACTTGCTGCGGGATACAGTCCATCGCTGAGCCTCTCTGGGCCTCAGTTTCCTCGTCTGTGAGAGGCAGAGCCGGCTTCCTGGGCTCAGGGCTCCACGCTCAGAAGGGCCCCAGGCCTGGCTCAGTGCCGTCACCTTGAAATTCTTAATGATTTTGGCCAAGGGGGCCCTCCATCTCCCTTGTGCGCCGGGCCTACCGACCATGAGCTCCTCTCGGTAAAATATCAGCCCCTCTCTGGTGGGGTCCCTCGTGACTCGGGGTGCCTCGCCATCACCTTCAAATAAACGAGGGAATCTCTGAGACCCTCGGCGTGGGCTCCCGGGACACGGGCTCTGGTGGCCCGTGGGTATCGGCACGGCCACCCCTTCCGGGGAGGAGCGACCGCAGGGACCTGGGCTCCCGGACGCTCGCTGTCCGTCAGCCCGGCCTGCTCTTCTGGAACCTTCCGACGGCCCTGCCTTCCTTGCCGGGCTCTCTCCTCAGCTGATCGCCTGGGAGCCGGAGCAGGAGGAGGAGGTTACCATGGTGACCGCCCGACCCAACTTTCAAGACAGCATCCACGTGGGCTTCGTGTCGGGCCTGAAGAAGTTCACGGAGTACTTCACGTCCGTGCTGTGCTTCACCACGCCCGGGGACGGGCCCCGCAGCAGCCCGCAGCTGGTGCGCACCCTCGAGGACGGTAGGCACCCCTCCCTCTGCCCCCTCACCCTCGCCCTGCAGCCTCTGCCCCACCTGCCCGCCCACCCAGGGGCCCAGGTCCTCTCCCATCCGGGGCGCCCCGGGCTGTCTTGCAGACGGTGGTCTCTCTCCGGCTCTAACTGGCATTGGGCGGGGTGGGGGTCCTCTTGGGGTACAGTGCCTGGGCCTGTGGGGCACCTGAGCTTCAGTGACATCCTGGACACCTCGCTGAAGGTCAGCTGGCAGGAGCCGGGGGAGAAGAACGGAATCCTCGCAGGTGGGCACCGCGCTGCCTCGGGCCTGGGAGGGGGGAAGGTCCCCGAGCCTGTCCCCTGCCTCCGACCCGGTGCCCTCCCCGCGCCCAGCAGCCACCCCTGCTCAGAGCATCCTCCAGAGCACCCCGCACTCCCCACCCCTTCCTTCCCCCTCAGGCACGCACACACCTCCTAGATTCTGAGGGACCCCAAGAGTAAGGTGACCAGATGTCCCACTTTTGGCGGGACAGTCCCAATTTTTTTTAAATATATGTTTTATTGATTTTTTTTAAAGAGAGGTAGAGAGAGGGATAGAGAGTTAGAAACATCGATGAGAGAGAAACATGGATCAGCTGCCTCTTGCACACCCCCCACCGGGGATGTGCCCGCAGCCAAGGTACATGCCCTTGACCGGAATCGAACCTGGGACCCTTGAGTCCACAGACCGGCACTCTATCCACTGAGCCAAACCGGTTAGGGCAACAGTCCCAATTTTTAACAATTTGTCCCGCGTCCCGCGGCATTTTTAAAAAGTCCTGATTTTTTTTTTTTACAAAAATCGGGACGCAGGTCAAATTGTAAAACATCGGGACTGTCCCGTCAAAAGCGGGACATCTGGTCACTTTACCCAAGAGGCATGCACCCAGGGCAGCAATGGGCAGTGGCACCAGCCGCCCCCCCCCCCCCCCCCGAGGCCCCCTAGTCTCTGACTTCTGAGTGAGCAAAGCCCACCAGCCTGGGCTCCTTTCCCCAGCCCTTCCTCGTTTCAGTGTCGCAGCTCCAATTAAAAAAATTTTTTTTTAATTTTTTGAGTCGGGCAGTCACCATGGTAACTCTCCAATTAAAAAAGAAAAGGGGGGCTCACGGCGCCTCCACTCTGTGATGCATCCCACGTCCAGCCCCAGCCGCCCTCACGTGGCCACCTCGAAGACTTGCTCATCCTCGCCCCTACCCATGGGGTCCCACCCCCCCCAAGGAGGACATGGGCCCCTGGGCCAGGTGCCTCCACTGGCCTCGCTCGGTCCCAGGGCTTCCTGGGCGGAGCTCACTGTGGACAAGGGAAGGCGTGAGGGGCGAGCAGCGGGGCCAGGCCAGCTCACGGCCATGGCCATGGCCAAGCTCACGCGGCCTGGGGCCCCCAGGGTACCGGATCTCCTGGGAGGAGTTCAACCGCACCAACACCCGCGTGACCCACTACCTGCCCAACGTGACCCTGGAGTACCGCGTGACCGGCCTCACCGCGCTCACCACCTACACCATCGAGGTGGCCGCCATGACCGCCAAGGGCCAGGGCCAGGTGTCCGCCTCCACCATCTCCTCCGGGGTGCCCCCAGGTAGGTGCCAGGTGGGGGGACCCCTGCCTCTTGCTCCCGATCGGCACCCACTCCAGAGGCCCCTCGTCCTTCAGGAGTGTGGTCTGCCTCCCCCAGAGCTCCCCTCCTGGGTCCCCGTGCCCAGTCCTCCCAGAGCAGGTCCCCCCTCCTCCATGGCTCCCAGCTCCCCCTTAGCCTCTTGCTCACAGGCGGACCCGGGAGAGGGAGCCCGTGCGGCCCATCTTGTTCCCGGGGGCGTCCCTGGGGGGACCCGTCAGCCCCTAAGCCCGTCTCAGGACCCAGGGTGTGAGCCTCGGACGCAGGGACAAGGACTGAGGTGTCAGGATGAGGCCGCGCCACGCTCCTTCCTCCTCAGAGGCTCCTCGGAAAAGGGCGACCGGTGCCCTCTGTGCCCGGAGAGTCCCGTCCCGCGTGGCACGAGGTCCCTCTCGCCCCACGTCCCCCAAATCGCTCCCGTCCCCCCTGCCTTTTCCAGAACTCCCCGGCCCCCCCACCAACTTGGGCATCTCCAACATCGGCCCCCGCTCCGTGACCTTGCAGTTCAAGCCGGGCTACGACGGGAAGACCTCCATCTCCCGCTGGCTGGTGGAGGCCCAGGTGAGGCCTGTGCGGGGGGCCCTGGCGCCCAGGAAGCTCACCCCAGCCCTTCCAACCTGCAGGGGAGCGGGGGGAACATTCAAGGGTTCCAGCATCCAGTCACACCCCCAGAAATTCTGGTTCTGATTTAGCCGGGGTTTTACTTTGTCACTAGAGGCCCGGTGCACCAAATTCATGCACCAGTAGGGTCCCTAGGCCTGGCCAGCGACCAGGGTTGATCTGGGCCTTCCAGCTGCTGGCTGCAGCCTTCCTTCATTTCGCACCGCCCCCTGGTGGCCAGCGCACATCATAGAAAGCGATCAAACTCCTCGTTTCCCAGTGGAACTCCCAAGGGGGCACTTTGCCTATTAGCCTTTTTTTTTTATATATATTGATTTTTTTTCTCTTTTTAATATACATATTTTTATTGATTTCAGAGAGGAAAGGAGAAAGAAAGAGAAACATCAGTAATGAGAGAGAATCATTTTTTTAAAATTGATTTTGTAGAGAGAGGAAGGGAGAGAGATAGAGAGTTAGAAACATCGATGAGAGAGAGTCATCGATCAGCTGCCTCTTGCACACCCCTTACTGGGGATGTGCCCGCAACCGAGGTACATGCCCTTGACCGGAATCGAACCCGGGACCTTTCAGTCCCCAAGCCGACGCTCTATCCACTGAGCCAAACCGGTTTCGGCGAGAGAGAATCATTGATCAGCTGCCTCCTGCACGCCCCATACTGGGAACTGAGCCTGCAACCCGGGCATGTGCCATGATTGGGAATCGAACCGTGATCTCCTGGTTCATAAATCAATGCTCAACCCCTGACCCATGACTGGTCGGACTAGCTGGGGTTTTAGAAGCTTGCCAAAATGTTCTGGGAATCACCTAGGGAGGGGGGGGGGGGGGGTATTGAATGCAGATTCCTGGGTCTCAGCCTCCGTGATCTGCTAGGTTGAGGGCGGGGCACAGGAGCGGGTTTATAACACAAGACTCAGATGCAGGAGGGCTGGGGGTCACACATGAAGTCCCGCTTAAGAGCCTGGACAGATGGTGGCCCCCTCTGGTGCCCTCGAGGAGAGCCCCGGGGTTTGAGTCAGGGCCTTCCCAGGGCAGGGCTGGTACCTCTTAGACGCTGGGGCTCTGAGCGCCTGCCGTGGGCCCGCAGGTGGGCAGGTCTAAGGGTGTCTCCCTCGCCAGGTGGGCGTGGTCGGGGAGGGAGAGGAGTGGCTGCTGGTGCACCAGCTCGCCAACGAGCCCGACGCCCGCTCCATGGAGGTGCCCGACCTCAACCCCTTCACCCACTACAGGTAACGGGGCCGGCGGGGGGGTGGGGGGGGGTAGGGGGCCTGCCCAGACTGGGACGGGCCTTGGCCCTGGAGGCCTGCCCTCACCATCCTGCTCACCCCCGCCCCCACCCCAGCTTCCGCATGCGCCAGGTGAACATCGTGGGCACCAGCCCTCCCAGCCAGCCTTCCAGAAAGATCCAGACCCTCCAGGCGCCCCCCGACATGGCCCCGGCCAACGTGACCCTGCGCACGGCCAGCGAGACCAGCCTGTGGCTCCGCTGGACGGTGAGGCCCCCCGAGGGCCGCGGGCGGGGCGTCCCCTCCATCCCTGTCGCCCGTCAAGGTGCCCTGGCCTCCAAAGGGCCACCGTGGCTCAGGAGCCACGTGCGGCTCTTTGGCCCCTTGAGTGTGGCTCTTCCACAGAACACCACGTGCGGGCGCGCACGTACAGTGCGGTTGGACCCTCGCAGTAGTCGGTTTTCGGCCTGGGCGAGTCTATTTTGAAGAAGTGGCGTTAGAACACTCCAGGGGCCAAAGAGCCGCATGTTGGCCGACCACTGGGGTAGACTAGTGGTCGGCAAACTCGTTAGTCCACAGAGCCAAATACCAGCAGGACAACGATGGACATTTCTTTTCGAGAGCCACAGTTTTTTTAAACTTCTTCTAACGCCACTTCTTCGAAACAGACTTGCCCAGGCCGTGGTATTGTGTGGAAGAGCCGCAGTTTGCCGACCACAGGTGTGGGCGATAAGGAAGTGCACGCGGGCAGCCTGAGGGCGGGAGCTGAGTGGCAGAGACAGCCAGGGCCTTGCTCGTCTGTCTGTGGGGCGGCCAGCCTTGGTGGGCCTGCCTCCCGGGTCCGCCATCCTGAGCAGGGCGGTGCGTTTGTCACGGGCACAGTAGAGAATGGGTGCCCCTCTCCTTGGAGCGTGCCGCGGAGGGACAGGGAGATGCGGGCGCCGTTCCACCATCTGAGGACGGTGGGTGGAGTAATCCTGGAGGCCCCTTGGAGGAGGAGGCTCGGGCAGTTCTTTTTTTAAATTATTTTTTTTATACATTTTATTGATTTTGTACAGAGAGGAAGGGAGAGAGCTAGAGAGTTAGAAACATCGATGAGAGAGAGTCATCGATCAGCTGCCTCCTGCACACCCCCTCCTGGGGTTGTGCCCGCAACCAAGGTACATGCCCTTGACCGGAATCGAACCCGGGACCTTTCAGTCCCCAAGCGGACGCTCGATCCATCGAGGCAGGCGGTTCTTTGTGCCCAGGGCGGGCCTGGCCTCACCGCCGTCCTGCCCGGCCCCGGCCTCCCGCAGCCGCTCCCGGAGATGGAGTACAACGGGAACCCCGAGTCGGTGGGCTACAAGATCAAGTACAGCCGGGCGGACGGCCGCGGCAAGGTGCTGAGCCACATGGTCCCCGACCGGGTGGAGCGGGAGCACACCATCGAGGACCTGGAGGAGTGGACGGAGTACCGTGTGCAGGTGCAGGCCTTCAACGCCATCGGGAGCGGGCCCTGGAGCCCCGCGGTGATGGGCCGGACGCGGGAGTCAGGTACCGCCCCCTGGAGGGAGCCAGCCACCCACCCCGATGCTCCCCGGGCCTGTGGCTTGGACACCCCAGCTTTGTCCCCCTGCCCTCAGCTCCTCCCAAGGGCACAAACCTGGACCGTGGTTCTGTCTGTGCTCCCGTTCCATGGCTATTCCCGCTGCTCAGGCTGTGCCTGCCATCCCGCCCCCCCACCCGGCTCCGCCCTCGCCTGAACTCTGGCACCAGGGGTGCCCGAAAGATACGGTGACCAGACGTCCCGCTTTTGGCGGGATAGTCCCGATTTTTAACCATTTGTCCCGCGTCCGGCGGTGTTTTAAAAAAAGTCCCGATTTCTTTCAAAAAATCAGGGCTTTTTAAAAAACGCCGCGGGACGTGGGACACATTGTTAAAAATCAGGACGTCTGGTCACCTTACTGAAAGAGCCTTAGGGGGTGGAGTGGGGCCCGAGGAAGAAACGGGGCACAGACCCCAAATAGAGTAGGGGTTGGGTTAGCTCCCAGAACATTCCAGAAGCACAACCAGCAGCTCACAGGGTCACCCAGAGGATCTGAGCCCCCAGCCTGCAGGCCGCCTCGTTGGTCCACCTGTGGTTTCCTCCCTGTGGCTCTGTCCAGGCACCTTGGCACTGGCAGGTCCCTCCCACCCTGTCCCTGCCCGCCCTCCCTGCTGTGCTGGCAGGAAATGCAGGCCCATCCCAGCTGCGAAGGCAGCCGTGCGGGCCGGCCTGAGCAGGGGTGGGGGTGGGGGGCGGGGGGGGGGGCCTAAGAAGAAACAGCATCTGGGACGTGTCACGGCCAGAGGAATCTCGGAGGGAAATGCTCTCTCTGGGGACGGAGCCCGTTTTCTCCCCCAGGCTCCCCTCCCCTCCTGTCCGCTGCCCAATCCCATTAACCCTTCTCCCCGCCCCCTCTCTCCCTCAGTCCCCTCCTCGGGGCCCGCCAACGTGTCGGCGCTGACCACCACCTCCAGCAGCATGCTGGTGCGCTGGAGCCCCGTCCCCGAGGCCGAGCGCAACGGGCTGGTGCTGGGCTACAAGGTGAGTCCTGCGGGGCCGGCGGCCGGAGGAGGCGCCGAGGCTCTCTGCCGGCTCCCCCACCCGGGTCCCCGGCCCCGGGGCCCAGGCTCTGACCTCCAGGAGGTCACAGTTCAATTCCTGGTCAGGGCTCATGTCCGTTTTGCTGGCTGATCCCCAGGAGCGGGCACCGGGATCTGTCCGGCTTCCCGTCCACCGGTCGCCCTGGCAACCAGCGTCCTCCCTTGGTGGGAGGGGCTTCCAGGGAAGGCATGGGGTCCTCAGGGCTGTCCTGCCTCCCCCAGAAGGCCACGCTGGGTGCCCCAAGCCTCACCCTGGGCTCCTGTGGGCGCAGCATCCGTTTCTATCGCCTTCTAGAATCCTTCCCCAAAGCCCAGCCTACCTGCCTCGTCCGGCCCTGGCCCAGAGGTCGGGAGATGTGCCTTTGGGTCCCGGCTTTGCTACCACTGGCTGTGTGACCCTGAGCAAGTCACACGCCCTCTCTGGGCCCGTTTTCTGGGTGCTCCCTGGCTGAGTGCATCTGTGGGTCCCCCGCTTTCCTGTTCCCCATGCCGCCCGGGGGCCACGCCACTGCAAGGAGCCCAAGTTTACCCGCCCCATCCACCCCTCCCAGGGGACTTAGGCTGGCAGGAAGAGCCAGGCCGAGGCCGAGGCGCGGTCCTCACCGGCGCTGGGCTCCCTCCGGCAGGTGCTGTACCGGGAGAAGGACTCGGACCCGCAGCCCCGGGTCTGGCTGGTGGAAGGGAACGCGTCCCTCAGCGTCCAGCTCGCGGGCCTGGGCAAGTACGTGCTCTACGAGGTCCAGGTGCTGGCCTTCACCCGCGTCGGGGACGGCCGCCCCAGCCGGCCCCCCGTCCTGGAGCGGACGCTGGACGACGGTGAGTGCCCGGCCCGGCCCCGCCCCCTGGGGTCCCCCTCTGCTCCTGGGAGAAGCCGGCCGCAGGGGTCACCAGCCCCCTGGGAGGGGGTGCTGATGACAGACTGCGCCTCTGTAAGGACGGGAGGACCACACGGGCAGTTTGGCAGCTGATCTCGCTCTCGCTCTCGCTCTCGCTCTCGCTGGGACAAATGTCCGGAACAGAGATTTTTTGCATCTGTTTTGAGACTTTGCACCTGTTTTGAGACTTTGCACCTGTTTTGACGACCTATTCACCTGGGACAGGTTTGCCTTTGAGTCGAGATCCGTGGAAGAGAAGGGCTTGATTTTTCCCTGTGCACAAGCCCCCTGGTCCGGTTTGCCAAAGAGAGAGATGCCAGTGGGGCTCCGGGCATTCCTCCCTGCGGCAAAGGCAGACGGACCGGCCCTCCGCCCCCTCCCTTTCCCCACGCACGTGCTCACAGACTGCCCCCCCCCACACACACCCACACACATCTGTGGGGTCCAGACAGGAATGCAAGAGGAAGCCCAAACACCTATGCCCACAGAGTCTGAAGTTATAAATCAAGCTAATGAGCTGTTAAATTAAATGCGTCCTGTCCACCTACCTTGACAAATATATCCTCATAGGACCCGGAAGGCCAAGTTCAAGTTTAGAAATCTCAGACTTCTGGGCGTACTGAGGCATCACAGGAGGAGCGCCCCCTGCCCAGGGCTTCTCCCTTCCTCTCCTCTAGCCCAGGCCACTCAGTCCCCCATCCACAGGCACCCAAGAGCCACCCCTCCCTCCAGAGGTGCCCGCCTAAAGGGGTGGGCCTGGGAACCAGGCCGTGCAGACCTGGGAGCAGGCGTGGGCCTGTCCGGGCAGAGGGTGCCAGGCCTAGAAAGAGGAGTGACATAGGCTCAGGGTGGCCATGTCCCCTTCCCCCTCCCCCCAGCCGCTTCACCCATGGGGGCAGGAAGTCGGAGCGGTACCTCCTAAAGCACAGTCCTGCCCAACCAGCGTGGCTCGGCATTGCCCTATGAACCAGGAGGTCACAGTTCAATTCCTGGTCAGGGCTCATGTCCGTTTTGCTGGCTGATCCCCAGCAGGGGGCGTGCAGGAGGCAGCTGATGGATGATTCTCATTATTGATGGTTCTTTCTCTCTCTCCCTCTCTCCCTTTCTCTCTGAAATCGATAAATATTTTTTAAATAAAAAAAATGATAATTAAGCCCAGACTTCCTTGCCCAGCTCTGAGGCGTGGACATGATGTGTGCACACGTGCACAGACCAAGCTAACAGTCCCTCCTCATTGCTGCCAGTCAGGCCCATGTTGAGGGCAGAGACCTCCGATCGCATCTTCGTGTGCGGACGCTGTGTTAGGACCCGGTGCCCGGCACCGAGCAGTGCCCACCCCGCCACGCGGCTCTGCCAGAGCTGACCTGGCTCAGGGCTGAGCCGCAGCTTCGCTCACTGTCCCCCACTTCTCCTCTGTCCCCCCAGTCCCGGGACCACCCACGGGCATCCTGTTCCCCGAGGTGAGGACCACGTCGGTGCGGCTGATCTGGCAGCCCCCCGCGGCGCCCAATGGCATCATTCTCGGTGAGCCTGTCCCCTTCCCCCGCCCCGGCCACAGGAAGGCAGGGGCACACAGTGGCACATCCGGTGTTGGCGGAGGAAAACTAGCCAGGAGGTGCCCCCAAGAACTACAATAGAAAGCTCAGCAGCTGGAGGGCAAGGCCAAAGTCGGGGCTCACTGGTTAACTTGGTTCCCTCAAGAGTCCCAGGTGGCCAGCACAGGGGGCATCTGGTAAACCTCAGCTGCTGTTCCCATGTATGACCAGGTGGGGGTGCCCTGGCTGGCTCAGCAAAGCCATGCTCACAGGAGCTAACCCTCCCCCCGCCCAGGGGATGGGGGCGGGTCACATCGGTGCCTCACAGGGCAGACTGGAGATGAGGAGAGGCAGGTGGGCTGGGTTGGGAAGACCTGGGTTGGACTTGCAGCTCAGTCACTTCCAAGCAGCTGGCCTGGCCTGCCTCAGCCTCCCTTTCCCCACCTGAGGCTGTTACGTGGGTCTCAGACGCTGTGGGTAGAGCCCCATCCGTGCCCCCCTCTGCGCCCACCGTCACCCGCCGCACAGGCAGCTGAGGTCACAAGAGCGACCACGAGGGCTTCACGCAGAGGGGCCACAGCCACGGTGGCTCCCCCGCAGACGTGGTGGTGGCCGAGGAAGGAACGACCTTTTCTCAGGGATCTGGGGGGCGTGTGTCCTGCTTCTCAGCTCAGCCCATGTCCTTCCTCCTCCGCCCCCCCTCCCCCCAGCTTACCAGGTCACACACCGGCTCAACGCCACCACCGCCAACACGGCCTCCGTGGAAGTGCTGGCACCCAGCGCCCGCCAGTACACGGCCGCCGGCCTCAAGCCCGAGGCGGTCTACCTGTTCCGCATCAGCGCCCAGACCCGCAAGGGCTGGGGAGAGGCGGCCGAGGCCCTGGTGGTGACCACCGAGAAGAGAGGTGACTGCCCGCTGGGGCTGGGGAGGCCTGAGGGGCAGCTGAGGGCTCCCCCCCCCCCGCACCCACCCAGGTGTTCAGACCCTCTCCCCACGGACGGCTGGGCTCCGCTTGCTGGGGTCCCCTCGCCAGGGTCTGGGATAGGAAGTGGGCTCGCGTGCCTGACTGCCAAAGAGAGCTCGGCACCCCCAAGGCCTGGCCCCAGTTTGTCCCATGTAACAGGCCTTCCTTCTGAGCCTTGGTGTTCCCATCTGTGCAATGGCTCAGCACCCTTGACCCCTGACCTCTGCCCCGGGCGGAGAGGGTGAGGCGAGGCCGTCAGGGAGAACTCTGAACAGCTCCCTCGGAGCCCGGGGCTCCCGCCCCCCCCCCCACCCGGTTCCCTGAGGGGCAGGTTGCCGAGACCGGCTTCTGAGTGTCCGGCGGGCGGAGGGTGGTGTGCAACCCTGGTGCCGCCCGAGGTGGGGCTGTGGGGCTTTCCAGAAGCAGACCCAAACCCCGCACGCCTGTGAATTAGACGTGTTCTCAGAAAATCCCGGAGGGCAGCAGCCTCCACCAGGTCCCACGGAGGAAGGGGCCTGTGTCCCTCTCAGCAGCAGGGGGCCGGCCGGTCCCCTCTCAGCACCGGCAGGCAGGCAGGGAGAGGAGCCGATGTGGGCGCCTCCTCGCTGCCAGGCTCTGCCGGGCTGCCCTGGGGGGGGGTGGGGTACATTCCCAGGCTCCTGAGGACCGCCCGGGGCCAGGAGCCACACGGGAGCCGGCTGTCGGGCGGGGCAGGGGCAGGCCTGACCCCAGAGCACCTCTCCCCGCCCCGCCGGCTCACCTGCTCCCCGCCCGCAGCCCGCCCGCAGCCCCCCAGCAGGCCCGCGGTGCGGCAGGAGGACGTGCGGGCGCGCAGCGTGCTGCTGTCCTGGGAGCCGGGCAGCGACGGGCTGTCCCCCGTGCGCTACTCCTCCGTGCAGGCCCGCGAGCTGCCGGCCGGCCGCTGGGCGCCGCACACCGCCTCCGTGAGCCACAGCGCCTCCGCCTGCGTGGTGGACAGGTGGGTCTCCGGCCCCTCTCCCATCCCCCCCCCCACCTCACCCCATCCACCCCCCACCCCCCACCCCACACCTCACCCCCCATCCACCCCCAACCCCCACCTCAACCCCCCCATCCACCTCCAACCCCCACCCCACACCTCACCCCCATCCACCCCCAACCCCCACCCCACACCTCACCCCCATCCACCCCCAACCCCCACCTCAACCCCCCATCCACCCCCCAACCCCCACCCCAACCCCCCATCCACCCCCCAACCCCCACCCACACCTCACCCCCCATCCACCCCCAACCCCCACCCCACACCTCACCCCCAATCCACCCCCCAACACCACCCCACACCTCACCCCCCACCTCCCCACCCCCGACTTCAACCCCCATCCACCCCCCAACCCACCCCCACCTCAACCCCATTTACCCCCACCCCCACCTCAACCCCCATTTACCCCCCACCCCCACCTCAACCCCCCATCCACCCCCCAACCCCCACCCCACACCTCACCCCCATCCACCCCAACCCCCACCCCACACCTCACCCCCATCCACCCCCACCCCCAACCTCCACCCCTTCACACCTCAACCCACCTCAACCCCCCATCCACCCCCCACCTCACCCCCATCCACCCCCCAACCCCCACCCCCCACCTCACCCCCATCCACCCCCCAACCCCCACCCCACACCTCACCCCCATTACCCCCCACCTCCACCCCACCCACACCCCACCCCCCATCACCCCCATCCACCCCATCACCCCCCAACCCCACCCCACCACCTCACCCCCCATCCACCCCCAACCCCACCCCACACCTCACCCCACCACCTCCCCACCCCCACCTCACCCCCCATCCACCCCAACCCCACCCCACACCTCACCCCCCATCCACCCCCACCCCACACACACCTCACCCCCATCCACCCCCCAACCCCCACCCACCCCACCCGTCACCCCCCACCTTCCCACCCACCCTCAAACCCCCATCCACCCAACCCCCACCCCACACCTCAACCCCATCCACCCCCCAACCCCCACCCCACACTCACCCCATCCACCCCCAATCCCCCCCCCCCCCACCTCACCCCCCACCTCCCCACCCCCCCTCAACCCCCCATCCCCCCCCCCCCCACACCCCCACCTCACCCCCATCCACCCCCAACCCCCACCCCCACCTTCACCCCCCATCCACCCCCCAATCCCCACCCCCCCCTCACCCCATCCACCCCCCAATCCCCACCCCCCACCTAACCTCCCATCCACCCCAACCCACACCCCACAAGCTTCACCCCCCATCCACCCCCAACCCCCACCCCACACCCCCCACCCCCCCCCTCACCCCCATCCACCCCCCAACCCCCACCCCACACCTCACCCCCCATTTACCCCCCACCCCCCACCCTACCCCACACCTCACCCCATCCACCCCCCAACCCCCACCCCCACCCCACACCTCACCCCCCACCTTCCCACCCCCACCTCAAACCCCCATCCACCCCCCAACCCCCACCCCACACCTCACCCCCCATCCACCCCCCCACCCCCACCCCCCCCACCTCACCCCCCATCCACCCCCCAACCCTCACCCCCCCACCTCACCCCCCATCCACCCCCCAACCCCCACCCCCGCTCAGACCGCTCTGCAGTGCCCAAGGGGCACCTCCGCCCAGGACCTCTCTCCTGCACGCTCAGCCGCAGCTCAGTCCTAACCGCCCGCCCCTCTCTGGGGCTGCCATGGCGGCCTCCTCATTATCCATCTCTGGAGCCTGGAAGCCTCAGCCGAGCGCGCTCGTCCCTCATTAGCGGCTTCTCCCGCCAGGCCAGGCGGCACCTGCAGCTCCTCTCTGACAGGGAGCGGAGCTTCCCCCTTCCCCCCTCGACGCCGGCTTCAATAGCATCCTGGTGGGTCATGTTTTTCGCTCCGATTGACGTGACCGGGAGTTTTGAGCGATCCTTTCCTCCCAGTAAATCCAAAAGGAAGCCGTTTGCCTGGAGAGGAAGTGAGGCTGGGAGAGAGGAAGGGTGGTAAACCCTTGAGAGGCACGACCCGTCCTAAATTTACTGAATTCGGGAAAGGGATGGCAGTTCCCAGAGGGGAAGCTGCTGGTGTTCCTCCTTCGAGGCAAGAAATATGCAGAGGGACCCTCCCCCCCCTGGGGACCCTCCTCTCCGGCGACCCTCCTTTCCGGGGACCTTTCCTTCTGGGGACCCTTCCTCCTGGGGACCTCTGGCTTATATTGGAGCTAAAGGGGTGGCCACACCCCACGCTGGCATGGTCTAGGGCACATGTGTCAAACACAAGGCCCGCGGGCCAAATCCGTCCCACCAGGCCTTGCAATGTGGCCCACACCGCGCTGTCATCACTGCACTCCACTGCGTTTCCATCACAATGACAGTTTATGACTGTTCAGTAAACCATTCAGCCCGCAATTTAGGCTGGATTTTAGATTTTGGCCCCTTCTCTGATTGAGTTTGACACCCCTAGTCTAGGGCCAGCCTGGGAGCTCAGGGCCTGGCCCCTGATTGTCCCACATGACAGACCTTCTCTCTGAGCCTCGATGTCCCCATCTGTGCAATGGGTCCACAGCCCTGCCCCTCGCCCCAAGCGGAGAGGACGAGGCGACAAGGCAATTAGGGAGCCCCCGCTCACTGAGCCCGGTGCCCCACCAGGCTCAAGCCCTTCACGTCCTACAAGTTCCGAGTGAAGGCGACCAACGACATCGGGGACAGTGAGTTCAGCGAGGAGTCGGAGCCGCTGACCACCCTGCAGGCCGGTGAGTGCCCCCACCCTTGGGTGTCTTTCTCCTGGTCCGCTGGGCACCTCCTGAGCACCAGGGGACCTCCTCCGGGGGGAGGGGCGGTCCAAAGACGGGAGGGGCCTGTTGGGCCCGTTGTCGGCTCGGGAGGGTGGAGGGGGGCAAAGTGGAAGGAGGTTTGGGCCAGAGGGGCCTTTGCCTGGGGCTCAGCGCCCACAGCCAGCCTGGCTCCCAGTGTATTTCTCCTCTGATCTCCCTCAAGCTGGTGGCCAACCCCGGAAAACCAGCGAACGGGAGTGGAGGGCCTCGGGGGCCGGGGCGGAGGCCTGTGGCTTTATGAACAGAGAGGAGGGGGCACTGGGCCCTTGGGCTGTGGTCAGTCCCAGCCCCTCGCTCCCTCCACCCTGGCCCTTGGCTCTGCAGGAGTTGGGGTGGTGGGGGCCCCGAGGTGGAGCCGCCCACAGCTCCGTGTCCTCCTGGGGCCTCAGTCCCCGCCCCCAGCGCTCACCTGTCCACCTCTCTCCCCAGCCCCTGACGAAGCGCCCACCATTGTCTCAGTGACCCCCCACACCACCACCTCCGTGCTGATCCGCTGGCAGGTGAGGCCGGCGCAGGGAGGGGCGGGCACCAGGGCCCCCTGCAGCCCCCTGCAGGGAAAGCCCTTAGTAGGGGTGTCGAACTCAATCAGAGAAGGGGCCAAAATCTAAAATCCAGCCTAAATCGAGGGCCGAATGGTTTACTGAACAGTCATAAACTGTCATTGTGATGGAAACGCAGCGGAGTGCAGTGATGACAGCGCGGTGCGGGCCACATTGCAAGGCCTGGCGGGACGGATTTGGCCCTCGGGCCTTGTGTTTGACACATGTGCCTTAAAGAGAAAATAGGGCGGGGCGGGACCCTCCCCAGCCTCCCCCCTGCCCCCCAGCCAAGGCTCCATCCCTCAGATGACCATGGCGGAGGCAGCTGGGAGCCGGAGAGGCCAGCAGGTGGGGCCGTGGTAGCGAAAGGGAGGGAGATGCTGCAGCCGCTAGGGATGCAATTAAGGATCAAACAAAGGGCTGAGTGGTTTCAGCAGGGTCTTTAAGAGAGGTGAAAAGTAGCTCTCACCGTCTCCGAAGCTTGTTCTGCTCAGCTGCGGAGGAGAGCAGAAAGCAAAGGAGACAGGAATGAGGGGCAGGGAGGGTGGGAAGCGGGGGCTGATATAGGGGGTAGAGGACACCTGCCCTTGTTCTGGCCTAAGAGCTGGAGGGGACTGGGCTCTCCAGGCAGAGGGGTCAGCAGGCTGAGGGTGGCTAGTGGCTGTGTCCGGCGACTCGCAGGCGAGGTCCAACTCTGTGAGAGGATCCAGGGTCAGGCTGGGGCCCCAGGGATGCTGTGTGGCCTTGGGCAAGTTCCTCACCCTCTCTGAGCCTTGCTTTCCTGCTCCGTTAGGCGATTCCCGCCCTCCCTTGCCCGGTAGGGCATGCTGCAAGGAGGGAATGGCCTTGTGCATTAAAAAGGCTCAGTGTCATTTGGACTCCCTTTCCTGGCTGAGACACGGCCTCTGCTCTGTGGCCTCAGGAGGCAGGATGGGGGGGGGGGGGCGGGAGGAGCAGAGCGGAGGAGGGTGAGCTGCAGGGTCCCGGCCCCTCTCCATTCCCTGCTCCCTTCCCTGCAGCCTCCGGCCGAGGACAAGATCAACGGCATCCTCCTGGGCTTCCGGGTCCGGTACCGGGAGCTGCCGTACGAAGGCCTGAGGGGCTTCACGCTGCGTGGCGTCAACAACCCGGGGGCCAGGTGGACGGAGCTGACCTGTGAGTGGCACTTTGGGGCCAGGGGGTGGGGCAGGGGGGGCCAGCTCGCCTGCCTAAAGCTCTCAGCTTCTTGGGATCACGCTAACCCTAAACCCTGCCGTCCACCCCCGTGTGTGCCTCTCACCCCTGTCCCCTTGGGTCACTGAGCACCCTCTCTCTAGGCCCTGGACACCAGGGACCAGACAGACAGGGTCCCTGCCCTCCCCCTAGGGCGCTGAGGCTGGGAGGACGTACCCCAGGAGAGCCCAGGCCAGTGTCGGAAACGGCTTCCCAGGGGGATGGGCATGGATGGAGGGTTCCATGGCAACCGGTCCAGTGGGACAGGGCGAGCCCGTCATGTGCAAAGGGCCTGCGGTGGGGAGGAGGACCAATAGCCACACCTGGTCCCCGCCCACGGGCAGCAGCCCGGCCCCCTCGGGGTCCAGGGAGGTCGCTGCTCTGCTCTGGGCTCCTCAGGCCCAGCCTGCCTCTGGGGAAGGGGGCATCCCGGGGAGAGGCATTTGGGGGTGAGGAGGGTCGTGTCAGTGGCGTGATGGCTGGCGATGGGGGCCAGAGGCAGGGAGGCCAGAGGGAGGCGAATGCAGGAACGTGGGCAAGAGCGTGAGGCTGGGGCCGGGGTGGCCGGCTCGGGATGGGACGGGGGGGGGGGGGGGGGGGGGTGTCGGAGGTGACGTGCCTTGGGCTCCATGACGGACGCAGGCCAGGGACAGGGACAGGAGGGAGAGGGCGGAGCCCCGAGGACCTGGGTGCCCAGGTGGGAGGTGGGACCACTCACCAGAACAGAGGCGAGCAGGCAGGCCGGGGCCCTTTAAGATCCTCTCGGCTGTGGATTTTCCTCCCATCATTCCCCCGGGCCATCCCGGCTTCGTCTCTGATGGACTGCATAGCACGGGCACCTTAATATAAGGTGACCAGATGTTTTAAAATTGGGACTTTTTAAAAACGCCGCGGGATGCGGGACAAATTGTTAAAAATCGGGACTGTCCCACCGAAAGCGGGACGTCTGGTCACCTTGCCTTAACAGGAAACCTCGGGAGTAGCGGGTCTGAGGCCTGCGTTGTCTGTGTATTCAGCAGCCACGTAATTGTGGCTTTCCCGTGGCCCCTGACTCCTAGTCCTGTATCCGGGTGGGAAACTAGTTCCCGGTTCCGATGCGGACATCCACAGCCACTGCCTGGCGGTGGTTTGCAGGAGCGGAGGCCAGGGGACGAGTGGGGGCCAGAGGGTCCCCCGGCGTGTCCCCAGGGATGCTGGGCTCCATGGGGCTCCGGGCGCCCCGGGACCTCAGACCAGCGCACCCCGGGGCAGGGCCAGCACTGGCGCCTCGCTCAGCATCAGGGACCCGTCCCCTCTCTCCGTCCTATCCCCCCTCATTGGGGTCTTCATGGAGGGGAGTGTGTACTAACCTCCGCTGTCTGCTGTCTCCCTCCGCCCCCCGGCCCCGCGCCTCCCCGCCCGGTAGCCTTGTTCTCCGTGCGGAACCTGAGCCGGCCCGGCCTCACGCAGTACGAGCTGGACAGTAAGTCTTGCATGTACGGCGGCTCCGTCCGGGGCCCGCGCCCCCCACAGGGATGGGGAGCGGCCTCCAGGCCTCCGGCCATGGGGTGCGGCACGGGAGAGCAGCCGGCTCTGGGCTGTGTGCTGGGCTGGGGGCCATCCTGGGGGCTGTGTCACTGCCGTGTCCGTGTCACTGCCGCCCCGGCAGGCCCAGCAGAGGCACCCCGGCTGGGCTCTGTCTCAGCCCCAGCCGTGGGGGGAGCAGGGACCCCCCCTTCCCTCCAGGGACCAGGAAACCTCGCTGCCTGCGCATGGCCCGCCCCTGGTCCTGTTTCTGCAGCCCCAGCTGGGGTTCCCGGAGTCCTGGGGCCTCGGACACGGGACCCCCGCTCTGTGGGACTGAACTGTCCCTCTCCTTCCTCCCTCCACCGGTGGCCGCACGGCCCGCACCCCACTCCCACTCCCGGGAGGGAGATGGGGGGTCAGCCACGACCCCAGCAGGGACAGCGTCTCCCACCCGGGACCCACCCGGGATGTGAGAGCCCATTTCCTGTACCTGCTTCCCGCCCGGCTTCTGTCCAGGCATCTCACCCAGGTGCCCAGACCCAGGAAGAAACACGGTTTCTCAGCCCAGAGTTCACATCCAACACACCCCTTCCCGCAGGGCTGAGCCCCCTGTCAGGCGCTGGAAACCTTTGGCATCTGCCATGTGGGGAAGGAGTGACCTGTGACCCAGGACAGGCGGGGGAGGAGTGACCTGTGACCCGGTGTGCCCGGGCAGCCTTGGTTCTCGCCCGTGACCTGACACAAACATGAACAGTGCCCCTTTCCTCTCAACCGCGTGCCCGAGGGTCCCCCGGGGCCAGGAAGCCAGCCAGCATCACCTGGTCCCGGTTACCAGGCCTCCTCTCCTCGGGGACCAGCATCACAGGGCACATCCTCCAGCCCCCCCAGCCCCACCTCCATGGCTCGGCCCCGCGGGACCGTGACTTCTGTGTGTGTGTGTGTGTGTGTGTGTGTGTGTGTGTGTCCCACCTCGCCCCCACAGACCTGAACAAGCACCGGCGCTACGAGATCCGCATGACGGTGTACAACGCCGTGGGCGAGGGGCCCCTGAGCGCCCCCCAGGAGGTCTTCGTGGGGGAGGCCGGTGAGTGCCGCTGCCCGAAGGCCCCGCCCGCCTCTCCCGCCCCCACGGGCCCCGCCCACCTCTCCCTCCCCCACGGGCACTCACCCGCCTCCTTCTCCCCCCCCCCCCCGCCCCTGGAGCCGCCGGCCCCGCACACTGACCTCCCCTCTCGCCCTCCAGTGCCCACGATGGCGCCCCGCAACGTGGCCGTCCACGGCCCCACGGCCACGCAGCTGGACGTGACGTGGGAGCCTCCCCCGCCGGAGAGCCAGAACGGAGACATCCAGGGCTACAAGGTACGGGCCCTCCGGCCAAGGAGAGGGTCCGGGGGCACAGGCTGGGGGTGGCCCAGGGAAGGTGGTGGGCGAGGCCCCCGGGCCTGCACCCGCTGTGTGTGCACAGCCCACAGGACAAAAGTCCGCCCGCCCGTGCCCCACCCAGGCCGCTGCCTAAATCTCTATTTTAAAAAATGTTTTAAATCTGTACTGGCGCCGCCTGTTAGGACAGGAGTTCGTTAGTCCCCACAAGTCACAGGGCCCTTTAGGACTCCTTCATCCTCTTGAAAGCCCTGGAACGCTGGTAGATGGGCCCTGTGTGTGCCCATCGCACAGATGAGGAAACTGAGGCCCAGTTCCGGTGACCCGGCCAGGCCACAGAAATAGCAGGTGGCAGAGAATCAGACCCCAGGTGTGCTGGCCGCCACGCCACCGGGAGCGGAGAGGGAGCACTGAGTACACAGCCACCGGAGGAGCTGCAGCCTGCCTCCTGTTCCAGTGTCCAGGGGACAGTCCAGGCCAGTGGTCGGCAAACTGCGGCTCACAAGCCACACACGGCTTTTTGGCCCCTTGAGTTTTTATCAAAGATGAGCTCAGGAGCACCCTCATTAAGTTCATAAAAATGTACCTACCTAGATAGTTTAAGTTTAAAAAAACTTGGCTCTCAAAAGAATTTCCAATCGTTGTGCTGTTGATATTTGGCTCTGGTGACTGATGAGTTTGCCGACCACGGGCCCAGGCAGTGGCAGGTGTGGCCTGAGGCCCACAAGGGGCCCGTGGTCACCTGGCTCGGCCGTCCCCGCGCAGGCAGGAACCGAGTCTCCGGAAAGGCACCGGGCTCACCCCATCTCGGAGCTGGTGCGTGCTGGTGGCCCTGGTCTAAGACGGAATCCGGAGTGGGCGTCTCTCTCCGTCTGGGGCGAAGGAGGCGGGAGGGAGGGGGAAAGATACCGGCCAAGGAAGCGCTGAGGACGGGTGACCCCCTGGAGTCCTCGCCGGGGAGTGCCAGCTGGGAATGCTAAGTACTGCGTCTGAGCATATGGCTCCCGGGAGTAGGGAGCCGGGCGGAGGCTGCGGAGGGTGGCAGCCCCCAGGCGGGCGAGATGTGGGAGCCTCCTGTGAACGGGCAGACCCAGGAAGCATGTGGGTGCGCAGACGCCATACGCTCCCCCCCCCCACACACACACACACACACACAGACCTGCAGGCATCTGCGTGCTCGGGGAAACCTCGCGGCCACGGGTGTTAACTGGGGAAACGGAATGTCCACCTCCCAGACGTGGATCAGCAGCCACGTCCATTGCCATGAATCATGTGCCGGGGTAACGGACCGGTGAGCACTGCTGAGACGGACGGCACATGGGTGAGGCCGGGCTATGCCGGGTGCACGGGCAGGCCCGGCCCCGCGGCTGCTTCCTGACCACCTGCTTCACGCCCAGCCGTGCTTTCGGTCCCCGTGGAGGCGGATCGCCCGGGAAGGAGACGGGCTACATTCAAAACAAGCGGCAGCGGCAGGTGGCGGCGAATGGAGCGGGTTACGCAGGGAGAGACCGAGGGGCGGTGTGGGCGGGAGAGGAGGTTTGTCAGGGCGGGACTTAGCGGGAAGCTGGCACATGAGGAAGCACGAAGGCTAGCAGGGCCTGAAGCACGTGGACCCCGAAGAGGAGAGTTCCAGAAAGAGAACACGGATGTGCAAGGGTCCTGGGGTCCGTGGCCAGCAAACAGTCCTGTGCGTCTCCGAGTGAGCGGGGGAGCAGCGTGAAGGGACGTGGGTCTGGGCAGTGACCGGGGCCGCCCTGACTCGGAATGAGGTGACAGAGGGCAGGGAAGGTTTGGGGCAGGAGGAGGGATGTGGGTGACCTGGGTCTTGAAAGGGCAGGCTGGCTGCGGTACAGGGAGGTGTCTGAAAGGAGCGGGCACAGAGCCATGAAGTGGCAGCCACATGAGACCTGGTGGCGGCTGAGCTGAGACGGGGCGGTAGTGTGGGTCCCAGGTGAAGGGTAGAGCCGTCCACACTACAGTGCTGACGCGGTGCACGTGGGGCGTGAGGGCAGCAGGAGTGACGAGCATGTCCCAGCAGCTGGGTGATGACGCTTCCAGCCACGGCGCAGGCATTGGCACAGGCCAGGCGGGGACTCTGGTGAGCGCTTGCCCACTTTGATTAGCTTCCTCCGGGCTAACGGAGAAATTGGGCCAGTGGCAGCAGAAACCTCTTCCGCCAGCAGGTGGCGACAAACGCCCACTCATCCCCCACCAGCCATCACAGCCTTAGTCAATGGTGCGCTGGGGTCATGCTGCTCCAGGCCAGCCCGCTTCTGCAGCTGGCTCTGCAAACTGCAGGGTGCCCGTGGGGCGTGTCAACACACCCTGCATCCCTGCCCAGCACCCAGGAGATACGACCGCCTGGTCCTCGAACCCCGCTCTTGGTTGGGTGGACCCTCCGCTGTGCTTACCTTCCGTTGCTGCAGGTCCTACCTGCACCACCATAAACACACAGCAGGTCTGCGCGCGTGCGGGAGGGTCCCAGACCGGCAGACACTGTAGCCTTAGAAAAGGAAGGTTCTGGAAGGGTTGCTATGCTCTTCAATGCTTCGACACTGTCCCGGCCGCTCGCTCACACCTCCGTCCCAGTGTGCGGGCGGCTCCGGTGCGGGCGTCCTGAGACCCCGGTGTCTCTGAGCCGCTGTTGTCCGCCCCTCCCGCCCTGCCGTCCGTCCGCAGATTTACTTCTGGGAGGCCCAGCGGCAGAACCTCACTGAGCGCGTGAAGACGCTCTTCCTGGCGGAGACCGGCGTGAAGCTCAAGAACCTGACGGGCTACACCGCCTACATGGTCAGCGTGGCGGCCTTCAACGCCGCGGGGGAGGGGCCCCGCAGCACCCCCACCCGCGGCCAGACCCAGCAAGCAGGTGGGGAGAGCGCCGAGGCGGGGAGGCGGTGCCCTGGGGGCGGGGAGGGGCCTCTGGCCCTGCCGCTGGGCTCCGGAGGAGTGGAGGCAGCAACCTGGCGCCACCCCCTGAGACATCGGGGCTGGTCACCCAGGCCCCTGGGATGCCCTCCACAGCCCCCAAAGAGAGGCCAATGTGGGTGCTCAGAAGAGGTTTCTCCGTACAGCTTTGGGGAGAGCCCCCAGACCACACATACACCACACACACCACACACACACACCACACACCACACATACACACTCATACACTCACACACACACACCACACACCACACACACCACACACACACACACACACACCACACACACTCATACATTCTCACACACACACCACACATACACACACACCACACACCACACACCACACACACACTCATACACTCACACACACACACACACCACACACATACTACACACACACCACACACCATACACACTCAGACACATACACACAACACACACTCATACACATACACACACAACACACACAACACACATACACACACTCATACACACAACACACACACACCACACACACACCACACACCACACACATACGATACACTCACACACACCACACACCACACACACACACCACACACACATATCACACACACACACACACACACACATACACACACCATCGTGCTCCTATTGCCCGCCTAGCTCATGGCCAGTCCAGGCCCAGCCAGCCCCCTTCTCCCTGCCTGTTCCCACCTGCCTGGCCAGGTGCTGGGACCACAACCTTGAGGGAAACTGACCCGCCCCCCACCCCACCCCACAGGGGGAGACAGATCACACCCAGCACAGAGGTGCGTTCACTCTGGCGGCTGTGCCGGGGACGGAGGACGGAGGACGGAGGCAGGGGACGGACAGCTGGCTGTGGGCAGGTTTGCCTGCAGAGAGGGTGACATCTGAGCTGGCAGCAGAGGAGGCCGTGGGAGGTGCAGGGGGAGGGGGTTCCGGCCGAGGGGCTGGCAGGTGCCGAGGCCTGGAGGCGGAGGGGATCGGGGACCGAGAGGAAACCAGGGGCCTGGCGAGGACACGGGCATCCGGCTCTGGAGGGCCTGGCGGCCGGGGGATGATCTAAGTGTGACGAGAGCCACTGGCAGGTCGAAGCGGCTGGGCAACGGGGTCTGGTTCGTGTTTTTATTTTTTATTTTTTTTTTAAATATATTTTATTGATTTTTTACGGAGAGGAAGGGAGAGGGATAGAGAGTTAAAAATATCCATGAGAGAGAAACATCGATCAGCTGCCTCTTGCACACCCCCTACTGGGGATGAGCCGGCAACCAAGGTACGTGCCCTTGACCGGAATGGAACCCGGGACCCTTCAGTCCGCAGGTCGGAGCTCTATCCACTGAGCAAAATCGGTTTCGGCTGTGTTTGTATTTTTATTTTTTATATATTGGTATTGATTTCAGAGAGGAAGGGAGAGGGAGAGAGAGAGAGAGAAACGTCAATGATGAGAGGGAATCATTGATTAGCTGCCTCCTGCACGCCCCCTACTGGGGATTGAGTCACAAACCCGGGCCTGCGCCCTGATCAAGAATCAAACCGAACCATGACCTACCTCCTGGTTCATAGGTCAATGCTCAATCCCTGAGCCACGCCGGCCGGGCTGGATTGAGTTTTTGAAAGATCGCTCTGACCGCTGTTCAAAAGACAGACTGATGTGGGGAGAGGACGGAGGCAGGGAGGCCAGGGAGGAGGCTGGGTGGCGGGGCAGGGCTGGGGCGACAGGAGGATGAGGCAGGGGTTCTGCTGCCACAGGGGCGGAGCCAGCCCTCTGTGCACTGCCCACAGCCACGTCTCAGGCAGATTCCCCCGGAGCCTCCGGAAGCCCTGGGCATGGGCGGGCGGGGTGCCCCTATGCCGTGGAGAACAAGGGTGGTCAGGACGTGATGCTTCCCAGGGTCCCCCCCGCCGGACCAGGGGCATCAGAGGCTGCAGACGGGGTGTCTGAGCTGGCCCGGCGCTGTCGCCAGGCCCTCTCCTTGGCTGTCACGGAGCTCTGTTCTCGGGGGTATATACCCCCACGCCTCTCGCCCTGACCTCCTTGGCTGTCTTTTCCACCCTGCTGCCTCCCGTTCTGTAAACAGCCTCTTCTCCTCCTCGGGGACGAGCCTGGCTCCCGGAAAACCCTGTCCCTCCTCCGGCTCTGAGCATCTGTGTGTGTGTCCGCCCGCCTGTCCCGACCCCTCTTTGTCGGTGCCGGCGGCCGGATGGGAGCCCCCGGAGCCTGTGCGCAGACACAGCGGGACGCCGTGTTCTGTCCCCGCTCCGCCGGCCGAGCGGAGGCAGGAAGGGCCCCCTGCGCTCCGGCCTCCTTCAAAGGCTGCTGGCTGGCGCGGCCGGCCCGGGCTGGACGGAGCCGGGCGGAAGCGGGGTCAGGTCAGCTCCGGCTCCGTGGGGGTGGCCCTGACAATAATAGCCGGGCCATCCCGCTGGAGCCAGCTCGGGAGGCTGCCCCGGGATGCTTCCTTCCCGTCCGCCCCATCCGCCCCCGGAGCGCACACCCCCGTGGTTTTGGGTTGCTCTTCCAAAGGCCTCGGCTGGCCCCGGCTCCGGCCGCGTGGGGCAGCGTGGTCTCTGGGCCTCGCGCCCTGGCCCCGGGGCCGAGAAACACGGCGGCTCCGCCGTCTTGTCCAGTCAGTGCCCGCCGGATGCTCTGAGGCCCAGACAGCCCCAGCCCTCTCCCCGGGAAGCTGAGAGAGGCGCCCCACAAAACCAGGACACGGCCTGGCCCCGCAGACCCCCGGGGCCAGGACACAGGCTGGGCCTGGGGGCTCTGAGCCAGGGCCAGGGGCCCCTGAGCAGGAGGGATCTGAGTTCTCTAACATGAGGCAAAGCATTCTGGGACTCTGAGGTTGCAAAGCGAGTGTTGTGATGCATTGTTTGGGGAGAGGAAGGGGGTCCGGTAACCCCGGGCGACCCCTCCCGCCCTGTCCTGCACGGAGCCCTGCTCTCTTCTGCCTCCTGGGCTCCCACCCCGCTGGTTCCTGGGAGCTGAGGGTGGGGCTTGGAAAGAAGTCCGAGGAAGGAGGAAAAAAACCCCTGTGCTGTCTCCCCCGCAGCCCCCAGCGCTCCCAGCTCGGTCAAGTTCAGCGAGCTGACCACCACCTCGGTGAACGTGTCCTGGGAGGCCCCGCGGTTCCCCAACGGCGTCCTGGAGGGCTACCGGCTGGTGTATGAGCCCTGCACCCCAGTGGACGGTGAGTGGGACCCCCGCGCGGGCCTGACACCCACCCCGAGGGGCGCGCGCTCAGCCGGGGTCCCCTCGCCATCACTGCAGTCCCCGTGGCCAGCATCTCCCGGCTTAGAAAGAGGAAACGGAGGCCGGGACAAGGGAAGGGGAGTCCTGAGGGGAAACAAGTTGGGGGTGAGGCTGAGGAGCAGCCCAGGTACCCTGACTCCCAGGCCCAAGTTTTCAGTCGCTTCTTGTCCGAAAGTCGATGGCAGTGAGGGGATAGGGAGGAGGGGACTTGAGTATGGGATGGGGATCCTGGGAGAGAGACAGCATCCCAAGCTGGACACATCTCTGTCATGAAGATGGGGGGGGGGGGCGATGGGCCTGGCCCAGGCATGACCCCCAGAATTCAGGTCCAGCCTTACTCTGGTTCAGCTTTCTCTGCCTTCAGTGGAGTCAGGAACAACCGCTTGGAGAACCTGATGAAAGACGAGAGTCTCCCCCTAGAAGGATGCACGAGTTTGGGGGGCCTTGCACCCCCGCTCCCTCTGTGAGCCTCTGGACTTGAACCCTGACTTCAGGCTGTCTCCCTCTGACCCAGGGCTGTCTTCAGAGTCTTTCTGTAACCCCCGCCCCACCCTCCAGGCCCTGGCTGGGACCCTGGCCCACTCCCGCCGCCCCCCAGCTGGGTTAGCCCAGAATCACAGCTAGTGACAGAGATGGGGGAAGAGGCTGGGCTCCCAGCGGCCTGCGTCCAGCTCCGGAGCCCAGCGAGACCTTGGGGGTGCGGCTGGCCTACCAGCTGGCACCCTGGCGGCCAGAGGTGACCACCTCTGGGCTTACCCCTCCCTCTCACCCCTCTCTGAACCTGGCCAGACACGGGGCGGAGCCCTGAGCACGCTGCAGGGGCCAGCAGTTCTGGGTCAGCTGGGAACAATGGCCCTCAGTCTTTGCTGCCACTACCTGCGTGCCAGCAGCTTCCCGTCTGCAGAGTGCACCGTGTGCTAGGCCAGCGGGGAGCCGGCCCCGGGAGGCCTGGTCAGGTGCAGGCCCGGGAAGGGGGCCATCTCTCCCCAGGGCAGGAAGGAGAGGGCAGAGGGCAGAGGGAGGGTCAGAGGGAGGGGACGCAGGGGGACAGACAGGCGCGCTCGTCACAGTGGCCTCCCCCCGCCTGCCCTTGAGAGGTGTGAGCGCTCTGCCTTTGGCCCTCTGTCCAGCAGGGTCTGGACCCCATGTCCCCCCGCCCTCCCATGTTCACGTCGGCCCCGCGATGGCCCGGCTGATAGGATCCCGAAGCCCTGCGCGCGGCTGGGTGACACCCAGTCTGGCCAGCGCGCCGTCTGCACCCCGGGGGGGTGCCTCAGCCCCGGGCTCGGGTCAGCAGGCCACCTGAGCATCCAGGACCCTCTTTCCTCAGGGGCCGTGGTGAGGAGGGGTTCGCTCAGAAAGGTCAAGGAGCAGGTACCCAGAGCTGCTGCTCCGGTCCCGGGCATGCCCCCACGACGTCGCCCCCAGATCTCCTCATTCCTGCAGGAAGCGCCTCTGGAGCGCCCCCTGTCTGTCACTCAGCGCTTTATTTATTCAGTACGTAGATGGGGCACCTGCCATGTGCAGCGCCGGGTGCTCTGCGGTTCTGTCTGGCCTCATGGCATCCGGCCGTGGATATGACGGTTGGTCTGAGCACAGCCCGCAAGCTTAGAGCCCGTCTCCCAGCAGGGACCAGTGTGCTCAGTGGACAGGGAGCTGAGAGCCTGTCCTTAAGGGACAGCAGCCTCCTTACGGGGTGCTGGGCAGTGGGGGTGCCTGGTGGACGTGCATGTTTAACCTATGCCAGCTCAGCGGGAGGGCGGGGGTTGGATCTTTGAAACACGGAACACAAACTCTCACCTCCCGAAAACCATCCTGAGGTTGTCCTGGCTGTGAGGGCTGAGGTTGTCCTGGTGTAGGGGCTGAGGTTGTCCTGGCTGTGGGGGCTCAGATAGTCCCGGCTGTAGCAGTTCAGGTTGTCCTCAGCCGGCTGTAGGTGTGTTCCCTCCAACTCTGGGCTCTGCTGTCTTTGCAGAAGCACTTTCTGGAAGGTGATCCTAGGAACTGGAGTTGGCAGGGTTGACAAGGGGAACAGAAACTGCCGTAAGACGTATCGGGGCACAGCCGTTCACTTGAACAGGATGGCGCGCTGTTCCCCTCCAGATGCAGAAGGACCCGTGGTCCTCTCAGAGGCCGGCAGCCTGTAGCCTTTCTGAGGCCCCCGTAGCCGTGGGCCCTTTCCCTAAGCACAGCCTGGAGGACAGCGGCTGAGAATCAGAACCGTGTGCGGCCGAGGGTGCCAGCCTGGCCTCGTGCCAAGAGGCTTTGGCCCTGGCGGTGTCTGCTGCCTCCGCCCCCGGGTCCCCCTCCCGCCCACTGCCCCGCAGGGCCCACATCCCGTGCTTCCCCAGCAGGTGTCAGCAAGATCGTGACGGTGGACGTGAAGGGGAACAGCCCCCTGTGGCTGAAGGTGAAGGACCTGGCGGAGGGCATGACCTACCGGTTCCGCATCCGAGCCAAGACCTTCACCTACGGGCCCGAGATCGAGGCCAACGTCACCACGGGCCCCGGCGAAGGTGGGCGAGAACCGGCGGGCCCTCTGCACTCGGCAGTCAGCCCCCACGGGGGAAGGGGTGCCAGACCCCAGGACGAGCGAGGCGGGGTCCCCACGGGGCTCACGGGCCAGGGGACGGCAGACACGGGCACACACACCGGGCCTTGGAGTGCGGGTGAGCCAGGCCTCCTGGCACCAGAGCCTGGCTTAGCCCGGCCTCGGGGAGGTGAGCTGGGCCCCGCCCAGGAGGCCGCCTCGCCCGCCGTCCACCTGCGCGATGGGTGTGCCCTCCCCGCCACGTAAGGCCGCCCTCTGCTTTCACCATCGGGGCACCTTCCCTTCCTGCCCGGCTCTGCAGAGAAGCTGTGGCTCCGGCTCCGTGGGAACAAGGCCGCAGGGCTGCAGGGAGAGCCGCCTGGAGCCACCCGGCCCCCCTCTGCCCTGCCCCTGCCCCTCCCCTGCCTCTCACCTAAGCCCGCTTTCCTGGGAAACAAAAGCAGGAAGAGAGCTGTCAGCCGAGCCGTGGCATGGGGACAGGAGATGCCCATCTGGACAGACTGTTCTAACCTGAGGCCTGGGGCAGGCCAGGGGACAGGAAATACAAGGGGGGGGAAAGGGGAGGGTAAGGGAGAGCCAGGCTGCCCCCTGCAGGTGTGAGTGAAGGTCTGCACACGCCCCTCCCCAAACCAGGCAAGGGTCCAGGAGATGACTGACAGCTCCGTCTCTCAGCCCTGAGCGAGAACTCGGGGTCCTAAAAGCCCGCCCCACCCTCCACACCTCCCTGAGGCTGTGTCCCACTGCAGGCAGGACACACGTTAGGGAAGGAAGGAAGGAAGGAAGGAAACGCAGTCCTCAAGGTCCTGGGTCAGGACTGGGCGCGGGCAGGCATAGGTCTGCCCAGCTCTGTCATCGAGTTCCAGGCCTCTGGTCCAGCCCAGGGATCCTCCAGCCGATGCTGGACTCTCGCCCCTTTTCCCAGCAGGCGTCCACCTGGGCCACCCGCACCCGCTCAGCCAGCCACCCGTCACTGGCCCGCTCCCGGCCCCTCTAGCACCTAGGAAGCACCTACTGTGTGCCCGGCCCTGAGCACGCAGGGCTGCACGTCAAATGAGTGGGAGCCAGAGGACAGGCACTGGCCTGTGCTGTGGGGCACCCCCAAACAGAAGGGGTCCCGTGACAGATAAAACCGGGTCACTCCTCTTACTACGGAGGGGAGATGCCCGGGGCCCACTCAGCCCCCCAAAAGCAACCTCCCCCTCTCATGTGCCTGCTCTGCCATTGTCCTGCCCGCCTCCTCTGGCCCCATGACACATCCCTTCAGGCCTTGCATTCCAAAAGGCCTTACAGGGGGGGAAATTGAGGCACCGAGGGCTGTGTGAACTCATCCGTCACCCATCTAACGGTCCTGGGTTGGACCAGGAACCCGAGTCTCCTGAATCTGCTCCAGGACCTTTCCTGCATCACCCTAGGGTCCCTCTCCTGCCCTGAAACTTGGAATTGGGGGCGAAAGAGAAGAACCAGCAGGTCGAGCCTTAGACACACTCCCCCAGCCTCGCCCTGCAGGGTTTCCCGGGACTCGGACGGGCTGGTTTTGTGGAGCAGCCCCTCCAGCGGGGAGGCAGGCTGGGTGCCCGTCGGGGCCATGCACCCCGTGCTCACGTGTGCCGTTGGCAGGTGCCCCGGGACCGCCTGGAGTGCCCATCATCGTGCGGTACAGCTCCGCCATCGCCATCCACTGGTCCAGCGGCGACCCCGGCAAAGGGCCCGTCACCCGCTACGTCCTCGAGGCCAGGCCCTCAGGTACGCCGCCCCGGCTGAGCCGCCGCCCCTGCGGAGCCCGCGTCTCACTGCCTCCCTCCTGCCCAGGCCCCTCCCCCTGGTGCCCTTCCGTCATCGTCTCCAGATGAGGCTAGGGGTGGCCGTGGGAGTGGGGAGCAGGGAGGTGCACCCTTAGCTAAGGAATACCCAGAGAGCAGCACCCAACGCCCGCTGAGGACCCACTCAGGCGGAGGGCCGTTCGAGAAGCCAGGGGAGCCTTAGCCCAGTGGTCGACAAACTCCTTAGTCCACAGAGACAACCATCAACAGGACAACGACGGAAATTTCTTTGGAGAGCCACATTTTTTTAAACTTAAGCTCCTTCTAACGCCACTTCTTCAGGCCGTGGTGTTTTGTGGAAGAGCCACCACACTCAAGGGGCCAAAGAGCCGCATGTGGCTCGAGAGCCGCAGTTTGACAACCACGGCCCTAGCCGATTTGCTTGAGTGTCAGCCTGTGGAACAAAGGGTCCTGAGTTCGATTCCGGTCAAGGGCAGGTACTTCAGTTGCAGGCTCCTCCCCAGGCTGGGCTCGTGTTTCTCTCACATCCACGTTTCTGTCTTTCAATGGAAAAACATCCTCGAGTGAGGATTTAAAAAAAAAAAAAAAGCCAGGGGAGCAAGGCGTTGAGCTCACAGAGGTTAAACCCCCATGTCCTCCAGGCAGCACCTCTGGCCAGCGTCCCCTAAGGAGGCCGGCTGTCCCCCACCTCACCCCCCGCCCCCCTCCAACACCCAGCGGCCTCTTTAAGGGCCGACTCCGCCCTCAGCGCTGGCTTGGCAGCTCCTGTAACCGCACCAACCTGTCCTGTCAGGCCTGAAATCGAATCACCAGAACTCCCTCACCCATCGGCAGATGAGCGGCCAGTAGCCGCTGCAGGGGCTGCTCTGCACGCTCCCGTTTCACTGTCGCCATGTCACCTGCGCCTCCCGGCTCCCCTTACCCGCGGAGCCTTCGCCACTGCCAGCTCCCCGGTTGCTAGGCGTCCGAGTTAATCAGAGGCGCCAGCGTCGGCAGAGCCGGAGGCTGGTTCCTGGTCTTCCGTGGCCCCGTGGTGAGGCCACTGAGGCTGAGACACTAAACGCCGTGGCAGACACCACGGGAAGTGGCCGGGCTGGGCAGGAGGTGACACTTCTAAGGGGCCATCGGGGCATCCTGGGGACACATTATTAGCCCCTTGGGGCAGCCGAGCCCTAATTATCTCAATGCACGCCATTCATGTCAGGAGTTCCAGGGGGCGGCTGCCGCCCCGGCATTGCCTGGATCTTAGGCGCATGACTCCAGCCACCAATAGCGAACACCTATAGCCTCTCAGAGCCAGCCTGCAGCCGGGAGCTGTGCGTACGGCTGGCTCTCTCCCCACTCCAGATGGTCCCGCCCCGGCCCTCTGGTGCCGGCTGCCGAGTTGGCCTGGAGACCGCTGAGTACAGCATTCTCCCCACCAGGGCCCGAGCCTGCTTTTTCCACCCGAGTTGGCCGGCCGGGGTGCCAGGCCGTGGAATGTTGGCTGCAGAATGGACCCCGGCCCTGTTGATTGTCCACTGCTTCCTGGGAGGCCTGGCGTGGGGCCTGGTGTTCCGGGTTTGGGGGCCGTGAGCTGGTCCTCATGGGTGGGATCAAGGACTAGCTAGGCTAAGAGGAGGGGCCAAGCCAGGATCCGCTGAAGAGTCAGCACTCGGGGCCGTGGCGGAGGGCTGGTGCAGGGGACGGCGGGCTGTGGGAGAAGGTGAAGAGCCATTGCCTTCACCTGGGGCTAAAAGTTAAGACAGAGGCGGGGTAGGGGGGTAGGTTGGGGGTCTGAGAGGGAAGTCAAGAACTCAGAAGTTGGAGACAACATGGGTGGCATACAGACAGGGAGCCCTTCCGCCCCCTCTGGTCCCTGAGAGTCCTCTGATCCCTGCTCCCCAGCATGGAGGGGCCTGAGGATTGGTCCCATCAAGTCCAAAGCCTCATGGGAACCCCCATCCCTTCTGCAACTGTTCAGACACAGCCCTCTTCTTGTCCGATGCCACTGCGTGTGTGCTTTGGCTAGGGATGGGGACCAGGAACACGGGGGCCTGGTTAAGAATAGGAGGGGGACCAGATGGTGACCTCTGAGGCAGCCAAATGCTGAGGAGCACTTTGCGATGCGATGGGAAACATATGCAGGCCCAGCAGCGCGAACCAGAAGGTCACGGTTCGTTCCCGGTCAAGGGCACACGCCCGGGTTGTGGGCCAGATCCCCAGTGTGGGGCATGTAGGAGGCAACTGATCAATTCTTTCTCATCATTGATGTTTCTCTCTCTCTCTCCCCCTTTCCCTTCCTCTCTGAAATCAATAAGAATATATATCTATTAAAAGAATAATATGCAAAATTTTCCCTATAAGGGCTAAGAAGGGTCATTGCTTTGTCTAAATCAGTGGTTGGCAAATTGTGGCTCACGAGCCACATGCAGCTCTTTGGCCCCTTGAGTGTGGCTCTTCCACAGAATACCACGTGCAGGTGTGCACGTGTACAGTGCAATTGAAACTTCGTGGCCCATGCGCGGAAGTCGGCGTTCGGCTCTCCAAAGAAATGTCAATCATTGTACCGTTGATATTTGGCTCTGGTGCCTAAGGAGTTTGCCGGCCACTGGGCTAGATGGTGATAGCGGGTTGCTGGTGGCAATCTGCTCTGCCTATTACACACGTTGAATGTCGTGTAGACATCTTAACAGACAGACTCACAGGGCCAGACGCTGCCCGGGTATCTGTCATCTCCCCAGGACCTCCGGGGGGCCGTCTTGAGGAGGGGAGTTGATGGGCAGACCTGGCAGGCCGCTCTCAGGGAGCGACAGGTAGGGCGGGGCCTCCCCTCACGGGGGCCTGCCCTCTGCGCTCCTGCAGACGAGGGGCTGTGGGACATCCTCATCAAAGACATCCCCAAGGAGGTGACCTCCTACACGTTCAGCATGGACATCCTGAAGCCGGGCGTGAGCTACGACTTCCGGGTCATCGCGGTCAACGACTACGGCTTCGGCACCCCCAGCAGCCCCTCCCAGTCCGTGCCAGGTACCGCCTGTGGGGGAGGGGCGCAGGGGCTGGGCAGGGGAAGGAGGGGAGGCAGCAGAGCCCCAGGAGAGATGGGGTGGGGCCCAACGTGCACCGTCCCCTCGGTGCCCGAAGCAGCAGGGAGCCCCGGGCCAGGGCCCGAATCAGGGTTCGGCTTCGGAAGGAAGAAACGGGATGGACCATGGCTCCTGCGGGTTCCTTTTCAAGGACTTGGAAGCCCTGGGCAGGGGGCCCAGCCGGCTTGTGGATGAATCACTGGGCCCAGCACGGGAGCTTCCCTGAGCTCATCAGCCAGGAGATTCAAGGGCACCAGGCCATAAACTGAGTGTCTCCATAGAAACCGAACCCCAAACAGACAGCAGCCTGTAGAGCAGACGGACCTACACCACCTGGCTGAGCAGGGCCCGGGTGGGCTGGCCTGCCATCCTCCCCTTCTCCTCTCCCCATTCTCGTCCGGCGTGTCTCAGCTCACAAGGGCCTCTGCTACCAAAACCCATGACCCCACAGCTAAGCACTGACCACTTCATACAAGGCCTCTTCCCCAAAGGCCGACGTGTAACTCAGAATTTCTACTCACCGGGGAGCTTCCAACGCCCGCCGCCTCCCTCTTCCCACACACGCCCACCCCTGCCAGATTGACAGCCCGATCGATCGTGGGAAATAAACACTTGAGGGCTGGAATAGGAGCCCGCCCCTCAGGCAGCAGCAGGGATTAGACAGGCCAGGTACAGAAAGCATGGCCTGGGGGCTTCAGAGAAGGGAGGCCCTCCCGGGGGAGGCATTTGAAAGACCCGCCATATCCTCTCCCTACAACCCCCCTCTCTGCTACCAGAAAGAGATTCCGTCCCCACGGAGCCAGGGGACAGACTGTCCAGGCCCAGCACAGGCCAGACAAGCACCCTTCCAACACAGAGCTGGCTCTGCCTGCCCAGGTAGACCGTGGGTGGAAATGGAAAAATAAAGGAAACTGGCTGGCTGAAACCGGTTTGGCTCAGTGGAAAGAGCATCGGCTTGTGGATTCCAGTCAAGGGCATGTGCCTTGGTTGCAGCTGATCAATGTTTCTCATCCATGTTTCTAACTCTCTATCCATCTCACTTTTTCTCTGTAAAAAAAAAAATCAATAAAATATATTTTTTAAAAATAATAAAAATAAAAAGGAGACTGGCCGGCGTGGCTAGTGGTTGAGCTTCAACCTCTGAACCAAGAGGCCATGGTTTGATTCCTGGTCGAATCATATGTCTGAGTTGCAGGCTCAATCCCCAGTGTGGGGCGTGTAGGAGACAACCGATCAATGATTGTTTCTCCTCATTGATGTCTCTGTCTCTCTCTCTCCCTCTCCCTTCCTCTTTGAATTCAATTAAAAAAAAAAATTTTTTTTTTAAAGAAAAAATAGCAAACACACCATCCCTTCCCCACTGCAGCCTGTGTCTCCAGCAGACATCACTAATCAATCCCGGCACTGTTTCCTCCCGAGTGCAGAAGCAGCCTCCGGGGAGCCCCATTGATCAGAGCTGGCACTGGAAATGACTGTCCCTCCCAACCTTGTCGTAGGCTTGGCCTCCTTCAGGGGGCACAGACCCCCGCTGACCATAGACTGAGAGCAGGATGTAGGAGACCCGCTGGAATGGGAGGCTGGGAGGCAAGAGGGGCCAAGCACCCTGGTCCTGACGCCCCACCCGTGCTCCAGCCCAGAAAACCAGCCCGTTCTACGAGGAGTGGTGGTTCCTGGTGGTGGTCGCCCTGGTCGGCCTCATCTTCATCCTGCTCCTGGTCTTCGTGCTCATCATCCGGGGCCAGAGCAAGAAGTACGCCAAGAAGACAGACTCGGGTGAGCCAGCACCCAGCCCTGCCCGAGGGGCTGGGCCTTCCCTTGTCGCCTTCCTTTTGCAGGGATGGGTGGGGGTCTGTCCCCCGGAAGTGCATCCGCTCCCACAGGTGGGACAGCCCGGGCTTCCCAGTCTGGTTTCAGCCCTAGCAAGAGAAAGAGGGAGCCCTAACTGGTTTGGCTCAGTGGATAGAGCATCGGTCTGTGGACTCAAGAGTCCCAAGTTCAATTCTAGTCAAGGGCATGTACCTTGGTTGCGGGCACATCCCCAGTAGGGGGTGTGCAAGAGGCAGCTGATCGGTGTTTCTCTCTCATGGATGTTTCTAACTGTCTATCCCTCTCCCTTCCTCTCTGTAAAAAATCAATATATATATCTTTTAAGAGAGAGAGAGGAAGGGGGGGGGGGCAGCCGGCCAGGTGGGGCGAAGGGAGGTGGGGGAGGGGACGCTGCCCAGTGTGAAGGGATGGCCTGACCGAGCCGTGCCAACCTGCCCTGCAGGGAGCGGTGCCAAGGCTGGTGCCCTGGGCCACGGGGAGATGATGAGCTTGGACGAAAGCAGTTTCCCTGCCCTGGAGCTCAATAACCGGCGCCTCTCCGTCAAGAACTCCTTCTGCCGGAAGAACGGCCTGTACACCAGGTAGCGGCCCTCGGCGTGGGGGCCGGGAGGACGGGGCTGAGGGCCGGCGGTGCCCGGCTGGGGAGGGCCGCAGAGCAGGCAGTGCCCCCTCGGCCTCACCCTGTCCCAGAAACGGCTTTTCACCCCAGTGAGTGGGAGCCTCGGTCAGCACAGGCAGGGGCCGGGGCGCACAGCCTGGGCGAGGGCACACGGGCGGGAAAGTCACCAGGAGGTGGGGGCAAAGGGTTTCCATCGATCACAGCAGAAGGCACATAGCATGCCCAGGGTTGGAGACGGGTAGACTGCCATCTGAAGCCAGCGGCCCGTAGCCTGCTATCCACCCGCCCCCAAGGGGAGACGGAAGAACGGCCTGTACACCAGGCAGACCCACCAGAGTGAGAGGCCCCAGGTGCTCCCCACGATCGTGGACACCCTACCATGTCCGCCCCCCAGGAAAGGACAGACACCCCGAGTGTAGCCACGTCCCCCCTGGTCCTCCCTCATGCCCGCTGTCATTCCAGACCACACTCTTCCCACCCCTGCCCACCCCCCAAGTTCACAGTCTCAGCATCATCCCCCAAGGGCAGCGGCGAAGCAGCCCTCCAGGAAGGACGAGGTTGGTGGCCCGCCAGCTCTCTCCCCTACGTCTCTCCAGCCCCAGGCCCTCCTGCGGCCGCAGGGCTGCGCGTGGCCAAGGGCGGGGGCAGCTCACAAAACAACTCTGTCTGGTCCGGAGGGAAGAGGCGATGTGTGTGTTCTCCAGGGGGATGGGGTGGGGGTGGGGTCGGGGTGCTGGCCAACGAGGCCCACTCTCACCCTCTGAGAAGCCAGCTTCCCAAAGAAAGGGGCATTTGATGCCTCCGCGCCAGGCCCAGCATGGCCCCCGCAGTCTGGCCAGGCTGGCTCCAGAGCCCTGCCACCCGGAACAAGGGGCGTCTCAGGACGGCCTGGCCTGCCTCTCGCACCCACAGTGTACACACACCGCAGCCCTGCCCGTCCCGCACCCCTGGGCCTGCCCAGAATTCCCGTCTGCACCGAAGGAGCCCCAGGCTCCGGCCTGGCCCAGCCCTGGGGACGTGCCAGCCCCCACTCCCCGCCTGTCACCAGGGCAGCTCAGCCTGGCACCCCGTTTTCCCCTTCCTCCCTATCCTGCACTTGCTGCCTCGTCTCCAGGAAGCTCCGGCTGGTACGGTGACTGCTTTATTTTCAGTACAAAGCTTCACTGTGTGGATCGGAATGAAATAAGATCGTGGGGTCCATGGAACCGTGATCATGGAAGACACCCCGAGACCATGGTCCTCACACTCTCAGAGGCAGCACCAGAGGTCGGAGGGGCAGGGAGCAGCCTGGGACGTGTCCCCGGGTCTCGGGACTGTCCTCAGAGCAGCGTTCCAGCAGCAGGCGGTGTCCGGCCCCTGTGCGGACAGCTGGGCTCAGAACCGCGGTGCCAGAGCAGGCTGGGCAGATGCTGGGGGGGGTGAGGCCCTGGGCAGTACCCTCTGGCACCCCGTCCTGAGGGCAGAGGGGTGAAGGACCCCAGGCCTGCCCACTCCTCGCCCGCAGCCCCAGCTCCGGCCTGCAGGCCTCCAGGCGGGAGGAGGAGTGCCAGGTGTGTTTCCTGGGTGACGGCAGCCAGGCCTCTCTCTCACCCGGGAATGCAGGCCTCTTCTCTCCCCGGGGCGTGGCATCGCCAGGAACCACCACCATCTCTGAGCCTATCGGTGCTTTCCTGGCTCTCTGACCCCAGGGCTGACCCCGAAGCTCCCCTTGTGCATAGGAAGTTTGTGGAGAGTTTATCTGCAGCGCGGGTCTCAGGCCTCCCCTGAGCGTGTGATTCGCGAGGTCTCGGGGGCCTAGGGCGCTGGGTCACAGTCACGGCTGTGATGCTAAGGCCTGCGATCCTGGAGGCATAGGTGGAGAGTCAAGCTGCTTCCCACCATCCCCTCTCCTTCCCCCCCCCACACACACACGCTTCCCTGGAGCTCATTCAAGAACTCAGCCCAGCACCCTCAGCATCCTGAGCCTCCCCCACCCCAGGCAGGGCCCCACCTTCCATGGCACAGGCCTGTGAACAGCAGGCACAGGAGCGTGAGGGGTCCCAGGGACTCCACGCCTCCAGGCCTCTCGGTGGCCTCCCCGGACCAAGGACCAGAGGAGGCTGCTCTGGGGGAGGCCACCTCTCAGCCCCCACCCCACTCCCTCTCTAGGTCTCCGCCCCGGCCGAGCCCAGGCAGCCTGCACTACTCGGACGAAGATGTCACCAAGTACAACGACCTCATCCAGGCCGAGAGCAGCAGCCTGACCGAGAAGCCCTCGGAGGTCTCCGACTCTCAGGTGAGGGGCCCTGGCCGGGGCGCAGCAGCCCTCCCGAGAGCCGGCCTGCAGGGCGGCCCCTCCAGCGGCCTGGACCCCCCTCCTCTCCCCTTTGTGGCCCATAGCCACGCAGGGGCCCCAGCAAACGATGTGCACGTCGGATACAGGCCAGCTGCCGCCTCCCAGGCTCTGCTCAGAGTTTGCACCCGGGGCTCATGGGGTCCCTAGAACCGTGATCATGGAAGACACCCTGAGACCATGGTCCTCACACTCTCCGGAGGCACCCCGCGCTCGGTCGCTCAGTGGCTGTGGCCTGTCAAGGCCCGAGAAGGCCTGGAGAGGGAGGTTGCAGCCTGTCTTTTGCCAGGGCCCGGAGAACCGATACACTGAGCTAGTCAGGGTCAGCATGGGCCCCAGAAACGGAAGGCTGGGTGCCCCGGAGCCCCACGGCTGGGAAGCAGTAGGGACCGGGAAGGCATCAGAGCTTTGGAGGTTCAGACCCGAGTTTGAACCCTGGCTCTGCTGCCGATGCGCTGGGGCGTCCTGGGTGTGGCAGAGAGCCTCTCTGAGCCTCAGTGTCCCCATCTGTGGAACGGGCAGGGTAACAGCAGGCTCTGGTGGGGCTGTGGGGAGGATTTGCTGCGATTCGGCAGAGAGAAGCTTAGCACAGGGCCTGGCCTGCGGGGGCCGTTTAGTAAGTGTCAGCTCGCGTATTAAGAAGGGACGGTGCCTCTGGGTGGGCCACACGGGGACACGCTGTCCCAGGCTGAGGCGTGAGGGGGCTGAGTGTGTTCCGATGAGGTGACGTCACGGCCTCCCGCCCCAGCCCTCCTCGCGCCCTTGGCCAAGCCTGGTGGTTGCCCCGGGAAGGACCGAGAAAGGCCACGGGGTCCCACGCCCCGGACCTTTCTGCCCGGGCCTGGGAGAGGATGAGAAGGAAGCGATGCCAGCAGGGAGCAGGGCTGTGGGCCGGGTGGGAGGTGCCAGCCAGCCTGGGATCAGGCCTGTGGGCACCATGGACCAGGGCCCCTCGCCCACGGCTGCCTTGTTCGGCCCCAGGGTTTCTGTGAGTCGGCGGAGTCAGCGAGGCGGGAGCTCACGCCCCTGCTCAGCGAGCAGGGATGGAGACCCCAGCTCAGCCTGGCTCCCAGGGCCTCCTGTGACTCAGGCCCCACATCCTGTTAGGAGAATGTAACCCCTTGCAGCCACGAGCATACGGGGACTCACAGGGCCAGGCTTCCCTGGAGGGTAGTTTTTCTTTCTCCCCGAACACGGTGACGAGCACTTAGACCTAGGCACTCAAGGTGAAGTTCAAAGACCTAAGGCGTTCTGCTCCGTCTGTCCCAGGGCTGCCCCAGGGATGGTTAAGCGAGAGTCGGGCCCGGGCAGTGCCAGGCGGGACCATTTGGGTCTGCTTGCTCTGGAACGGTCCTTCCGCTGCAGCCTGGGCCCTGTGCCCTATGCCCTGGGCCCTGGGCCTCGGGGTCAGGTGGGAATTTGTGCCCTGACAGCTAAGGAGGCCCGGATGTCAGTATCTGTCTGGGGCGGTGAGGGGGGGGGGTGCAGGAGGTGATCAGCCGCTAACTTCCCCACCCTCATTCTTGAGCCTGTACCCTGAGGCCATGGAGGGGATGGGCCTCAGCCCTGGCTCCCAGGAGCTCCCTGAGGGCTGCCCCCCCCCCCCAGGCCCTGGTCACCAGCCTAAGGAGAGTCTGTGACTCATCTCTCGCCCGACTGCAGATAGTGTGTGGATTGTGGGGCGTCCCCTATTGCAACTTTCTTTTTTTTAGTTTTTTAAAATATATTTTATTATTTTCTTATAGAGAGGAAGGGAGAGGGATAGAGAGCTAGAAACGTCAATGAGAGAGAAACATCGACCAGCTGCCTCTTGCACACACCCCCTACTGGGGATGTGCCCGCAACCAAGGTACCTGCCCTTGACTGGAATCGAACCTGGGACCTCCCAGTCCGCTGACGCTCTATCAACTGAGACAAACCGGTGTCGGCCCCTATTGCAATGTTCACTCTGGGGCTCATGGTGGGTGCCCCGAGATATTAATCCTGCGGGGATGGTTTCTCCAGGGCATGTCCCTCGGCGTAGGGGACAGCGGGCGCCCCCCCTCAGGTCCTCTGAGGGTGAGCCGTGCGTGTGCCGCCCGGTTCCTGTTCCCAGTCAGACCACCCACCACTCCCCCTCCAACACGGGCGGACATTTGCCAGCCGGTTCCCTGTGATACGGTCGGTCATAAACAAAATGTCCCCGTTTCTTATAAACAGACACACATGATAGGATGTGAGAAAGGCCGTAACGAGCTGTGGTGAAGGCTGGGGGGCTGGCTGTCCCCAGTGGGCATGGGGTGGGGGCGGGGATGGGGGAGAAGGGGTTCCAGGCCTGGGCAGGGAGGCTGGGAGGGGGGGCAGGCACACAAGGCCGAGGCTTAAAGGCCTGTGGCTTGTTTGATGGAACTTCTAAAAACCAAGCATGGCTTCCTTCCAACTTCCTTTTCAAAGGAAGAGCCCGGGCTTGGAAGGAGCATTTCCTGGTTAGCACACGAGGCAGGGAGTTCCGAGCCAGGCGCCCACTCCCGGTTGCTGCTCCGTCCGCCGTGCGGTCCTGGCGGCCCCGCTAAGCCCGTTACAATGGCATTAGGCCGGTGTGGAGAAGCACAAACACACACAGGACAAGCTAGACTTTATGTCATTTTTACTGAGCAGCCCATCAAAACAGTGCACGCTTATGGAGTCCTCTCCGGAGTGATGCCAAGGACTGTTCCAGAATGGCACCACTTAACCCTCTAGAGCAGTGGTTCTCAACCTCTCTAACACCGCGACCCTTTAATACAGCTCCTCATGGTGTGGTGACCCCCAACCATAACATTATTTCCGTTGCTACTTCATCACTGTCATTTTGCTACTGTTAATGAATCGTAATGTAAATATCTGTGTTTTCCGATGGTCTTAGGCAACCCTAAGGTTGAGTACCGCAGCCCTAGAGCCTAAGACCGTATTAAAGGGTCTAGGTTAAGGGCGCAGGCAGCCTGTGTGACGTTGTGTCTGAGATGAATGTTCCCAAGGACATTCGTGGGAGATCCCCAGCTATGTTAGTGCCAGGAGCCCAGCGCCCTGGCAAAATGGTGCCTCCAGAGGGTGGGAGACGCTTAGCATGTTCCCCCCACCCTGCCCCACCGCCGACCCCCAGGCTACGGCCTGTGCAGGAGAGGCTCGCTCCAGGTAAGGGCATCGGAGGGGTCAGTGTCGCGCCGGCTTCAGACTCACCCCGGCTTCAGACTGGCCTGGGTGCCGGCAGCGCCTGACACCACAGCCCTGGGACCAATCTAAAAGGTGCACGGTCTAAAGGTTCCTGAAAGGTTCCTTCATGACCTGGTGAGTGAGACCCAGCAGGACGAGGGCACCCTGCCCGGTGGCGCCAGGGTCTCCACAATGCCCGCAAGCCTGCACAGCGCCCTCCCATCGCCGACGGAGCTGGTGCCAAGTTCCGCCTCGAGAAACGAGCAGAAAAGCAAAAGGCTTTCTTCCCTTGGCGCCCTCCTTTGTTCCTGTCTTTTCTTGGGGTCCTTCCTCCTGCTGGGCCCCTCCTGGCTCCCATCACCGGGCCTGGAGTCTGAGCTCCCCCCTCTGCCTCCCCCCTTCCCCCTCCCCGCCCAGGCCCTGGTAATTGCTGATTGAGGAGCTTTGAGGAGCTGTTAAGAGGCCCAGAGCGGAGACAGTTGCCTGATTGCCTGGCCGCCTGGCGGGGCTGCCTATGAAAGCCCCCTTTGTGCTGGGCCGTCACTGGGAAGCTGCATTCAATTACCAAGTGGAGAGCCGCATGGGAGCCCCTGTCCCCCTGCGCTTTCTTCTCTCCTCGCCCTGCCCCCACCCAGAGAAGAAACAGATGTTCGCGGAGAAGGAGGCCGACTGGGAGCAGGCGCGAGGCAGGAACCCCCTCCTTGGGCCTGGGAGAGCTGCGGGGAGGAGCAGGAGGGCGGGAAGCTAGCCCCCAGCCCACTTGGTTCCCAGCTCTTCCCTCCTTCCCTTCCCCCTCCCCCACCAGGAATGCGGCCCCACAGAGTGTCTGGCACACAGTAGGTGCTCAGCGGATGGCAGCAGACACCAGGGCGATGACTGGATGGATGGGCTTTGGGATCTGAGCCCCCCAAGAGGGCCGAGAGGCCAGTTCCCCAGCCTCCCAGACAGGCCTCCCATCCCCCCACGTTAGAGAAGGGGGAGGTATGGGGGAGGGGGCTGCCTCAGCAGAGTCAGCCTCCCCCGCCCCCCTGGCCTCTTCTGACCCCTTCTGGTGGGGCCTCAAGGCCCCTCCCACCCAGACCCGCCCTCACTCTCTCCCTAAGGAGACCTCTCCCAGCCTTCTTGCCATGGAGCTCACCTCACCCTCTGGCCTGCAGGGACCCACCCTCTTCCAGACAGGGATGCGGAGGCCCAGAGAGGCCCGGGATGGGTCCACAGGCACCGAGCCCGTAAGGAGCAGAGCTGGCACTGCCCCTGCCACAGTCCCCTCCTACCCCAGACACCATCCCCTCTGGGCTGGGCCTGAAGGGGTCTGGCGGTTCCCCCCGCCCCAAGACGGAGGCCCAAGGCCGGCCAGAATTCTCAAACCCCTAGCAACTACCCCAGCCAGTCAGTGGGTGCCCTGCTGGGGAGACTGCGGCCACTCCCTCCCCCTCTCCCCCGACACTCACCAACCAGCCGGACCCCAGCCTCCTGCCTCCTGGCATCGCTACTGCCCACCCAGCCCTCCCTGCTTCCGGGCCAACCTCACCACAGCCCAGCTCAGGTGCCCCCCTCCCCCTCCCACCCGTGGCATATGGAGCCCTGTGTCTGTGCGCCCCTTTGTTCCCTCCAGCCCGGCAGCTGGGCGGGAGGCAAGGAATGGGGCTGGTATTGTGCTGCCCCTTGTCCCGGGGAGACCAGCCAGGGACTGCTTGTTGTCTTGGTCTTGGGTTTTTCCCCTGGGAAGAGGGGTGAGGAGGGTGAGCATCAGCGGCAGGGACTGTGGAGGGGGCGGAGGGGGGGCGGAGGAGAGGGGCCAGCGGACATACATTCGCAGGCCGACTCGGGAGACTGTATCTCCCGGGAGGGGACAGGGCTCTCAGGCCCCATCTTGTGACCTCTGGGCATGTGTGGGCTTTGGAGAAATCGGGCAGCTCTGAGCCAAAGGCAGCGGGGTGACCGTTCACCGGCTCCAGGCAGGGGTGTGACCATTCTACAGGTAACTCAGGTCACAGTGGTGCCAAGGTGGTCTGTGCATTGTAGATATTGCTCTTGAGGGTCTAGGTGCCATAAAGGACTTCCGGTCCCGAGAACACGCGCACATGACAGACCCCACGGCTCGGACCGGGTGGGCAAGGCCAACTCCCACTTCCTTACCTGCAAAGCAGGACACACTGGTCTCCCAGACTCCTTTGCGGTGGGCTCACTGGGCTCCTTGCTGTAGTTCGTTTCTGAGTATGTTTTATTGAGGTTGGTGCTGCTCCGAGCACGCATCTGCTGGGCAGAGATGAGGCAACCCGAGTCCAGTCTTCTGAACAGCATTTTCTTTGGAGAGGCAGAGGAATCGGGGAGGAGGGGGAGAAACAAAGGAAGAAGAGAGATAGAGAGACAGACAGAGACAGAGACAGAGAGAGAGAGGAGCATCGATGTGTAGTCCCACTTATTGACACACCCATTGGTCGCTCCTTGTAGGTGTCCCGGCCAAGCGACTGAGCCCACCACCTTGGCGTATTGGGATGATGCTCTAACCGGCTGAGCCACGGGGCCCGGGCCCTGGGCTGTGTTTTGTTTGGCGTGTACTGTTCGCTAACATCCGGGGCCTCTCTTCCAGAGAGTTCATTGTAAGGGAGGTCCCATCTGCTGTCGTCTTAGTTCTCCGAACACTGCCGGGAGCGGGGGGTGGGGGAGGGGGCACGCTATTTTTAGCTGCACCGTTCGGATCCCGATGCTGTTTGACTCCGCGTCCCAGATGGACTGCTGCCTCGTGACGGCTCCCCGACAAGCAGACGGAGCGCCCGCCGGGCAGGCCCGGGCGCCAGCCACGTTAAGAACGAATGCAACGCGTTACCTTTCTTTTCAAAAGCTCAGGGATGGCCGTCGGGGGAACGGCCGGAACTCCTGTGGGTCTCCTTCTCGTGCTTGTTGTACGACTGAGTGTGGCTGTCATTCCGGATCCCGCGTGGGTGGGCAGGGCCAGGAGCCTCTAAGGTCTTCCCTCCTGGCCCCGGCCCCGGCTCCGGTCACGCAGTAAGTCAGGGGCTGGACCTAGGCAGGCACTCCGCACACCGGGCATGAACCTCTGCTTTGAAATGTAGGTTTTGTTAGCATTCAGGTCTGGTGAGCCCAACAGATCGGGAGACAGCCGCCCCGAAAGAGAGTTTGCTACTCACAGTTCTCAAGAAGAAGGTGCACACACACACACACGCACGCACGCACGCACGCACACGCACCCGCACACGCACACGCGGTGCCACGCAGGGCCCTCCGGGGAAACCCTAGGGCCGCCAGCAGGCAGCGGAGCAGGAGGAAGACCTGGCAGGAGCCTCGGCTGTGGTGCCCGCGGTGAAGTCGAAGCCGGAGGAGCAGGAATAGGGGAGGCCAGATACATCCAGGGGCTCTGGGGGGTGGGGGCTGGGCGTGGGGCGATCAGGAACAGGGAGTAGTGGGTGAGCAGGTGGGAGCCATCCTGTGGGCGGTGGGCTCCGAAATCAGCTCATTGTCTGAGGATGGATCCGCCCTGGGAGGGGCAGTACATCCGGGGTCAGCAGATGTGAAAGCATGAGAAACAGCAAAAATAAAGGCAGGATTAACTCAACTCATACACACTCTGCTGCCCTAGCTGGTTTGGCTCAGTCGGCCTGTGGACTGAGAGGTCCCCGGTTCGATTCCGGCCAAGGGCACATGCCCGGGTTGTGCAGTAAGAGGCGTGCAGGGGGCAGCCGATTGATGATTCCCTCTCATCATTGATGCTTCTATCTCTCTATCCCTCTCCCTTCCTCTCTGAAATCAATAAAGAAATATTAACACACACACACACACACACTCTCTGCTGAAGGAAAGAAGCCAGGCACCAAAGACAGACAGTGAGCCCCAGCCCATTTGGCTCAGTGGGTAGAGCGTCGCCCTGCGGCCCGAAGGATCCCCGATCCAATTCCTGTCAAGGGCATGTAACTCAGGTGCCCCCCAGGCTCTGGCCCTGGTCAAGGCGTCTGCAGGAGTCAACCGATCGATGTGTTCCTCGCACCTCTATATTTCTCTGTCTCTCCCTCTCTCTCACACTCCCTTTAAACATCAACAGAGACACATCCTCGGGGTGAGGATTCACGCCACAAACGCACAAATCCGCAGGCTCTGTGCCAGGATCTGCTCTGAAGGAAGCACAGGGCAGCCCCGAGGGGGCACCATACCCTCGGGGCAGTGCGGGGAGCTGAAGGGCCCCCTGGTCCGGGGCTGGAGGAGGCCAGGGGACATTCAGACCAGAGTCCTCTGTGCCTCCCAGCGCTGAGCGCACCGCCCATCCCCACGGGGCCCCTGACACCCCCTCTCTGTGTCCCCCCCTCCCCCAGGGAAGCGACAGCGAGTACGAGGTCGACCCGAACCACCAGAAGGCTCACTCCTTCGTCAACCACTACATCAGCGACCCCACCTACTACAACTCATGGCGGCGGCAGCAGAAGGGCATCTCGCGGGCCCAGGCCTACAGCTACACGGAGAGCGAGTCGGGGGAGCCGGACCACGCCGCCACGGCCAACAGCGGCGGCCTCCAGCAGGGCAGCCTCTTCCGGCCCAAGGCCAGTCGGACCCCAACGCCTCATAACCCCCCGAACCCCCCGAGCCAGCAGAGCACCCTCTACCGCCCCCCCAGCAGCCTGGCCCCCGGCGCCCGAGCTCCCATCGCGGGGTTTTCATCGTTCGTTTGACGCCCGAGGAGGAACCAGAGAGACGGCACCGGACTCCCCTGCCTGAGGACAGAAACACCAGGAAACCAAGGCAACGGTTCACCTCCTGAGTTTATCTCTCTGGAGACCCCGGGGCCAGCAGGGCCGGAGGGGGGGGGGGCGGGGGGAGAGAAGAAAGCCAGCCACCGTCCATCAGCCCCGTGACTGCGGGCGGGTGCAGAACGGGGGGAGCAGCCGGGTGCCCGGGAGTGGGTGGGGCCCCTGGAGAGATCGGGAGAAGAAGCAGCGGGCCAGAGGTCTGCGAGGCTCAGGCCTGGCCGAGGGGAGAAGCTTCTGGAGGCCTGACTGGCTGCCCCGCATCGGGCATGTGCTGGAGCGCAGGGCCCTCGGCCGGCTGGTGCTATGCAAGGCTGGGTGTCCCTGGGCACAGCTCCCCTCCTCTCTCTTCACCCAGCACTGCCACGTGGGTCCCTGTAGCTAGAGGGCACTGCCGCCCCCTGCCGCCCCCTGCCTGGTCTTCCCCTCACTGCCCCCTCCTCACCCTCACTGCACCCCCCCTCAGCCTTCCCCACCCCCCTCGCTCTGCTTCCCCATCAAACATTTGGAAGGTGAGAATTCGCCTAACTAGCTCCTTGCTCCTAACATGCTTTTTGTTAAACCTCGGAGAGGGCTCCTCGGGGTGCAGGAGAGCCCTCTTCCCCCAGCCCAGCCACCCCTTTACTTGGATTCGCTTTCCGGAGCGCAGGCGAGCGGGGATGGCCTCCGGGACAGAGTAGGGGCCAGGGCGGGGCATCAGCGGGGTGATAGGGAGAAACGCAGGAGGTCGGGAATGTACGGAGGTCGCTGTGATGTCACTCTTCCTTCCACTTTAGGTACCATCTTCCCCCCTACCCCCCTCACTCCCGACCCTGAGGAAGAGAGCGAGGGAACCCCTTGGCCGAGGAAATTGTGCTTGCCTGGGGCTGGGGGTGAGGGTGGGCGAGGGAGACCCTGCAGACAGCTGTCTCCTGGACAGACACCTTCCTCCCGTCACACCTGCCCGTCCTCGGGCGAGGAGCAGGGCCGGAGCCTCTGCAGGAGAAACCCCTCGGTTCTTGTAGCCAAACCAGAGGCTCCCCCAGGTCTGCACCCCTCTCCCTCTCGCCTACAGCGCTCTGCTCTCAGCACAGAGGGGGCTCAGGCTCAGCGCTGCCTCGCCGGGGCCTGGAGCCAGGAGGGCCGTCCTCGGGGCTGGACGCGGTTCCTGAGAAGCAGGGCCAGGCCGCCGGGGGCAGGTCCGAGGGGACCGGGGACCAGAATAGCTGACGAGGCAGAGCTTCTGCGCACACAGCCCGTCCGGAGGGATGTTCTTAAAAAGCCGCTCTGAGGCCTGGACTTCGGGATGCAGGGCCGAGGGGGAGCCTAGCTAAGGCCCGCGGCCCTGGCGCCCACAGCCGGGGGAAGAGACTGCGGGGCCAGCGCGTCCAGTGCCGCATGGGGCGCCTTCGTGGGCGGGGCTCCCTGGGGTGCTGAGCACCAGCTGATGGTGACCTATTTGAGGGGGTGAAGGGAACAGCTGGGGGAGGCCTGAGTGGAGGATTTGGGAAGCCACTCCAGGGGAGAGAGGGCCTGTATGCCCCTGCCCACCGGCCCAAAGCGGGGCCAGGGGCTGGGGAGAGGACCCACCCAGCCACGGCTCCTCCCTACTCACTAGGACCCCCTCCCCTGTCTCCCCCCCCCCCCCCCGGAAATGTGTGCAAACAGAGCTGCTCCACGGAACAGGTCTGGGAAAGGAAGCACAGCCTTCCCCCACCCCCAAAGGAGGACACAGGCCGGAGGTCTGGCTCCCATGCACATCTGGCGTCTCCATAGCAACACATCTGCAGCCGCCCGCCTGCGACCCGCTTCTCCTTCCTTTCCGCTTGCTTCTCTCTTTTTTTAAAACAGCTGCATCTTCTTCCCTGTCTGCTGCGTGTTTAGCCATTTAAGGAAGTTCCCGGCTCACACTGGGGAGTTATTCTAGCTCAGCCCCCTGAGGGGCTTTGTGGAGCGGAAGCAGGGATGAGTACAAACAGGGCGTGTGCGTGTGTAACGGTGTGTGTGTGTATCTGTGTGTGCATGTGTGTCGTGTGTGTGTGTGTGTGTGTGTGTGAGAGAGAGTTGCACGTGAGGCCAGATTTCCTTGGCCTTTCATGAGTCACCTGGTGCACTCAGATGTCCGCCCGCCCTCCTCCCCACACGCTCATTCACATCCATGGTGACACGTGCACAGGCTCACACACACGCGCACACAGGCATGCACAGAGCACACACCGCACCGCCTGTGTGTTAGCAAGGTCTTGCAGCAACCTCTTAAGTTGTCTCCACTCGGGACCTGTTGTCTGAGAGGACGGGACACTGTGCAGAGCCGGCGGGCTTGGTGCAGACCAGGGCCCCTGGGTGACCCCACGAAGGCAGCAGGCTGGGCCCGGGGTGAAAGCCCGCCCTTCACCTACCGTCCCCTCCCCACCATTGGCAATGTGGCCGCCACCACCCTGGCCACACCTGGGACTCTAGTTTGCCCTTGTTTACATATCTGCTGGGCAGAGGAGGCTCCGCCCCACCCCCCGTCCTGGCTGCACCTGGCTGCCAGGCGGGCACTGCCCTGGGTAACAGCCTCCCGCTGTGGTTTCCCGGGCCTGGTCTGTGTGACTCCACCTGGGGCAGGTTCACACCAGGACACCTGGCACTGCGGCTCGGCCTGGCCGTGGCCCTGGGGAAACCCGGTGTCGCACCCAGCGGCCCACACCAGGCCGCCCTGCCCTTCCCCATCCTGGCGTGCCTCCGTGTCCACATCAGCTCTGCACACGGCTGCCAAGACAAACCAAAAAGCTGCTCCGCGTTCCTCCCGGGGCCCCAGGGAGTTTGCACACGCAGGCTGCCGGTCCTGCCCCCAACACTGCCAGATTCGGAGGGAACGAGGACACCCTGCCCGGCCCGGCCCCGGTGCCTCGAGGCCTTCCGTCTACCCACACCTCCCCCGGCAGGGCTTTTAAAGGTGCCAGAGACCCCCCCATAGATCACCCTGGGCAGGGGCTTCCTTCGCCTTCCCACCATGCACAGCGGAAGGTGCCCACCCTGGGGGAGGGGCGGGAGGGGGGCCCTGAGCAGCAGCCGCCAGCTCCCCAGTGCCTCTGTGTGGTCCTGCCCAGCGCCACCCCGACACCACCCCGAGCACAGGTGCCCTCCTGGGACCACCCCCCACTCCTCCTCCCATTGGTTTCCGTGAGAAAAACCAAAAGCATTTCAACGTGTTACCTTTCTTTATGCAGAGAGACTCCAAACCCAACACAAATCTTTATTTTTTTTATTTCAAAGATATAACGAAAACATGATGGGAGAGTTGAGTACTCATTACGGCAGGTGTCTGTGTAAGAAAAAATATATATATATATATCTATATGTCACATAGCTTGTTAGGTTTATTTTTTAAAGGAAAGGTAAGAAAGCAATTGATTTGAAATATCTACCATGAGAAGTCCCATGTCCTGTCAAACTTGTCAGTATTTTATAAATAAAAATTTTTTTTTTTTTTTGGAGTTTGGAAGCCACGTTCCTTTTTCTCCCCCCGGGAAGGTAAATGGGGACACCTACCTGTCCCTCTCCCCGCCTCTCCCGCTCCCCGATACGATGCTCAAGCAATCTGCTCCCCAAATACCCACCTCTGGGCTTTTGCAGAAAGAAACAAAGAGTCCAACTCACTTTCTTAATTCCTATGGGAGTGGGCATCCGTGGCTCTACGTGACATGTACTCTTTCATTTATCTTACACTTCTAGCATAAGGGCCTCTCAGATCATGCCAGGTTAGAGGCAGAAAGAAACGGTAACAATGACTAAGGACCGTCAAGGCGATCGCTAACACGTGTGCCAGGCGCTGTGCCAATGCCTGCCCGCTGAGTCACCCCGAGAATCCTCCCGGCACCCGGGCGGAGGGAAGCTGTAGGGGGAGACCCTGAGTGGCTTGCCCGGAGAACTGGGAAAAGCCAGGGTTTGTGCGACAGCAGCTTGGCTATCGGACACGCGTGCTGCCTCTCTGGTGCATGAGGGCAGCTTCCTTGCCCATTGCCGTTGTCATTTCCACAAAGCCGGCTCCCCGGGCCCTAGGGGTCCTGAGGCAGTGAGAACGGTTGGGTGGATCTAGCCTACCTAAGCCACCCAGGTTTAGAGTGAAGGCGTGATGAGCCCAGCGGTGCTACACTGTACCACACACATGTCCCATACATCAAGTCAGATGGATCCCAATAGAAGAGCGGGAAGGGAAAGTGATGGTAACAGCACACGTAGTGCCATGTATTTTACACGAGAAGCCCGGTGCATGAAATTTGTGCACTCGGGGGAGGGGGAGGAGGGGTCCTCAGCCCGGCCTGCACCATCATGAAACCCTCAGGGGATGTACATACGACTGATGGCTTAGTGACGGGTCGTTCAGCCATTTGGTCGATTTGCATATTAGCCTTTTATTATATAGGATAGTCTACATTCCTGTATAATGCACATTCCTAAGGCCTCTGTATAAGCAAAGCATAACTAAAGCAGGGAGTTTTGTTTTGTTTCGTTTTTGTGTTTTTAATATTTTATTGATTTTACAAAGAGAGGAATTGAGAGGGACAGATAGTTAGAAACGTCGATGAGAGAGAAACATCGACCAGCTGCCTCCTGCACACTCCCCACTGGGGATGTGCCCGAAACCAAGGTACATGCCCTTGACCGGAATTGAACCTGGGACCTTTCAGTCCGCAGACCGACGCTCTATCCACTGAACCAAACCGGTCCCGGCAAGTTTTAAACATATATGTAGGCACACTTTACTTAAGATTCACAAATCTAGATTCATCCACCAATCTGTTCCTGTGGGGCCTTAGCATTTTTCTTTGTTTTTCTGTGTGAGAATGGGCTGGGTCTATGGGATTCTTTAGTATCTTTCTGACATAAACGGCCTCTATAAGGCACCAACAGTGAATTCAGTTTCTATCTCTTTAAAGTAAAGAAAACACACATACACACACACACACACACACACACACACACAAAACGTACAGACATTGTGAATGGCAGGCTGCCGGCTTCCAGTTCCGCGTGGACAGAGCTTGGCAGCGGCGGCTCAGTCCCACCCAGCGAAAAGCTGGACCCACAGAAAACTCAGCAACGCTTCTCGGCTCCACGAGAGAAGTGAGGTCCCCGGGCGGACTCCCGTCCTGAAAGTGGGGAGACGGACGGGAACACGGGGTATCCGCACATAACGGAGTAGAAAACACGGGCGACGCAAGAGCAGAGTCCCAGCTCTTACTGTCTTGCCCTAAAATGTTACCGTTCCTGTCCGTTCCTAACTCAGCACGCTCTTTTCTTTTTATTTTATTTTTTTATATATTTTACTTATTTTTTACAGAGAGGAAGAGAAAGGGATAGAGAGTTAGAAACATCGATGAGAGAGACTCATCGATCAGCTGCCTCCTGCACACCCTACTGGGGATGTGCCTCAATCAAGATACATGCCCTTGACCGGAATCGAACCCTGGACCTTTCAGTCTGAAGGCCGGCGCTTTATCCACTGAGCCGAACCGGTTTCGGCTCAGCACACTCTTTTATTTTTTGCAGCTTATTCATTCCCAAAACATCCAATGTCATTTTCAGAGAAGTCCTCATTCTCCTTCTGCGCTCTAATCTTAGCCGCTGACATCAGACTTAATGAGGTTACGTAATTACTAGGAAATGGACGGCGGCATAAACAAGGCTGAGAGCAGTGGTGACTGACTGTAAACACCAAGCCCGAGTTGGTGGGGGCAGATTCGCAGGGCTCTCAGCTCGGGCATCTTCATCCTTTGCCAACGAATGTAGGCCAGTGGTCGGCAAACTGTGGCTTGTGAGCCACATGCGGCTCTTTGGCCCCTTGAGTGTGGCTCTTCCACAAAATACCATGGCCTGGGCCCATCTATGTTGAAGACGGACGTGGCGTTAGAAGAAGTTGAAGTTTAAAAACTTTGGCTCTCAAAAAGAAATGTCAATCGTTGTCCTGTTCGTATTTGGCTCTGTTGGCTAATGAGTTTGCCAACCACTGATGTAGGGCATGGTTTCCTATGGCCAGTTGGTTGAAAGAGAGGTCAGATGAGAGGCCTCTTCCTGTATCTACTACAGTACACGCAGTGCATTCTGTACTGTATGGGCAATGTTCAAGGTGATTAACGGGTTTTCCATGGTAATTCTGACTACACAGAACGTTTCCATTGCACATAATTTGGAACCAATGACCCACCGTAGACGGGACTCCACTCAGTGGAGTGTTCTTAAAGCTCCCAGTGTCACTCAATGGGAAAAGCACCTTGGTTATGAGAGAGCCTGGAGTTAGCAGACATGGGTTCCTACAATCCCCAGCTTGAACTTGAACTTGAGTTCCTCCTCCGCTACCCCATCTGTGGAATGGGTGCGATTTCTGCCTTTTTCAACACCAGGCTGAGGGAATGAACTGCAGGGAAATGACCTCTCCGGCACAGGTGACCTCCAGACTCTGGACACGCAATTCAGAGAGATGGGCTGCAGGGTGGTGGGGGGCTGGGCTGGCTGCCTACAGCACCTGCCTACAGCAACATGGTCTTGAAAGGTTTGGAGCCTGGGTTCGAGGTAGGGTTGCCGGATAAAACCCAGTTGTATCCGGAAACACTGATGTGTAGGTGAACTTCACATGGAACCCAGCAGCCTCTGTGTCCATGTGTTCCATCGGTCACCTGGCTCAGATCCCAACGCCATGCCATGAGCTTGGGGTTCCTGCAAACTTCCAGACCTCAGTCTCCTCCTCCAGGAAATGGGGACGCTGAGTCCACGGAGAGCAGGCGGGCGTGGGCAGGGCGGTTACATGTGAGCGTCATTCGTGAGCCGCACAACACGCTGCACGTGTGAGGAATTACCGCTATTGTGCGTGGATAGAAGGGGACGGGGCCCCGCCAGGAGCTTCTGGCTGTGGGTGAGACTCTGGCTCAGTGAGTCCTGACTCCCAGGCCCTACCCCACCAAACTTCTGAATTTTTAGAAACGTGGGGGTCTCCGAGGGGGTGGGGGGAGCGCACTGGCCTTCCAGATCGTGTCAGTCTCGCCAGAAGCAAAACTGTGCTCACATTCACATCCCCCTGCGCAGCGTTTCCTGCCAGGAGGAAGGCCAGGAGCAAGGTGGGGCGTGGACGGGAGGGTCACGTGGGCCCACAGCAGCCTCGCCTGTGCCTTCAGATGTTGTTCTTCCTTCCCCCATGGAAAGTTCCTCCCCCACCCCCACGGCCCGCAGGCGACACGCACTTCTCTGACTCTTTTCTCCATGAGGATAAAGAATGGAGTTAGACTCGGGCGTACGAGAGAATTCCAAATGTCTGACTTCCTGTGACCTGCCACCTCAGGCAGAGCCGCGGGGCAGCGAGGACAGGGCGGACGCTGGGTTCTGCTGAAGGCTCCTCTGCAGCTGAGGCAATCCCCTCGGCAGCCCCTCAGGACCTCCCCTCTCCCCATCGCACAGATAGGACACCTGCTGGCCACCAACCGCCAGGTAAGTGCCAGCGCCAGGATTGGCCCCGGCCTGGCAGCACCCCCCCCCCCCCCCCCGGAGTTCAGAGGCTGCTCGCCGGGAGGAGGGGCCTGGCCCGTGGGAAAGCCTGTGTGCCAAGCGGGAAACATTGTTTTAGGACAATGACGCCCACTCGGTTGGGCAATCGTCCTCCCTAAAGGGCCAGGTGGCAAGCTAGTCAGGCCTCCAGGAAGCAGCCGAGGGAAGGCGCAGCAATGAACGCATGTGCTGCTGCACTTAACGGACCCTGAAGTGAGAGCGTTCTATCCTTTTCACCTGCCGTGAAAGTGCATCCTTTCATCCTTCTCATCCTTCTTTTAAAATGTGAAGATCCTTCTGCGTGCAGGGGCCACCCAACCAGGAGCGGCGTTTGCTGAGCCCTGGTCTAACGTGGCTCCCGGCCAAGCTGATACTTGGCGGGAATTTCTACGGGGTCCCGGGGCGATCCCCAGATAAGGTAGTTGAGGGTACTGTAGAAGGTTGACCGGTGCTGTGTCTTCCCATCCCCCAAATTCTCATGCACCTGGGACCTCCAAATGGGGCCTTATTCAGAACTAGGATCTTTGCAGGGGTATCTACATAGCTAATGAGAGATCGCACCGGATTAGGGTGGGCCCTCAGTCCCATCACCTGTGTCTTTAAGAGAAGAGGCGAGGACGCAGAGAGGCGCACAGAGCGAAGAAGACTGTGTGGAAAGGGAGACAGAGACCGGCTCCGAGCTGCTCCCCGCCAGGGACTGGCA